ATACACCAAATATAGTAGACCTGTTGCATACAGTATAAGAAAACAGACCAAAACACAAAAACTTAACTATAACCACTGAACCATGAAAATGAGGTCAAGGTCAGATGACACCTGCCAGTTGGACATGTACACCTTACAGTCCTTCCATACACCATATATATACTTGACCTATTGCTTATAGTATCTGAGATATGGACTTGACCACCAAAACTTAACCTTGTTCACTGATCCATGACATGAGGTCGAGGTCAAGTGAAAACTGTCTGACGGGCATGAGGACCTTGCAAGGTACGCACATACCAAATATAGTTATCCTACTACTTATAATAAGAGAAAATTTAACATTACAAAAAATGTTAACTTTTTTTTCAAGTAGTCACTGAACCATGAAAATGAGGTCAAGGACATTGGACATGTGGCTGACGGAAACTTCGTAACATGAGGCATCCATATACAAAGTATGAAGCATCTAGGTCTTCCACCTTCTAAAATATAAAGCTTTTAAGAAGTTAGCTAACGCCGCCGCCACATCACTATCCCAATGTCGAGCTTTCTGCGACAAAAGTTGCAGGCTCGACAAAAACTGGAAAATCCCCCCTGAATAAAACCCCATAACTCAGAAATGTAAAATCTAAAATTTATAAAATTCTAAAGGGAGCTTACGGATTGATAATTTAGTCTTAGATGCAAGATTTTTTTATCAGTTGTTAGTGGCTTTGAACTAGCTGTCAGTAACTTTGAGTACTCTCAGATCTGTACTTAGTGTCTTTTTGTTGTTTGGATTTACAACTACCCGACCACGTCCACTTGTATTTGTATTTATCCATCTGATGAGTTAAGCCTCTTTCAACTGATTTTTATAGTTCGTTCTTATATTGTACTGTTACACCACTGTCCCAGGTTAGGGGGAGGGTTGGGATCCCACTTACATGTTTAACCCCGACACATTCTGTATGTACATGTATGTGGCGTGCCTGTCCCAAGTCAGGAGCCTGTAATTCAGTGGTTGTTGTTTGTTTATGTGTTGCATATTTGTTATATTCGTTCATTTTTTGTACATAAATTAGGCCGTTAGTTTTCTTGTTTAAATTGTTTCACATTGTCATTTCGGGGCCTTTTATAGCTGACTGTGCGGTATGGGCTTTGTTCATTGTTGAAGGCCGTACTGTGACCTATAGCTGTTAATTTCTGTGTCATTTGGTCTCTTGTGGAGAGTTGTCTCATTGGCAATCATACCACATCTTCTTTTTTATATTTACATCAACAGATATAAACAATTCACCAAAGTCAAGGTGAGACAACAAAACTTAGTGGTAAGATCTCTGAAATGTTTTACATGGTACAAGTTTTTCTCATTGTTGGAGATTGTACGGTGACAGTAACACCTGTAACTGCTTAAACCCGTTTCTTATGCACTTTAGTTCGATAAACTCACTGAATATCATACCACATCTCCTTATTTTTATATGCATTACAATTTACATGTGCATGTAATTATAAATATATATATATCAGAACAAAATTCATTGCGTCACTTTTATTTATGCATCCTTTGGCACAATACAAGTTCTAAAATTACACAACATAGTACAACTAAATGTTATTTCAGATGAAAGTTTTGTTTCAGTTCCATTCATAGGATTTATTAGAATTTTGTATGTTTTGCCAAGTCCAATAATTCGCTCTATGTGCACATGTTAATTGGAGACTTTTCTATCCCGTATAAGAGTTTTGGAACTAATTATGTTTCTTTTTTTGAAAAAAGTTAGCAAACAAATCTTGCACATTTAAACCTTTGTCTGCCATCACACTGTCACCTGGATCACATAATTGAACTATTCTACATCTTTCAACTATTTCATAGTCACTGGTAGAACCAACATATGCATTAGAGACATCGTTGACTAAACCACCAGGTGTCGAACATACAAGTATTTTCAGTGTTTCTGTTTTTATATGATGAAAAGGTTGCCTGAGCTCTAGGAGCTTTAGGTTTTATCACGGGATATTCTGTGCTGTCAATAATAATCCAAGTCGTAGGAAACTTTAATTTGAAGTTGGATGGTGAAAAATACCTGACTAAACCACTAGATGGCCAAGTGTTAGCCTCACACCACTGTTTAGACATAAAAACAATCCATGTATACACAATATTCTTAACACTAGATTCAATCTAGAATCTAGAAAGTTCAAAGTTGGTTGTATAATGCCTCAATTTCATCAAAGTCATAAAAAAACTGATTTTCAACTGACACCCTATCAATTTGAAAATATATGTATCTCAAACAATGTGCTGCTGGACCAAGTGTGGTCAAAACAAATAAAAATTTAGTATACAACTCTAAACCGGTATAAAAATGCATGGCTGTGTCACATGTCTTCATTTCAAAATTCTCTGCTGAAAACATAGGCATTGATGGTGTTTGCATAATTCCATCTGTGAAGCTCAACATTTGCTCGGCAGTTGGTGGTGGACAGTCATAAATCCTTTCTGCAGTATGAATGACTTCTTCAGGAAAACCAACTTTACAATCAAAACTTTCCTCTAGATTTCTACTACAATATTCATCAAGTTTGATTCTTTTGTTTTCACAGGAAACTGCCCTGATTTTTTTTTTGCGGACGATTCAGTCTCTTGCTTGGTCCAGGAAAATAGGCTGGGAATTGCAGTAGACTTAAGTCTCTGAATGGTGGGTTTGCGCCCTGAAAAAGGTTATAAAACATTAGTTTTTTGATAATTAAATGAACTTCCATTAGCAATGTATAGTTTGTATTACCTGGCGAAATATTAACTAGATTTATTCATTACAATCTGGATAAAACTATGTTTGCCTAATTCAATGTATGTTATGTAAATCAAAAGGACAAACAATGAGAGACTTATGCAACAAACGTACATTGTTTATACCTAAATAACTATAATATAGATGAGAGCATGTCATTGTTTTGTTCCTGTTAACATTGTCATTGATATTTTTCAAGAAAGTCTATGAGGCATAGCTTATGCATTCCTGTCATTACTACATTAGCATAATTACTGCTAAAATAATTCTCAGTATGATATACCTCTTGTAAGAAATCATTAAAATTGTAGCAATCACCAAAAAATCTCAAACAGATCATATTGAATCGTAATCCAAAAAATTATGACGTCTTGAATGAACCACCCCCTTTTATTCTAAAACGATAATTGCGGTTGTAAACAGACTTTGGTTTATTCGCATGGCGATAACATATATAACTATATATTTCAAAAAGAAAATAGAGTTTTACCATGAATAGTTTCCTGCACGTAGTCTATTTCAGTAAAATGTGCCTTGCAAACAACAGCTGATTGAGATGGACTCCACGATTTCATCGTGTTCTCGTCCAATCTGCGTATGGGCCATGGCGTTGATCCAACTTTTCCTTCTTTTTAAGTCATTTGGAAATGCATGTCCTCCTCTTAAATGACACCCAGGTACACAACAACAAGTACTTGGCATCGTTAATTAAAAATGTAACTGAAATAGTTGCACAGTGCAGAAACCGGAAATTGAGGAACAGGATCGGCTACCACGGCGCCACCTATTCAGGAACGATAATTAGCTACTTTATAAAACTGCGAAATAACAATAACGTTAGACGGGTTCACGTGCATAAACAGAAATGCGCTTTAAATTGTATAATATAATTCATGTTCAGTCGACCTTTAATTATTATATCAACGACTGAAATGATTTATAAACATATAGATTGCAGATAACACTCGAAATTAACCCGAGCTCTTTCCACACGGAATTCAAATAATTCTAGTTTGTCAATCGGTTGACTGCTTATAATGCAAAATACAAATATATTTAAAGTTTTTAAAACTAACAAAACACAATGATCGTTTCTCTATTTCCCAATGTAAACGAAATGAAACAAAAAACATTTTATATCGCAATAAGAAGAGGAGAGAATTCAACATTTCCGGATCTACTTGGAGCCTAACGACCCCCCACGTAGATAAGATGGATATCGCGGAAGGAAGGATTAACCCGGCAACTAGAAAGGCATTAAAGCACTGCCTTTAAAAACTAAAATCATGAAAATTGAACTTGACCTTCAATAAGTCACAGGAAACAACATATCTAAATTTGAACAAATTTCTTCAAAGCGTTTTCATGTAAATCTTGGGAATGAGATGTGCCAATGGTAATACAACTGGTTCTCTTTAAAATGATCTTATCAATAAATACATTGTTGATGCGGCGGACACTTGCCTGAACAGCTTTTTCAACTTTGTTGAGGCAAGACAAAAAAGCTTCTGTCCAGTTTCCTAAAATTGCATGAAAGTTTGACAAAGCTACTGATGTTTACAACAAAATGACAACAGACTGAAGCTAAATTTGGATGCCACAGACAAGAATGATGAAAGGGAAAGGTAGGAATTCTATGTTTTGCTTCCAAGACAAAATGAAGCAGGCTTGACAAAAATTCAAACCAACAGATCTTTAAAAATTAACTAAAAGCTGAAAGATTTAAACTTATTTGAATATGCATAAAAAACCTAAAGGTAATTTCTTAGATCTTTTCCATTTTGGATCCTAACATTTGCACCCTTTTTAAATTGCATTTGCAAAGTAACAAGTTTTCAAGTTGAGTACACATTTTTTCAACCCTTTTCACATGCTTTTAGTTTCATACTATGAGTACACTTGTTCCATCTATTACCCAAGTAATCTCACATGAACTGGTGGATTGATTTTATACTGTTTTAGGTTTTTAATTAGGCTTTTTAAAATTACTGTCAAAGCTATAAATAATTTGAACTGCAAAGTATTTTCAATTTGCTTAAAAATTCATTTCAGGAAAATGTCAAACTATGCAATGGATATTTTACCCTTTTTTTACACATTCTGTTTCAGTTTTTTAGTTTCCCTACCTTTTTCATATATTCTAATTTCTTTCCTACATGTATTGTCCTCTGGATTCAAATTAAAGTGCAGTTGTGATTACCTTCGAAACTATATCAAAACACTATAAGTATCTTTATTACAGTGATAACAGAATACAATACAGACTGATTCAACAATTGTAAAATATGGAACATAATGTCACGTGTCTTCAAATATATCTTCTTCTTTCTTCACTGCTTCTTTACTAGCTTTAATCAGTGCTCTAACCCTGTGTAACATGTACTGGAATGAAAAAAATAAAATTGAAATTTTAGGTAAATTACAGGTATAACTCAAGATCAGTTTGAAAGGTTTTCAATGGGGAGAGGATTGTTATGCTCTGCCAATAATTGGCTGGTTATCTTGTGTTACATGTGTCTGTCCTACCATCATCCGTCTTGATGAAAGTTAAAACATATATTTCCTTAAATCTGCAGATTTATGAATTCATTTTTGATACACATGTAATGATGCATAATAGATTTCAAACTTTTTGCTAAATTACTCCCATTTTACAAAGAAAATGTCATGAAAATTGTACTGGAAGACTTTTTTGGCATTGCCTGCAGATCTGAATCTAATCATGATACATTAGTGTATACTGATAACTTAACGATAGAATTTGGCTTTTGTTCCTGCTGGCAGCATTTTTCTATGATTTTCATATCTGTCCAACACCGACTTCCTATTCATTGATGCATGTATTTTGAATTACAAGTATGGGTGTTCTAAGCAGTAAAATGTATGCATTCCTCTTAGCCCTTGCACCTAGTTGACCATTGTTTTCATTGAATTACAGTCCAATTTGGACTTAAAAAATTTCATGAAATTTGTATTGTCCAGACTTTTTTTGTAATACCTGTTGATCTAGTGCTGAATTTGATATATTACTGTAAACTGATGACACCCAAATCAAAGTTGCCTTTTATTCTGGTTGACAAATATATATATATATATATATATAAGACATTTTCTAGATTTAACTCTAAGGTTGTTCATACTTACATTAGAAACATTTTTAGAACTGTCAGTAGACATGGTACTGTTACTGTCTTCATCTACAGGCTGTGAGATTCTAGCAGAACTAATAAAATAAAATCATTATTGAGATAAAAACTTGTGGAAACAGCGACACTCATGTTAAAATAACAAGAAATCTTAAAATATTTTCCATTCCCTTTACAACCTTTTCTATAAGTCATATGTCACCAGATGGAATGCTTGTAAACAGTCTTACAATTAACTACAAGCACTATTTGTATATATAGTAAACTAATGACAAGCAATTCAAAAGAATTAGTTTCAGTCCATTGTAAATTTATACTGTTATATAAACTTTTTAAAAAAATACAGTATTTTATAATATTTGAGAAAGGAACATTCATAAAAAAAATATAGTGAGAAAGAAAGGAAGAGGTTTTGCAGTTCAAGTTTTTTTTTTTCTCATACCCATCACACATGCAAATGATACAAGAAATTTTATAATATTTCCAACTCCATTTACAATCATTTCTATAATAACAGTCATATGTCATCAGATGGAATGCTTGTAAATATTCATCAATACATCCATTTTACAAATAACCATAAGCCATATGGCCCATAAAAATGTGGTGGGTGGGCCAGTATAATTTTCCTGAAAAGAGGCTCATAAGCCAAATGAACTTAAAAGAAATTTTTTGAAAGACTGACTTTCAGGCTGGAAAGTCAAATAGTTTTTTAGCATAGACTACATCACTATCATGTTGCAATGCTATGTCATAACCAGAAACACTTAATAAGTATTCTTTCTGGATTTATTTTGATAGTGCTATTTGTTACTGTCTTCAAATTCACTTGTTCTTTAACTAAAGTAAATTGGGAGAGCAGAGTACTCATAAAAGTAGTTTAACCTAACATGTTTATGTGTATGTCTTAAGTCAGAAGCATTGTCAGGGAGTGGTTGTTTTTTTTTTTTATCTATTTAGAATTGTGCTGGATCATTTCAGAAACTTGTCAAAACTAAAAGATTCATATAACAGTGCAATTATCTGGTCATTACAGTAATAGGAGTCCTTTTTGATGGATTAATGTCTCCATAACATTTGTCCTACACGTTTAGATTCTTATCTATATTATATAGTATAGCATTAAAACCATGTTCATAAGTAGCCAGTTTCAATCTAAATAATAAAATCAATGTTGCATTTCAACATCAGATATTGACAACTTGAAACTACTGTAAATTCAGAAATTATTGTGTGCATTTATTACTGTGATTTTTATGATAATCTGCATACAAATATATGTATCAAATTCAGAATGCGAGTTCTTATTAATTCCATCCTCACCCAGTCACATTATTCACATAAATAAAATCCTAGCAATAATTTCTGAATTTGCAAATCTTGATAAGCTAAATAAAACATGAACTGAAGTATTTCACATTTTGTCACCCCAAAGCCTTGTTAAGAGTGAAATACGGTTTGTTCATTGCTGAATGCTGTACAACAGTGACCTGTTCAAATCCCTGCGCTTTGATCTCTGATAGATGGATGTCTCATTGGCAATAATAACCCATTTCCTTATTTTTACAATGATAAATTGGAATCATTTTCGTTAAATATAAAGCTTGAATTGCATCTCATTCAGAACAGGTATGTAGAATGGTCAAAACTTCTTCTAATACTGGAAACCACTAAAATCAATATGACAAAAAAATAATAGAATGTGTTCATGGGACAGATGCCCTGCTTGTAAATTTGCAAGAGTTAATATACTAATTCAAACCTACTGACGTTTCCTTTTCTGTGAAACTTAATACAGAAATGGCAAATTCAGCAATTTTTCCATTTATAAAGGGACATAACTGGAGAATAGTGAAAATGACGCCACAATGTATCTCACCAAATATTATCAACTTTCTAGTACTTATATGTCTGGTGAAATAGAGGTAGATAATGGTGCCGGACTAGCTGATAATCTCTCCCTTATACTATCTTATATCTAGTACTTACATGTCTGGTGAAATTGAGGTAGGTAATGGTGCCGGACTAGCTGATAACCTCTCCCTTATACTATATTATGTCTAGTACTTACATGTCTGGTGAAATTGAGGTAGGTAATGGTGCCGGACTAGCTGATAATCTCTCCCTTATACTATCTTATGTCTAGTACTTACATGTCTGGTGAAATTGAGGTAGGTAATGGTGCCGGACTAGCTGATAATCTCTCCCTTATACTATCTAATGTCTAGTACTTACATGTCTGGTGAAATAGAGGTAGATAATGGTGCCGGACTAGCTGTTAATCTCTCCCTTATACTATCTTATGTCTAGTACTTACATGTCTGGTGAAATTGAGGTAGGTAATGGTGCCGGACTAGCTGATAATCTCTCCCTTATACTATCTTATGTCTAGTACTTACATGTCTGGTGAAATTGAGGTAGGTAATGGTGCCGGACTAGCTGATAATCTCTCCCTTATACTATCTTATGTCTAGTACTTACATGTCTGGTGAAATTGAGGTAGGTAATGGTGCCGGACTAGCTGATAATCTCTCCCTTATACTATCTTATGTCTAGTACTTACATGTCTGGTGAAATTGAGGTAGGTAATGGTGCCGGACTAGCTGATAATTAGCTGTTAATCTCTCCCTTATACTATCTAATGTCTAGTACTTACATGTCTGGTGAAATTGAGGTAGGTAATGGTGCCGGACTAGCTGATAATCTCTCCCTTATACTATCTAATGCATCAGAGTCTTCATATTTTCTAGATGATTTTCTACTGGGAGATCTGAAATGATTATTTAGAAATATACAGTGCATTAACTTTTAAAATTTTTCTTCTGTACCATCTTACTTACAGTAATCTGTAATGGCTTCCCATAGTTTGTACCCATCATAATAGGCCTCCAAAACATTTACTGTTCATATTTTTCCTTTTTTTACTCATCCATAATAAAGCATTTAAAAAAGTTTATACTACCGTAATCGGGCTTGTTTAGTTAGCACTGGTGCATAGTCCGCACCCCCTTCTCCCCACGAAATTTCAGGTAAAAAAACTTTTTGTAACTGTTAGAAAAGGTCTAATGAAACTCCGGTAATTTTAAATCGTGTGTGGTCGTTTGCGGTATTTTCTTGGAAAAAACTATTTTCCATCACCAAACAGAAGCTGAAACTGCTTGTAAATGGTTCTAAAACACTTCACGCTGGTTAAAATAAGTCTAAATCACACAAAACACAATTTAGAAACTTGTGTTTGCTTAAACTGGGAGTTTGAAAAGCACGTGTAAAAGATGAAAAAACCCAGTAAGAGTCGAAATCCATACATAATAGATATCACTATAATACGACTTTGAAAGTAAAACAGTTCCCTCCTTATGTAAAACAGTGTTTAATATGTCTATCACATTAATGTTTGAAGGGTCTTAAGCTAATACAAAACATATTTGTCAATAGGAAACACCAAAACGGAACGAATAATAACCGATTAGGTTTTGTAGTTTACACATCGTAAGCTGGTTTACGGTTGTCTTTTTTTACTTTTTTTGTACGATGTCATTCAAGCAGATACCAGTTTATATTTAGCAATGCATTGAAAAGAAGTTAGAATTTTGTAATGAAGCATTTAATTTTTAGATTTATCAGTATTAATTTGATAGTGAATAAAAATAACTTATTTTAAAATATGGATTGGGTAAAATTGTTGGTTTGAAAAATGATAAGAGCGCCCTCTACAATGTCAATAACAAACATGGCGGAACGTAAACAAACCACATCACGAAATTGAAATTTTCTCTCTTATTTCTTGGTTATTGTACTCTATAGTCCGCACCCCTGCTGTCAGGGTCAATTTTGGAGAATAAAACCGCGGACTATACAAGCCTTTTAAAGGTATTTCTCCCTTTACTTTGAGTCTTCCTGAGAAGTTTTTTTTTACCCAACTGTATACATACAGTCTACTCTTGTTATGTTTGAAGTCAGTACGACCAGAGAATATTTCGAGAAACCCATAGTTCGACTCACACTTATACTGGAAGTTTGACAGACCCAGGGACACAACTCTTGCTTAGCTTGGTAAGGCTTAAATAGATCCAGATGAATATGGGAAGGGGATCGATATTCTGGTTTGAGATTAATGTATCTGTATGTAATGGTCTTTTATTAATATAATAAAATTAAATTATTATTTTTCATCTCTTATTTATTTCTTTGTATAGTTAAAAAAATTTCCTGATTTTTATATCTTAGCTTGATTTAAAGTTGACAAATTTGTTCAATCTTGTATACAAGAGATTTAATATTCTCATTTTCTTTTATTTCAATCTTTTCCTGCAAGAGAAAATACAATAAATGGGAAATGTGTCCATGGGACACAGATGATGCCCCCGCTTGCATATCATATAAAGTTATAAAGGGACATAACTGAAGAACAGTAAAAGTGAATCTACCCAAATTTGTACTTGATCGGAGTTTTGTGGTAATAAGTATAGTGTATAAGTTTCATAATATTTGGTTGAGGCAAACTTAAGTTAGTGAACGGAAATGAAAAATTCAGCAGTTTTTCCATTTGTAAAGGGGCAAACTCTAGAACAGTAAAAGTGACACCACCAAAATTCAAACTTGATCTGTATTTTGTGGTAATAAGCATTGTGTATAAGTTTCATAATATTTGGTTGAGGCAAACTAAAGTTAGAGAACGGAAACCAACTTTGGGACGTACGGACGGACAAGGGTAAAACTTAATGCCCCCTCCGCTACGGCGGATTAGTTTTGAGTTGATCATAGGTCTTAATTCCTACTTTATGCACAACCAAGCTCGTTAACGTATGATTACTGTTAATTGTTTTTAAAACGTTTTTAATAATTTTTCATTAACAATAACAATGTATCACTAACTATTTATCATGGTGATCAAAGATCATCTTATGTAAACACTTGTGGAAACAGAATGTCATAAATCAACACAATGGTCAGTGACTGGAAATATTTATTACGTTCCTATTGATGTAAACACAAAACGGTTGACGTGAGAGTCTTATTAGTTGTCAGATGAACTCTTCAATCCATTTGAATCCTTGATGTCATGTTTTTACATATATGTATTAGTTTGTTATAAATAATGCAATTTGAATACTTTTGGTAACCTTGAGACTGTAAATTTGGTTAGAGTCAACTGAAATGTTGACTCATCAGGAGTAGAAATACATATATATTATTAAAGTTTGGAACCATGGGAAAACTTCGACTCATCCGAAATTTTGAGACACGAGAGTTAACTGTACTGGTAAAACACCCGAATTGAGTCTTGATCAAACATTGAGATCTTATCTTAGAACCTTATTCAAATACAACATAACATATTATGAATATAGTATCTCCACAAAAGAGGTGTGGTTTGTCAATCAGCTATATTTACATAGTGCAACCTACATTCAAACATATCTTTTTAGGCTTCTCATATATTTACATATACATGTTTGCTGTCTGCCATATTTGTTTTCATTTATTGTTTTGTCATGAATCAGGCTATTGTGTATTTTTCTTTGAAATGTTTCACATTGTGTCCTGTCAGTGCCTTTAACAGCTTACTATACAGTACAGGTTAACTGTACAGTATGGCATTAATATTAAGTGTGGGTTTTGCTTATTGAGATTTACATCATCACCCTTAGGTCTCTGATGAATATATAGTTGTCTCCATGGCAATTATATCATATATTATCTTTTTTTTATTTAAATTACAAAGAAACATCCCTTCTAGCTTGTAATGTCTATTTAAAGATTATTTTGGATTCAAGTAAATTCAAACATATTTTTTGTTCAATCCCATACATTCCAACATAAAAATGTATCACTTAAAACTTTCCATACAACACTTCATGTATCATACCTGGATTTTGTCCTTGAACTTTTCTTTGACTTCTTTGACTTCTTTGATGTTTTAGTTGGTGGATCTATAATTATTACAGCTGATGGTGACCTTGACCTTTTACGACTAGGTGACCTTGACTTTTGATATGGACTAGACTGTCTGGAAGTTTTATATCTACTTGGTGACCTAGATTCTGACCTAAAAAAAAAAAAAAGATCAGTAACAAGAAGTATAATTTAAGTTAAACAACAAGTTCATTTTACTGAGATAATGAAATTACCTACCAAATCTTAGGCTATATAGTAAAATAGCAATTGACAGGTGTCAATACAAGTCTTCTGGTTTTTTTTCAAACGAAATCTATAAAAATACACATCAGCAATGTAATTAAAATGTGAAAAATATGGTAACCAGGCTAGGTGAGAAATCATATTCAAATATTTACAATAGGTGTTCACACAAATGCTTATCTTTTATTGGCTGAATGACAAATCATTTGATTCCAACAACTTACAATTATAGAATTATAAGCTCTGCCAACCTAATTAATCAACACTTTTTTTACACATTGTTCTTGTACTTCATTCAAAACGTTATGTTTTATAAAAAATCACAAATTTTAATAATATGAAATAGTAGCGGACATTATATATTTTGTAATTATATAGGTTTGATTGTAGATAACTACCTTCGTATACTAGGGAAGGCACTTGGTGGTGGTGGTGCTGGAGATTTTCGTTTCCTAGGTGACCGTGACCTTGAACGTGGTTTGGATCGCTTTGGTGACCTTGATCTTGACCTTGAGTATTTGGACTTTTTCGTTCTCTTTGGCTCGTTGTCTTCTCTTGGTTCCTCAGATGGAGCAGGTGTATGTGATCTGCTACTACTTGGTGTTCCTCCGTCTGTAAATAGATAAACATAAGATAAGATCGTCAGATGGAGCAGGTGTATGTGACCTACTACTACTTGGTGTTCCTCCGTCTGTAAATAGATAAACACCATCATTTCTATATCAATGATGTAAGGACATTGAGCTCGCTTTCAGTTAGTGCATGTGCATTTTGATACAGAATGTTCTAGATAAAACTAAGGAGACAGGATTGTAAAAGAAAGAACTAGCTTGTCAAAAGAATCGTGTCAGTGGTTGTCCTTAGTTGTATATTTTACTGTATTTTTGTGTTCTCTAGGGTGTTCAGTGTTCACGGCAGAGCTTTGTTTGTCTCTGTTTAATTAATTAACATCGTTTCCAGATTCTGCAGGATTCAGAGACATTTATCTATTGTGATGATTGTATAATGATCTCTAGATGTCGTTTGTGTATTTCAGTTGCTTTCATTTACCGCATAATTTCTTTTTTCAAAACATAAAATATATCTGTAATTGTTAAATTTTTCTGACATTTTTTAAAAATTTTACGATGAAGAAAAATAAATCTTTTTACAGTGTCAAACTTTACTTTCAAAAAGATTATAGCCCGTCTCCAGGTGCGGGATTTTCTCACTATGTTGAAAACCCATTGGTGTCCTTCAGCTGTTTTTCTGCTCTTTGGTCAGGTTGTTGTTTCTTTGAGACATTCCCCGTTTCCATTCTCAATTATATAATTTTTTTTAATAACACAAATGCATGAATGTAAGAATTGTCATATATAACATAGCCCATTTAATTATAAATTTGATACTGGAGGTCAGAAATGAGCCAATGATTACACAGATGATTTTAAAGTGATGAAGTTCTACCTACTTTTGTTTTCATCAGAAGATTTTGTAGATTTTAACATATTGATAAACATGGCTGCCTTCCTTTTCCTCTCAGCCTGGATCTGTTTTTCTCGACTAGCTTTAGATAACTTTTCTCTAGCAGCCATTGCTAATTTATCTTTCAATTTTTCATGAGCTGCAACAAATTTGAGTAATTTATAAATCAATTAATATACTAATTCAATTAGTGCAATCCGTTTAGCTTTTTAAAAGTCTGTTATAAATTGAAAGTCTATAAATAACAGAACTTAAAAAGCAGAAAAAAATTGAAAGGTTTAAAATCAACACCTTTTTTCTTTCAAAAAAACTATGAAAAAATAATAAGAATTTTATAAAATTTTCAAAAATGGCTTTTTAAACTATACAGTTTAAACTGTATGTAATAAAATTATGAAAAGAAAAGTAGGGGTTAGCGGGCAAAATTTTTATTTGCACTACATGGATAAACCAGAGGATTCCGAATATCTAACAAAAGTCAAAAACAAGAGTAGCAAACATCCTTAATATGCATTGCATGTTGCATCAGACTGGATTAGAATAAAATGCTACACTGGGGCGCAGCTTGATACGACCGCAGAGGTCGAACCCTGAACAGTTGGGGCAAGTATGGACACAACATTCAAGCTTGATTCAGCACTGAATTTGGATTGTAATTAAAAATTTGACACAGCATAGGTTTCTGACACACAATGAATGTGGTCTAAGAACTTAAAAATCTTTAATTTACCTATTCAAACCATATCATTATTATTTGCTTTTATATATAAATCAGAAATAACCAATTTAGAATGGAAAATTTAAAGGAAAAAAAAGGAAAAAAATAATCCCCCCCCCCCCCAAATTTTTTGAACCCCCTTAAGATTCATCACCCCCAAACTCAATCCCAGCCTTCCCTTTGTGGTATGGTACCTTGCAGTACAATTTCAGAGAGATCCATACACTTGAACACAAGTTATTGTCTGGAAACTAGAAAAATGCTTGTTTTTTGGCCCCTTTATGGCCCCAAATTCCTAAACGTTTAGGGCAATTACCCCCAAACTCAAACCCAGCTTTCCCTTTGTGATATGGAACCTTGTAGTACAATTTCATAAAGATCAATACACTTACACACAAGTTATTGTACTGAAACTAGAAAAATGCTTGTTTTTTTTGCCCCTTTATGGCCCCTAATTCCTAAAATTTTGAGGCAATTACCCCCAAAATCAATCCCAGCCTTCCCTTTGTGGTATGGTACCTTGCAGTACAATTTCAGAGAGATCCATACACTTGAACACAAGTAATTGTCTGGAAACTAGAAAAATGCTTATTTTTGGCCCCTTTTTGGCCCCTTATTCCTAAATGTTTTGGGCAATTACCCCCAAACTCAATTCCAGCTTTCCCTTTGTGATATGGAACCTTGTAGTACAATTTCATAAAGATCCATACACTTACACACAAATTATTCTCATGAAGCTAGAAAAATGCTTGTTTTTTGCCATTTTTTGGCCCCTAATTCCTAAAATTTTGAGGCAATTACCCCCAAAATCAATCCCAGCATTCCCTTTGTGATATGGAACCTTGTGGTACAATGTCAGAGAGATCCATACACTAACACACAAGTTATGTCTGGAAGTTACAAAAATGCTAATTTTTGGCCCCTTTTTGGCCCCTTATTCCTTAACTGTTGGTACCATAACCCCCAAAATCAATCCCCACCTTCCTTTTGTGGTATTAAATCTTATGGTAAAATTTCATAGAGATCCATTCACTTAAACTAAAGTTAGAGTGCGAAAACCAATGTGTCTTCGGATGACGACGACGCCAATGTCACACCAATATACGGCCGCAAAATTTTTTTGCGGTCGTATAAAAATTGCATAAAAATATACTTGGAATCTGGAAATCAACTTGAATTTAGCATTATTGGTGGGTGTGAAATATTTCAGTATGTTGCACATATTAAAATGTATACAGGCCTTCAGAATTGCTTCTAAGGATGGTAACTATTTTCAAAGCACCTTCCCTGAAGCCATGTGGGTTTAAATCAAAGTCCTTAAAAAAAAATTAATAAGAAAAGAACAGAGTTCCAATGTCCCCCGCGTTGCACATATTTTATCTATCCAAGGTACAAGGGCAATAACTAAATAAAACACTTTTTTTTTTATAGCGCTTACAAGCTTAAGGCCATTTTCCATAAATTAAAAATTTCCAAGGGGCATAAATCTTTTAAAAAAAAGTCGATCGACAACCATTTTTAAAACTTGTCCGAGATATTGCTGATATTAACCTAAAGTATAAGTTTTATAAAAATCTTGCAAGAATTGTACCCGTGAGAGTGCTAACGAGGCCATTTTCCATAATTCTAATATTTCCAAGGGGCATAACTCTTTTAAACAAGAATGTGTCCATAGTACACTGATGCCCCATGCACACTATCATTTTTCTATGTTCAGTGGACTGTGAAATTGGGGTCAAAACTCTAATTTGGCATTAAAATTATAAAGATCATATCAAAAGGAACAAGTGTACTAAGTTTCAAGTTGATTGCACTTCAACTTCATCAAAAATGCGGCTATTTTAGAAAAAGAAGCGAGAAAGGATGGGGACAATTTGTACTTCAGATTCTATTATGACATTCTTCTTTTGCTTTGGAAACAAAGCCATGTTTTAATTCCAATAAAACATGGGCTGCACGTGATTGACGTCACAATTGAAACTGCAACATCAGTTGAATTTTGAACAACGCCGGAGATCAAAATGGACATTTGTGTTGGTGTTGCTTGCTAGGAAATTAAATAAAATCATTCTAAAAGTAAGTTTAAATGTATCTGTTAATTTTTATCAATAAACTGTGGATTTTCTATGTTTTTGGTTCATCAAATCAAAATGGCTGCCTTTTGAACGTGTATTATAGGTCCGCTTCGAAGTACAAAAGTTCAAAATATTCCTACAAGAATCTAAATAATTCTATCATGCCATGCTCTATGCTCATTTTAACATGGGTAGGCATTATATTTGTCAACATTTTACACCTTGCTACAGCTCGGTATAAAGATATTGACAAATATAATGCCTACCCATGTTAAAATGAGCATAGAGCATGGCATGAAAGAACTATTTCTTAAACAATGTATTGAAGGGAGGATGTTAGAATACATTTTTCTGTCCTCTTCAATTTAAATGTGTGGTTAGGTAACTTTCAACCCTAAAACAATTGCTTTTCATGGAGATTTTCAACAGTGCATTTTAATTGAAAAATTTGTCACAATGTTTTATCTTTAGTACCATACTGTTCTTGATTTATTGGGACATCTAAAAAAAAGATGGTCTTCTAAGCCCTTTGTTTGTGGTGTCTCTTGTAATAATCTACTGAGTTTTCTAAAAACCTGTGTGGTGACATCTCATCGGAATCAGATTTACCCTTAATTAACAAGTTCATGAAGTAACATCTCAGATTGGCTTTACTCTCAATTATATACCTCAGATTGATCTTACCTAGTTTTTTCTCTGACCTCTCTGATTGCCTCTCGTCTGATGATATTCTACTTGACTCTCCATCCACAGGTGTTGATGTTCCTGACATATCAGATCTAATACTTCTATCTCGTGCACTTTCGGAATCTAAAATTAGAAAAATAAATGTAAGCTCAATTTAAGCAACCTTTTTAATATTTAGTAAGATAGTAGCAGGTTATAAATAGCAGGTATAATCAAGAGTTCTCAGAAATAATAACTCACCTTATGCTGGAAACGAACTCTTTCATCATTTATCACAAAGATGAAGTCTACTGTCACACCAAAACATGAAGATGATTATCAAGTTTTCATCATATGCATTGTGACCAATTGTATCTTTACTTTTATTTGTAGTATATCAAAAGAATCAGTTTGTAAATGATGTTTAGAATAAATATTTCAAATAAAGATACGGTGGAATCATATCACAATGACAGTGTCTTCCCTAGAAAATTTTTCATGCATGGTGGGTCCATGGTGAATTTGCAACGCGGCACGCGACGCTTCTTTTTCAGAATTAGTTACACTACATAATATTTATGTTTAAAGCCATATACCAATCTAATTGTTTTAATATAGGTACAGCAATTCATACAATTCATGGAACTTTAAAGTATTTATCACAGGTGAGAGTAATTAACTAAAGACCTTATAAGCAATAATAAAAAAAATCCAGTCTGCAATAGTAATTTACAAATTAATGCCATGTACACATTATTTTGTTGATATCTTCCTCTGTTTCAACTTTCCAAAGGTCACCACACATTTTTCAAAATTAAAATCTTCCTTCTTTGGTCCTTCAATTGATACATGTTGTATATGCATTAAGCAATTCAGCACTTTTTGACATAGTCTGTTTCTCAACTTCAGGGCTTTGCTCATGGTGATGATTTTTATCTGTCTGACAACAATTTGATGAAGGAGTAGACTTTTCTGATTCTTCTCTAACCAACTTGCCAAAAAAGTTGGGCCAGTAAGGCAACCTTTCTTTGATGGTTGCTTGGACATGGTTGTTTAAACGATTGATGATTGTTCTTCGAATTTTGCTGATAGAATGATTTCAGCATCAACAGCAACTTGTTAAATAAAACTTTATATGTCATCATTGCTTCACAGAGATTTTACAGGAAACAATATTATAAAAAAAAAATATTTGCGTTAATTACAGAAGTCGTCAATGAAGAAGATCTGACCTACGTACATACAGATGACATATTTGGCAATAACCTGTTTGGAAGGTAAGCTTACATTTTATTTCATGACAATTAACTATTTTTTTACATACATCCCTGTCCGATTTATTTATAATGCTTCATAATTGTAAAAATCCAATCTTGCCGAAGTGAAAGAAATTAAGCCCCACTTGTGTAAAAAACCGCAAATGAATCCGCTACACTTAAGCTTGTGACCCATTGAAATACAAATAGAACAACACAAGTTTATTAAAAACAATATTTCCGTAACTAACTACGTTTTTTTTTTAAAGTTTTTCTATGAAATCTTTTAAATATTTCATAAGAGACGTCTTTTTCTTGGCCCGGTGGCGGTGATGTGTATTCTTTGATATAATCAATCAACCACGAGTAATCTAAAAATAACTGATTGTTGTGACCAATCAAAAAATAATTCATCGATGTAAATATAGCCGATGAAATAACTGCGAAACTTCATTAAAAAAAATGTTTTGTTCATTCTCTGTGAAATTACGTTGGTTTTATTTTATGATACCAGAGACTATACCAAATTTTAAATTTATACTTTTTAAAGGTAAACAGTAAAATAACGGTGTCAAACACCCGTTTTAAAGGTGAAATTTATACTGGAAAAGGTTAAACTTTTATTTAGCACAGAAAGATGTGCATTGGAGATTAATCTGACTATTTATTTATCAGCTAACTGGCCACTTCTATTATGTAACCGAAGTCTCGATGTATAACCAACTAATCAAGAAGGTTGTAAAATCCTGGCACGCGTGAAGTGATGCATCCAATTATCAGTCGGATGAGTTTAAAACACCTGTGGAGTGTTGTCACTTGTCACTTCACTTTCAAAATATTGATAATAAATATTTTACACAGTTATAATTTTCACACATAGCGGGATGCATTGCGGCAATGATAAAAGCATGGCGGTCGAAATTTATGCGTAGCAGTACCGCAATGCTTGAATAGCCTAGGGAAATCACTGAATGATTATGATAAACAGCAAATAATGAATTTTCACAAGAAATTTATTTACATGTTTTTAAAAAACTTGACAAAAACTGTGAAAATAAAGTGCTAAAAAGTAAGCCAAGAAGGGTTCAACACGGAAAAAGTAAGCACAAATATAATTTGTTTTATCACTGGTATCTTACCTTCATCTCCATTGCTATCATGGTCAAATACTTTCTTCTCTGATGATACTACGTCACTACTAATTTCTTACCTTCGTCTCCACTGCTATCATGGTCAAACACTTTCTTCTCTGATGAGACAACACCATCTTGATCTTTGGATTTGTTCTTTATAGAGAAACTAAGTTTGGCTGGTTTCTCTTTCTCAAGTTTTTCTCGTTCCTTCAATACTTCCTGGAAATATATGAAAGAAAAAAATTCAAAACAAATTCACATAATTTCATATTCTTTAAGTGTGGTTAAACTTTAAACTAAATGTCGAGGTTTAACTTTTAGTAAATTATAGTTTGTATGGTGAACCAAATTAGTTAGCCTGTTATCTAGGTGTTGGATATCTTAGGTAAGCGACGAAAAATATTGTTTTTATAAAAATACGATTAACCCTTTAAGCTTGTAACGATTGAATTCTGCTTATTTCATACCTGGATTTATATTTATATATGTAAAATCAGTTTTGATAAAACTAGAATACTGTGGTTCATTTATTTTTCGTGAGTACTAATTTTTGTGGATTTCCAGAAAAATTGGTATCCCACAATTAATAATAAATCCATATTTGATATTTTTGATATTTTTCATTCCTTACTTTTAATCAGGGTTTCAGCTAGGATTTTGAGGGCTTTAGTCACTTTTGCACGAGAAAAAAATCAACCTTTTTTGGGGTAAAAGCAATGGACCAAAGATATGTATTACTAGCTATACATCTTTGAAGGACTTAGGCATGCTCAGGCAGTTATCGCATAATTTTATAGATGTGGTGCTTAAGTATGAAGATTATAATAAGATCTAATAAGGATCCAGATTTCTAGTTTACAATTTCAGTTCAGTTATTTTCAGGGGACATTCCTGATCAACAAAAGTTGGGTTCCTTTTTTTTAAATCAAGAATCACAGCATAAATGAACCTGTAAAGACTATTTCACTGCATAATCATTATCCTTGTAAAAACGGTTAAATCGATATTTGGAATTCATTTCTATAAACTTGGAACCAAGGATTTGTACAAACGATTCTAATGACTGTATATTGTAAATTAATCAAGAATAGATCACGTTTACTTTCGATTTTTAAATGAAATGAAAACGGGAATTGACAGAATAATAAATTCAGAATGAAAATCATATCAAAAACTGTCTATAGTTGAGTATAATACATACCACACCCTTTCTACCAACTACTTTTTGGGGGTAAAAAAATGTGTACTATACACACCTAAAGACGGTAAGTGATCTTGTGGTAGTACGCTCATCTCTAGTGTTGAAGGTTTTTGTGTTTTTGTTTTCAACTCCTGCCTAGTCGATCAATACATTTAAATATGTTTTTGTTGTACATGCTTAATTTCACTTGTCAACAAATGTTGAAGTGGGCTTATTCATGTGCAAAACAATGGTTACATTACCTACCTCAATAAATATTTTCTTTTTAGAGTTGTAATATCTGAAGTATGAATGCCATGGTTGTAGAAATTCAAAGCGTGGATCATTTTTACTTCTGACTACAATCTCAAATTCCACACCATTCTTGGCAACATACATGGCCATACGATCAATGATTGGCTGGATGTCAGGTGGTGGCGGTATAACCTTTGGCTCTAATGATGGACCCATCATCACTGGGGCATGCTGAACACTAGAAAACAGATTCAAAAATACTGTTATGTTCAAAATAAACTCATCATAGATACCAGGATTCAAATTTTGTTTGCAAGACACACGTTTCGTTAACAAAAGACTCAACAGTGACATTCATACTTTTTTAAAAGTTATAAAGGCCCAAAAAAGTATGAAGTTGAAAAGTATTGAGGACATAAAATTCCAAAATGTTTTGCCAAATACAGCTTAGGTAAATACAGATTTTTGAATATTCTTGATAAATTTCACCGCAAAAAATGTGAATCAAATCTAACAAATACTTTAAAATTTTACTACGATTTATTGATCCTAAATTAGCATTTTTTTTTAACATGACATATTATTACACCAATAGAGTACATGAAATACTGTAGATTTCCTATATTTTCGTGAATACCAACTTTAAATGTCAATTCACCTAAACTCATATAATCAAACGAAAATAAGAACCCTATGAAAAATGAATCCACAGTAATTAAGTAACAACATTTACAATGTGTTTAAAAATAACACTAAAGGTTTACTAAGTCATTACAGATCAGCAAGCATGGTAGTACTTTAAGCTGAAAGCTTGTACAAGTTTTGATTGTCTGTAATTGATTTCATAATTGGAGTGTTGTTTGGTTGCAGTCTTTATTAAGTCAAAATTACTTTTATAACCAGCAGCTAAGATCTTTAATATAATAATGACCTTTAAATGGTTGTTTAACTAGTATATGATTGAACTGTTTCCTCAGACAAACCTTGGTGGCTTTTCCTCTTCTGGTTCCTCCTCCATAACTTGTTGTTGTAGATGTGGTGGGATCAATGGTCCCTCTAACTCTGTACCTGGGGGTGGAGGCTGGTTAGATGATGGTAAGGTGACAGGTTCCAGTCCTGGGGGTGGGGGAACACCAGGGTGCATGTGATGATAGTCTGTTGTCTGATGTATAAACGTATTACTTGACTCCGGGGGAGGAGTGCTGCTCGTAGGCTGGGGAGAGTAACTTTTTCCTGAGTATGGGTCCTGATTAGGTGTTGGTGAATTACTGAAATGAAAATACATATCAATTAATTTTAATTTATCTTAAACATATTTTGTGTGATAATTTAATGCATTAAAATATATCAATTTATATTTTAAAGGTATATTATCATACAGTAACAGAACTTACAGACTTTGTCCACCATCTACATAAACAAACATGAAAGTTTCAATAATATCAATACATTATCATTAACAACTTTGGTGTGATTGAAACAGGTAAACACTTTTTTCACTATAAGATAGATTAAACTGGAGGCTGTCACAAAAGGGGTATGACACCAGTTAATCGTGTTAATGTTTTCTGCAATGTCAACAAAATCGTTCATGTTGCTCTTCTAAGACAAATTCCGTCAATACCATTCAACTCTACAAAAACTTTGTTAAAAGAAGAGTTAGCTACAAACAATGCTTCGACAGACTTTACAGACCCTATTGTCAAAGGATCTGCTGAAAAAATTGCTGAGTCAGGACTTATGACTTCCCCTTTTTCAAACCACAGACATTTGTTTTGAGTAATCTAATACTCACCTGTTTCTATCGGAGTCAGGAGTAGATTTTTTCAGATGTTTGAGCAATTTACCATACGGTGTATCATGTATAGATATAGCTGGCATCTTGACAGCAGGTGCTAAGTTAGGCTTGGTAGTGTGTGTCTGCACTAAACTTGGATGTAAATATCCATGCTGACTATGGGGAGCATCATCATCTGAAAAAAGAGTTTTATCATTTTACATTTATATTCAGAACATTCAAAGTCAATTAAAAATCTCTCAATTATTCACACTAAATACTGTTTTTTTTGGGTAAATTCAAGCTGCAATTTATCTCTGTATATTTTATAGACTGACACGCTGTACTGTACTTTTAATGTGCTAGTTCACAAGGTAACAGTCTGCAGGAAGACGTGTCACCATATGCAGACACATTATTTTGACTCCCAACAGTGGAGACAAGGTAAAAGTCTGCAGAAAGACGTGTCACCATATGCAGACACATTATTTTGACTCCAAACAGTGGAGACAAGGTAACAGTCTGCAGGAAGACATGTCACCATATGCAGACACATTATTTTGACTCCAAACAGTGGACACAAGGTAACAGTCTGCAGGAAGACGTGTCACCATATGCAGACACATTATTTTGACTCCAAACAGTGGAGACAAGGTAACAGTCTGCAGGAAGACGTGTCACCATATGCAGACACATTATTTTGACTCCAAACAGTGGAGACAAGGTAACAGTCTGCAGGAAGATGTGTCACCATATGCAGACACATTATTTTGAATGTGAACAGTGGAGACAAGGTAACAGTTTGCAGGAAGACGTGTCCCCATATGCAGACACATTATTTTGACTGTAAACAGTGGACACAAGGTAACAGTCTTCAGGAAGTTGTGTCACCATATGCAGACACATTATTTTGACTCCAAACAGTGGAGAAGCAGCAAATACCAATTTTCAAGTCTTTGATTTGACCCGTCCTGGATTCTAACCCATATTGTTAGTCAAACTGTGAAGAAATTACTAAGATTTGGTAAATCTTTTTCTATTTATAGGAGTAGAGATATTTAAGTTGACACAATAGAATAAACATGCAACATTGCTATAACAGAATATACTAACCTTTGCTATCGTCATCTTCCTCTTTAATTTGTTTTGGTTTATATTTGCCAGATTTAATCATATTGACCATATGTTTGTAGTACTAACCTTTGTTATCGTCATCCTCCTCTTTAATTTGTTTTGGTTTATATTTGCCAGATTTAATCATATTGACCATATGTTTGTAGTACTAACCTTTGTTATCGTCATCTTCCTCTTTAATTTGTTTTGGTTTATATTTGCCACATTTAATCATATTGACCATATGTTTGTAATACTAACCTTTGCTATCGTCATCTTCCTCTTTAATTTGTTTTGGTTTATATTTGCCAGATTTAATCATATTGACCATATGTTTGTAATACTAACCTTTGCTATCGTCATCTTCCTCTTTAATTTGTTTTGGTTTATATTTGCCAGATTTAATCATATTGACCATATGTTTGTAATACTAACCTTTGCTATCGTCATCTTCCTCTTTAATTTGTTTTGGTTTATATTTGCCAGATTTAATCATATTGACCATATGTTTGTAGTACTAACCTTTGCTATCGTCATCTTCCTCTTTAATTTGTTTTGGTTTATATTTGCCAGATTTAATCATATTGACCATATGTTTGTAATACTAACCTTTGCTATCATCATCTTCCTCTTTAATTTGTTTTGGTTTATATTTGCCAGATTTAATCATATTGACCATATGTTTGTAATACTAACCTTTGCTATCGTCATCTTCCTCTTTAATTTGTTTTGGTTTATATTTGCCAGATTTAATCATATTGACCATATGTTTGTAGTACTAACCTTTGCTATCGTCATCTTCCTCTTTAATTTGTTTTGGTTTATATTTGCCAGATTTAATCATATTGACCATATGTTTGTAGTACTAACCTTTGTTATCGTCATCCTCCTCTTTAATTTGTTTTGGTTTATATTTGCCAGATTTAATCATATTGACCATATGTTTGTAGTACTAACCTTTGTTATCGTCATCTTCCTCTTTAATTTGTTTTGGTTTATATTTGCCAGATTTAATCATATTGACCATATGTTTGTAGTACTAACCTTTGTTATCATCATCCTCCTCTTTAATTTGTTTTGGTTTATATTTGCCAGATTTAATCATATTGACCATATGTTTGTAATACTGACCTTTGTTATCGTCATCCTCCTCTTTAATTTGTTTTGGTTTATATTTGCCAGATTTAATCATATTGACCATATGTTTGTAATACTAACCTTTGTTATCGTCATCCTCCTCTTTAATTTGTTTTGGTTTATATTTGCCAGATTTAATCATATTGACCATATGTTTGTAATACTGACCTTTGTTATCGTCATCCTCCTCTTTAATTTGTTTTGGTTTATATTTGCCACATTTAATCATGTTGACCATATGTTTGTAGTACTAACCTTTGCTATCGTCATCTTCCTCTTTAATTTGTTTTGGTTTATATTTGCCAGATTTAATCGTATTGACCATATGTTTGTAGAACTAACCTTTGCTACCGTCATCCTCCTCTTTAATTTGTTTTGGTTTATATTTGCCAGATTTAATCATATTGACCATATGTTTGTAGTACAGTCGACTCCACTTAATTGCATACCGCTTAATAGCATAATTCGGTTAATTGCATAGTTTTCGCCTGCACAAAACCATTTCCCATTCATCTAATGTTAAATTGTCCGGTTATATGCATAGCTCTACAAGTGGCCTTTCGGTTTATTGCATAGAAAATTATCGCCATCTAGATATGCTTGGTTAAATCTGTAAAAAATTTTGACCGGAAACGGCAAGTTGGTGAGTATATTTTTCTTGAATGCATCATTATTTTCATTATTATTTCATATTTACTTTTGTGTTATTCAAATAAAGTTTTAAAACAGTTTCTTTCGTGTTTATTTGATTGAATTTGATTAAAAATAAACCTCGATATCTACACAGGTAAAGTTTCCCATGTTCTATTTTAAGCCTCGAGGTCATAAAAATGTCATACAGGTAATTGTTGTAAAAACACTGACCATTCTATCTTAAAAGGTGTAAATAATTGATTGGATTTCAAACATTGTCCATAGATTACATTTGGGGTGAAATTCAAAAACAATAACGCCTGCTAATTATCGATCATTATCCAATGTGAACTCTCTAATATTGGGCTTGGGTGATCTGCATTTATGTTAAATATTATAGGGCATTTATATATGGTTAAAGAATTTTATACATCAATCATTTAATTTTAATGTATTTTGAAAAGAGCATTTACTTCTAATTATTATATTTTCTCACTTTCAATACTCGTGTCCAGCAAATAACCCGTACAGGGCCCGATTACTGCTTTGCATATACGAAACTAACGAAGTTAAATAAACAGTGTTTCTTCACTCTGCAAGCTGTAAATATTGTATATCAAAGGCAGTTTAGTACACATCTATTGTTAAAATGATTATAAACTGTGTAGTTTTGTTAAACAGTTTATTTCAATCAAAGCGTAACAATGTACATTGTACATACGGGTCATAGAAACAAATCTATTTTTAGAACGAATTTATTTTCGTATCCCAGGTAAACTGGTAAAGGAAACGTCGGTACGCAAATAAACTAAAACAAAATGTGTTTATAATCTTTATTGAAATAATACAAAATGAAATAACATGTATGACACTAGACATATAACTTTTATTAGAATAAATCAACATTCAATATGTTGTAATTGGATTATAGACGTTCATCTTTCTTCAGGGATTTCCTTTACTGATCTGTTCTATCGATGTTATTTGACTCCGTAATTTGGCATTTCGGATATAAGCATACTCCGCTTTATTGCATAATTTTGTCTGACAAATAGGCTATGCAAATAACCGGAATGTACTGTACTAACCTTTGCTATCGTCATCTTCCTCTTTAATTTGTTTTGGTTTATATTTGCCAGATTTAATCATATTGACCATATGTTTGTAGTACTAACCTTTGCTATCGTCATCCTCCTCTTTAATTTGTTTTGGTTTATATTTGCCAGATTTAATCATGTTGACCATATGTTTGTAGTACTAACCTTTGCTATCGTCATCTTCCTCTTTAATTTGTTTTGGTTTATATTTGCCAGATTTAATCATGTTGACCATATGTTTGTAGTACTAACCTTTGTTATCATCATCCTCCTCTTTAATTTGTTTTGGTTTATATTTGCCAGATTTAATCATATTGACCATATGTTTGTAATACTGACCTTTGTTATCGTCATCCTCCTCTTTAATTTGTTTTGGTTTATATTTGCCAGATTTAATCATATTAACCATATGTTTGTAGTACTAACCTTTGCTATCGTCATCTTCCTCTTTAATTTGTTTTGGTTTATATTTGCCAGATTTAATCATATTGACCATATGTTTGTAGTACTAACCTTTGCTATCGTCATCTTCCTCTTTAATTTGTTTTGGTTTATATTTGCCAGATTTAATCATATTGACCATATGTTTGTAGTACTAACCTTTGTTATCATCATCCTCCTCTTTAATTTGTTTTGGTTTATATTTGCCAGATTTAATCATATTGACCATATGTTTGTAATACTGACCTTTGTTATCGTCATCCTCCTCTTTAATTTGTTTTGGTTTATATTTGCCAGATTTAATCATATTGACCATATGTTTGTAATACTGACCTTTGTTATCGTCATCCTCCTCTTTAATTTGTTTTGGTTTATATTTGCCAGATTTAATCATATTGACCATATGTTTGTAATACTGACCTTTGTTATCGTCATCCTCCTCTTTAATTTGTTTTGGTTTATATTTGCCAGATTTAATCATATTGACCATATGTTTGTAATACTAACCTTTGTTATCGTCATCTTCCTCTTTAATTTGTTTTGGTTTATATTTGCCAGATTTAATCATATTGACCATATGTTTGTAGTACTAACCTTTGCTACCGTCATCTTCCTCTTTAATTTGTTTTGGTTTATATTTGCCAGATTTAATCATATTGACCATATGTTTGTAATGCTGACCTTTGTTATCATCATCCTCCTCTTTAATTTGTTTTGGTTTATATTTGCCAGATTTAATCATATTGACCTAATGTTTGTAATACTAACCTTTGCTATCGTCATCTTCCTCTTTAATTTGTTTTGGTTTATATTTGCCAGATTTAATCATATTGACCATATGTTTGTAATACTGATTTAACGGATCCTCAAAATGAAGAAAATCAAACTGAGAATTCTTGGCTTGTTTGGTCTTAATTATAATTTCCATCTGCATTCCATGACCAGCAATAAACTTGGCTGTCTTCTCTATAAATGCATGTTGTTTTTCTGTATCAGGCTGAAATTAGAAGTTATATCTAATCATGAAGACATTAACAAGATCTTGTTTTATTACATTGTAGACCTTACTACAAGTTATTCAGACTTTTCAAGAGAATAAATAGAAACTGAGCTACCCTCAGTCACCTAACCTATTCATCATTTAAATTTTTCAAAATTTTCTTTTAACCTAAAATCTTACATAAATGCTATTCCTTTTGGTTTCATGATCTTTTATTGGTCTTTAGTTTAATAAAAAATAGGAATAAAAAGAGATGTGGTGTATACGTCAATGAGACAGCAATCCAGAGAAAAAAACAATAGATATCAAGAAATCAACACACCGAGTCTTTAACAATAGGTGCTTATTCAGTATATCTAGGTCTAAAACTTCCAAAGTCTGAAATGTTGTGAATTTATAGATTATCAATGGTTTTTCATACAAGAGGGTGTAATCTCATCGAAGAGTTATAACCCTGAGATGAGACGTAGCTGAGAAACATCATCAAGTGTGAGAGATCATTGATATTCTGTTTATCGCTGTTTTCCAAGGCAACATCAATAACATAGGCTTATAACTATAACGTCGTCATTTTCTCTCTCTACTTGACAGAGAAAACCATTCTAAGCTGAGTAATATGATATGAAAATTATCACAAAAAGAAAGCAAAGCAAAATGAGAAAATAGAGATAATAAAATGCTCCGCTGGGGCGCAGCTTGATACGACCGCAGAGGTCGAACCCTGAACAGTTGGGGCAAGTATGGACACAACATTCAAGCTTGATACAGCACTGAATTTGGATTGTAATTAAATATTTGACACAGCATAGGTTTCTGACACAGAATGAATGTGGTCTAAGAACTTACAAATTTTTAATTTACCTATTCAAACCATATCATTATTATTTGCTTTTATATATAAATCAGAAATAACCAATTTAAAATGGAAAATTTTAAAGAAAAAAAAGGAAAAAAAAATCCCCCCCAAATTTTTTGAACCCCCTTATGATTCATCACCCCTAAACTCAATCCCAGCCTTCCCTTTGTAGTATGGTACCTTGCAGTACAATTTCAGAGAGATCCATACACTTGAACACAAGTTATTGTCTGGAAACCAGAAAAATGCTTTTTTTTTTGCCCCTTTTTTGCCCCTTATTCCTAAACGTTTTGGGCAATTACCCCCAAACTCAATTCCAGCTTTCCCTTGGTGATATGAAACCTTGTAGTACAATTTCATAAAGATCCATAAACTTACACACAAGTTATTGTCATGAAACTAGAAAAATGCTTGTTTTTTGCCCCTTGTTTGCCCCTAATTCCTAAAATTTTGAGGCAATTACCCCAAAAATCAATCCCAGCATTCCCTTTGTGATATGGAACCTTGTGGTACAATGTCAGAGAGATCCATACACTTACACACAAGTTATTGTCATGAAACAAGAAAAATGCTTGTTTTTTGCCCCTTTTTGGCCCTTAATTCCAGAAAATTGGAGGCAATTACCCCCAAAATCAATCCAAGCATTCCCTTTGTGATATGGAACCTTGTGGTACAATGTCAGAGAGATCCATACACTAACACACAAGTTATGTCTGGAAGTTACCAAAATGCTTATTTTTGGCCCCTTTTTGACCCCTTATTCCTTAACTGTTGGTACCATAACCCCCAAAATCAATCCCCACCTTCCTTTTGTGGTATTGAACCTTATGGTAAAATTTCATAGAGATCCATTCACTTAAACTAAAGTTAGAGTGCGAAAACCAATGTATCTACGGACGACGACCATGCAAACATCATACCAATATACGATCGTATAAAAATCAATATGCTGTTTCATTTTGAATAGGTTTTGTATTCAGTAAGGGCTGTTCCATTAAAATAGATGTTTGAGGGTAGGAAAGGGAACAGTATAGTTGCACATGAATTGTGGGTTACTATTTATGGTTTTATGTCACAAATATTTTATAAAAATAACACAAAGAAATATGGGGATTTTTAATGTCCTATCCTATCCTTTGACATCCATTTTAATGAAATAAACCTAAGTAACTTACTACTTCCATATCTGTAGGAACCTGTAAATCTTCTGGTACTATAAAAACTGGTTCAGGTTCTGTTGACAGAAAATAACAATAAATTACATTTATAATTAAAGAAATTCTATTCTGTCAGTTAAAGTTTCAAAACAATCATTTCTATAACTTTCTGACAGTTTTGGCACAAAGCATATCATTAAGTGTATTTATGCATGTTACTGTACTAAACATTTTAGTGTTAGACTGTCTATCATTCTCTCCTAGACCAGTTCTGCTTTTTTATCATGTTTATACACACACTTGACCAGAAGTTTGACCATTTGCATATCATCAATGGACAGAGGGACAGTGATCAATGTGTTTGTGATCATTTCTGTTGAATAGTTTAATGATATAAGTTAGAAGTTAGTGAAAACTTTTTGTAGAAATCCTCATAAAAATGTCAGGGTCTCTTAAAATCAGAGATTCGTTTAATCGGTAGAGGGAGTTGATGTTTGAGAAATAGTTTTCTTGTGTAGACTGACATTGACAACTATCTGTGTTGGGATGGAACACACAGGATTACTTTGTAGAGAGGTATTCAAAAGGAGGGAAGGAATGCCCTTTACCGTCAGGCGTCAAACGGTCATTTTCGGCTACCGTTAGCGTCAATTTTGTTAAAATTTTACCGTAATTCGTCGAAATATCCTTATCATGATTCGTACAGAGGTCTCAAATAATTATCGTTACCGTTATTTTTGGAAAAAAATTAACGTGAATCGTCAAAATCAATTGTTTTTTTTTGTCGTCTAAAAGAAAGTGTACATTTTATCGTCATGAACCAAAAATTACCGTTAACGTCATTTGGCAAGAATTTTTACCGTTATTCGTCATGAAGGTACCCCCATTTCAACCCTCCAAAAGGCCTAGAACATGAGGTGAGATTAGATCCGCCTAGTATAATCTGATCAGCAAAGTCTCATGGTCATGTGATAATCAAAGTCTCAATGTCATGTGATCATCAAAGTCTCAATGTCATGTGATCATCAAAGTCTCCATGTCATGTGATCATCAGTCTCCATGTCATGTGATAATCAAAATCTCTTTGTCATGTGATCAGCAAAGTCTCTATGTCATGTGATCAGCAAAGGCTCATGGTCATGTGATAATCAAAGTCTCCATGTCATGTGATCATCAAAGTCTCTATGTCATGTGATAATCAAATTCTCTATGTTATGTGATCATCAAAATCTCTATGTCATGTGATAATCAAAGTCTCCATGTCATGTGATAATCAAAGTCTCTATGTTATGTGATCAGCAAAGTCTCACAGTCATGTGATAATCAAAGTCTCTATGTCATGTGATCATCAAAGTCTATATGTCATGTGATCAGCAAAGTCTCACGGTCATGTGATAATCAAAGTCTCTATGTCATGTGATCATCAAAGTCTCGCTGTCATGTGAATTGAAGGAAGACTGTAGAAGATATTGTACTCACCACGTGATTTATAAAATTCTATATTCAATATGTAGGTGACTGTAACCTACCTTGTACTTGTGTCTCCATGTAGTCTTGGTGATGTTGGTGATCGTAGCTAAATCCTACAGCATTGAAACCTTCTGACAAAGACTGATAATATCTCTTCCACTCTTCCTCTGCACAAAAAAAAAAACAAAAATCTATATATATACATGATATGAAACGCACATATCAACAACATTCTACTAGAATGAAAAAATAGATTCTATAATTGCTTAAACATGTTAAATCTACATATATACATGATATAAACGCGCACATATCAACAACATTCTACTAGAATGAAAAAATAGATTCTGTAATTGCTTAAACATGTTAAATCTACATATATACATAATATAAACACGCACATATCAACAACATTCTACTAGAATGAAAAAATAGATTCTATCATTGCTTAAACATGTTAAAACTATCTTATTTTGGTTCTTTTAATATCATGCAAATCCAAATTTATGTAGATTTTAGGTTTTGCCAATAGACATTGTATAAATATATATCCATAACATTGATAATGTAAAATGTCATTTTTACCTTGGACTGTGGTTTCATTTATTTTTTTCGTGGACTGAGGAAACTAACATGGATATTTGATTTTGCCAAAATTTGCAGGCAAGCCTATTGAAAATTTGCAATTCAAAATTTCAACTCGTGCTTCACTTGAACCAAAGAAATCCACAAAAACTAATATCCTATGAATCATATGAATCAATAGTGGCCATGGTAGCTGCAAGCTTCTATTGTTGAAGCCTGATCCTAACTTCTCTGTTGAGTTTTTTCATGTGAAAAAGGACATTTGATGGTCATTTTTGGTCATTTTCCTGAGAGTACTACATTTTTGTATGTACAAACATTTAAGTTTTTCAATCAGTATAATTCTTTTTTTCTTGTTTCAATATGCAGTAAAATTTAAGAGACAATTACTTCCAATCATTCCTCCCGTGCACATTTTTAAGTATTTCTGTTGATAAATGAAAAGAGAGGAAAGATCACTGATCACTGACATCATACAAGAGAAATATATATATTTTACCCATACCAATAACAGAATACATAGATATAGGAAGATGTGGTATGAGTGCCAATGAGACAACTCTCCATCCAAGTTACAATTTATAAAAGTAAACCATTATAGGTCAAGGTACAGCCTTCAACACGGAGCCTTGGCTCACACCGAACAGCAAGCTATAAAAGACCCCAAAAAATTACTAGTGTAAAACCATTCAAACGGAAAAACCAACGGTCTAATCTATACCTTCATACATCTTTTTTTCTGCCAGGTCATTTTTCAGTTCCAAGTATCTTTCCTCGTCACATAATGCTTCGATCTGTTTATCTTCCTCTGATAACTCTCCCCGCTTTACATGAGTGGCATCATATTTTGAAAGGTCAAACAGATGACCTCGTCCATCATATCTGAAGGTACAGAATATATACATACAATTAAAATGTGACCATAAAAAGAAAACCGGTAAAGTTTAAGAATACTACTCTCTTCAATATGACCACCAATATACATTTATACATATATTACAAAAATTTGCCAAAATCGTTCACATGTATGCTAAGGTAGTTTTTTCTAGGGGTAGGTTGTACAAAGTGTGGCTAAAATAAACAAATTTTCTTTCCTTTCTACCTATCTTTTTTGTGCAAATTAGGAAACAGTTGCCTCAAGTTACACTGCAGCAAATATAATGAGAAACTTATATATTCTATGTTTTTCATATACATGTATTTGGTAATAGAAAGCATGGTAAGTGGTCATACTGAAGAGATTATTTCAATCTACTTAAGGTGATTTGAGGCACGATAAGTTTTTCTTACACAGGTAGATTCCGAACAATGGATGTTTTAAACTAAACAGAAAACCACTGTGTCAGAATTCTAAACATATTAATGGTTACATGCAATGTTCTCCCAGGGCCTTTTAGTCTCATGGTTCTCCCAGGGCCTTTTAGTCTCATGGTTCTCCCAGGGCCTTTAAGTCATGGTAATTAGATGCTATATTGCTTGAATGTGTATTTTCTTACAAATCGTGTATTGGATGTGATTGTATAACTTCTAGACAGAAGATGATATTTCAAAATTCCCTGTTTATGATGATTTATTAAATTTGAGAGAACACTAACATGATTCAATTAATGTAACTCATTGGAAAACCATGGTGACCTACAAGTATGCATGTTTGACCTTATACTTTTTAATATTGAAAGTCATTCTCATTGACAAATTGTTTATAACAAAAACTTTAATGAGATATGTACATGTAATACTACACCATTATCCAACAAAAAAGACATCTGGAGGTTATAACCTTCAACAATGAACAAGTGCCTACATAGTTTCACAAATGCATAAATTCAACAGAAACAACCAAATATATTCCATACCAAGATCTCATGAAATCAAATGTCAACAGACACTACCAGTATGTAGTAACAAGTACGTTTCACAATAATTTCAAATACAATTAAAAACCAATTGTTCAGAGAACAATTGAAGGTCTTTCCACCCATAAAGATCTATTTTGATATGAAAATATTAAAATTTGGTTTAAAATGTCATTTCCAGCGTCAATTGATAGCTTATTGTACGCTGATTCCAAAAATATATGGCTTCTATACATTTTTTTTTAAATAAGGGAGATAATTTGTCACTTCCGGTTTGAAAAATGTTACTTCCGGTATAATTTGAATGTTTACTTGACACTGATTCCAAAAATATATGGTTCTATATACTTTTATATCAAATAAGTACAAACAATAGCTACTTCCGGTTTACACAAGGTCACTTCTGGTTGGATTTTCCAAGGTCAAATGGCTTGCAACCTAATGCAAAAAGTCCAATGGCTTTATCATGCATACATATGAGGTAAAAGCAAAGGTCAAAATCTAGAACGTCAAAGTTACCTATGACCTTGAGCTCAATTTCAAGGTCATTAACCAAGGACCTCAAATCAAAAGACCCTAGGTCTTAATTATATATGGTTAATGAGTTATATCATCATACGCGTATTTTTAAATACAAGAGGGGAGAAAACTCTAATTTAATGTTAGCGCACCCTTTAAACCAAAATGTATGTGTTACGACATGTCAAAACTAACAATTTAGTAATAATATGTTGTCGATATCTTATACGGTTTTTGAAAAGAAGTGAAAATAAGCTAAAATCAAAATTTAAAATATGACCTTGACCAAATTTTTTTTTTTTGGACCAAGGACCTCAAATCAAAAGACCCTAGGTCTCTATCACTTATGGTTTACCAGTTAGAAATGCATATCACTTATATCAAATGCATAAGGGGAAATAACTCTCATATGGAGTCTCCGGAACGCTTCGGTGAAAACCAAACTCAACATCCTGAAGATATAGCGAGCAATTTGGTAAAATAAATTTGTCGTAATCTTTTACGGTTGCGAAGGAGTAGTGGCCACAAGAAAAACAGTGTTTTGGGAGATAACTCTTACAACGTAAAGTATTCGGTTAAGCGGTTGTCAGTTTCAAAAGCGTATAAACTGTTTGATATCATATACCAAATATCTAAGCAACATCTTGTAAAACAACAATACTACGTAAGAAAAAAATTAGGCGGAAGAAAAAAAAAAAAAATAATAATAATAATAATCAGAACAAAAGCAATAGGTCTTTCCACGGAAAAGTGGAAAGACCTAATAATGTCCAAAATTATTAAAATTTCTGACTTTATGCATTTTACATTCATTTTCAACCGAAAAACTTTGACTTCAGCTAGTTTAAGCACATTTACGAAAGATTCTAAAAGACAAAAAAAAAATATATATATATAAACATTCTTCAATGAATATAATTTTTCAAATCACCTTAAATTAGATTAAAATTTCTCACTATGCTACATGTACGCATGAAGATAAATTAATGACATTATCCTAAAAAATATGTTTGTTGCCATGTAACCTCAGTTATGATATGTTATACAATCTTTTCCTAATTATGAGATACTTGCACAGTAGGTTTAGGAAACAAACATATCCCTATTTTACATTAATGTCTACATTATAATAAAAGCTTATCATTTAAAAAAAAATTGGGGGGGGGGGTTCTTCAGACATGTTTTCAAAAAGATTCTAACAAAATATATGACAAATTACTGTTTAATACTAATTTTTTTCAATGTCTTTACCATGTTTACCATTTTACATTTTGTACTAGATTAAAAGATTTTAAAAAAGGAAAAGGATGTTTTTTTTATATTAAAATTGCATTTACCATGTTTACAAAACAAAGAGAATCTTTTGTTATAGTGTATGACATGTATGCAATGTTGCATTCTATGTAACAATCGTTCTTACATTGTAAGCCAAAATGATGAGGATGATAGATGGTTGTTTAACGTCTAGCCACAAGTTAAATGCATATTCAGGACAAGAAAATGTTAATCATTGTTTATGTGATATGAATATGAAACCTGCTTTATACAAGACTGACAAGATGAGATTTATTTTTACATGCTAGTTCAAAAGGCAACAGTTTGCAAGAAGACATGTCACCCTACCCAGACACATTATTCTGACTTCTAGCTGATCAGTCTTTACTCTTACTCCTACATGTTGTGTGCTTAGCAGAGAAGAAGACATGTCACCCTACCCAGACATATTATTCTGACTCCCAGCTGACCAGTCTTTACTCTTACTCCTACATGATGTGTGCTTAGGAGAGAAGCAGCAAATACAATTTTTTTAAGTCTTTGTTTTGACCCGGTCAGTGTAGGCCAAGAAAATAAATAATGTTACGCTTTATCTTTAGTTACTTTTCCTAACCAATTCGAATATTGATTGTTTCAAAATTTCTGATTAAGTACTATCAACAACAGTTTGTTTCAACAATATTTGCAGTTATAATATGTTTTAGATAAATGCAACTGTTGAATGTATGGGAGAAATCAAATGTTTTTTATGATCATATGTCAGAAAATAGAATTGCTCTATTTTTTTACTGTGTCAGTGTGTAATTGTAGCATATGGCAGAAATTGGACAAGTTGTAATGTTCTGGGACTATCAGATGACTCAAAATTGTAGAAAATGTGACCAATGATCACATAAACCAATACTTATCCTGTAAAATCAACACATTTGTATAATTACCAATAGTGTTACTCTCTGTGTGTTATAACGTCGCTGCAAGGCAATCTGAAATTAAACATTCCGCAAACACAACATATACATAATTTTTGTTCTGAAGTGCCAATATTGCCCAAAAACAATACAGACAATATGTTTAAAGGTCTTTATATATATAGTTGCTGTCATGTAAAATTGGCACCTGGTTTTCATTCAAATATTTTTAAACTATCAATAGTGTTCATTCGAGGTGACGTTTTTCACTTAGCGGAATCTAAAACATTCCCAAATAAAATGCTCCGCAGGGCGCAGCTTGATACGACCGCAGAGGTCGAACCCTGAACAGTTGGGGGAAGTATGGACACAACATTCAAGCTTGATACAGCTTTGGATTTGGATTGTGATTAAATATTTGACACAGCATAGGTTTCTAACACAGATTGAATGTGGTCTAAGAACTTAAAAATTTTAAATTGGACATTCACCTATTATGGTCCAATATCCAAAATCTAAATACATGGTTAGATTCAGCATATCAAAGAACCCCAAGAATTCAATTTTTGATGAAATCAAACAAAGTTTAATTTTGGACCCTTTTGACCTCAATGTGGACAAAGTTGATAACGGGGCCCAAAAATCAAAAATCTAAATACATGGTTAGATTCAGCATATCAAAGAACCCCATATATTCAATTTTTATTGAAATCAAACAAAGTTTAATTTTGGACCCCGATTTGGACCAACTTGAAAACTGGGCCCATAATCAAAAATCTAAATACATGTTTAGATTCAGCATATCAAAGAACCCTAAGAATTCAATTTTTGTTAAAATCAAACTAAGTTTAATTTTGGACCCTTTGGACCTTAATGTAGACCAATTTGAAAACGGAACCAAAAATTAAGAATCTAAATACACGGTTAGATTCGGCATATCAAAGAACCCCAATAATTTAATTTTTGATGAAATCAAACAAAGTTTAATTTTGGACCCTTTTGACCTCAATGTGGACAAAGTTGATAACGGGGCCCAAAAATCAAAAATCTAAATACATGGTTAGATTCAGCATATCAAAGAACCCCATATAATCAATTTTTATTGAAATCAAACAAAGTTTAATTTTGGACCCCGATTTGGACCAACTTGAAAACTGGGCCCATAATCAAAAATCTAAATACATGTTTAGATTCAGCATATCAAAGAACCCTAAGAATTCAATTTTTGTTAAAATCAAACTAAGTTTAATTTTGGACCCTTTGGACCTTAATGTAGACCAATTTGAAAACGGAACCAAAATTTAAGAATCTAAATACACAGTTAGATTCGGCATATCAAAGAACCCCAATAATTCAATTTTTGATGAAATCAAACAAAGTTTAATTTTGGACCCTTTGGACCTCAATGTGGACCAATTTAAAAACAGGGCCCAAAATCCAAAAACTAAATACACGGTTAGATTCAGCATATTAAAGAACCCCATGAAATCAAGAATAAAACCCCATTGAAATTGGTCAAGAAATAAGCAATTTATAGGAAGTATCTTCTTTTGCACAATCCTGTGCTATTAAATATTTCTTGCTATTGCGCAATACTGTACAATTGACAATTTCTTGCTATTGCGCAATATTGTGCTATTGGATATTTCTTGCTATTGCGCAATACTGTGCAATTGAAGATTTCTTGCTATTGCGCAATACTGTGCAATTGAAGATTTCTTGCTATTGTGCAATACTGTGCAATTGAAAATTTCTTGCTATTGCACAATACTTATTATATAATAATTTACACATCCTGTTTGGTGTGTATCTCCTACCATATCATTTTTATTTGATTTTAAATATAAATCAGAAATAACCAACTTAAAATGGAAAATTTTAAAAGAAACAAAAAAGGAAAAAAAAAAAAAAAGGAAAAAAAAATAAATCCCCCCCCAAAATTTTTTGAACCCCCATTATGATTCATCACCCCCAAACTCAACCCCAGCCTTCCCTTTGTGGTATGGTACCTTGCAGTACAATTTCAGAGAGATCCATACACTTGAACACAAGTTATTGTCTGGAAACTAGAAAAAAATGTGTTTTTTGGCCCCTTTTTGGCCCCAAATTCCTAAACGTTTAGGGCAATTACCCCCAAACTCAAACCCAGCTTTCCCTTTGTGATATGGAACATTGTAGTACAATTTCAGAAAGATCCATACACTTACACACAAGTTATTGTCATGAAACTAGAAAAATGCTTGTTTTTTGCCCCTTTTTTGGCCCCTAATTCCTAAAATTTGGAGGCAATTACCCCCAAAATCAATCCCAGCATTCCTTTAGTGATATGGAACCTTGTGGTACAATGTCAGAGAGATCCATACACTAACACACAAGTTATGTCTGGAAGTTACAAAAATGCTTATTTTTGGCCCCTTTTTGGCCCCTAATTCCTTTACTGTTATTACCATAACCCCCAAAATCAATCCCAACCTTCCTTTTGTGGTATTGAACCTTGTGGTAAAATTTCATAAAGATCCATTCACTTAAACTAAAGTTAGAGTGCGAAAACCAATGTGTCTTCGGACGACGCCGGACGACGCCGGACGACGACAACAACGACGCCGGACGACGACGACGCCAACGTCATACCAATATACGACCACAAAAATTTTTTTGCGGTCGTATAAAAACCATTACAGTCATACCTTTCTTTGTGCTTGTTAAATGTAATCCTGACCCTCACATTATCCTAAACAATTTTCCATTGTAAATCCTCCATCTCGGTTTCTATAACTTCTTTATATTTATTTACATAAAATTTGTTACTTTTCGATGATATTCATGTCGTTGATGTGAACAGTTTCCCATGCTTTAGAGTAGCATATAGAATATTTCTCTGAACTTACCTTGCAATAACGCAAAACTTCAGAGTGGTCTGAAAAATATGCAAATAAACTGCATGTGAAATTCCAGGGTAACACTTCCGGTGAAAAGAATGTCAGATTCCACCATTGCAAATCTTCCAGGATAATGTGAAGGTCAGGATTGTACAGTACAATCACAATAAAAGGTAAGACTGTAGTTAGTCCAAATAATTATTATGTTTTGAAAGGCTATTTGAATTTTTTTCTGTGACGTCTTCCTACCACGTCATAAAGCTGAAGCCATTTTTTCGTCTGGACTGTGAGAGAGAACTTTTGGCGGAAATACGAAACCCAATTTTGCCATGAAATCTTTATTGACGGCTAGAAATTTTTGCATATATATACAAATTCTGACCTTTTGTGTGCTTGTTCATGTTGTTGGTGCAAAATATTTGCAGAAATATCTAAAACGAAGTGATGATAAAATAAGCTACATGTATGATTCCATTTGAGATGTGTGCAAGAACCTTCTGACTTACAGAGAGTGTAAAATACCAAACTCTGTAAATTTGATGGATCAGAATTTCCAAAACATTCATTTTATGTCACTGTATATAGGACAGAAATTCAGCTTCACCAAATTTTACGGAGTTTGGTGTTTTAAAATACCCTTTCATAATCAGGTTGGGAACAACCCCTCAATGTAATGACTATCCCTTTTATGAGGGGTACATTTCAAGTGATAAAAAATATTTTTTTGTAAAAACCACTTTTAAATACAAAAGGGCACATATTTATATAATTTGAAGAAACTTTTCCCAAAGAACTAAATATCTATCTGGTATTATATGGTCAAATTTTGTAATATACATGGACTTATATCTTCTTTAAATTTATTGTTAATAATAAGTGGACCCCTTTTTTAAAAAAAGTTGTTCCAAATATAATGATTTTTTCCCCTTACAAGTTAAAAAGCTAAGTTTTTCTGTTTTCTTTTCTACAACAGCAAAATGACCCCTTATCTGAGGGACGGTTCCTCATTTGGGGGTTTGTTCCCAACCTGATAAACATTTGGACTAGACTGTAATGAAAAAGATCCATGAAAGTGAATGATATATTAAAAATATTTGAGCAAAAAACTGGTGCCAATTTTACATGACAGAGACTATAGTTTATATTATCAACTGACAAAAGCTTCCACCAACATTTGTCATATGGCTGGGCATTCCATTCATTCATAAGGTCAAGGTCATTTAGAAAAGAAATTATTTTCTCCATTTCTGCTGTATTGTGTATTGATATAATAGTTCCTTAATACATCAATCATGTTAACAAATTATTCATTCATTCAAATAAAAATATCCTGAAACGAAAATGACGTCATTAACGCGTTCGCGTCGCGATAAATACGAGCTAATCGAGACCTGTAAGAGCAGCTGTTTCTTGAGAACCGACCTGTCAATCAACAGACTGGAATCTCCCATCCATGGTATCAGATGTTCTCCTTCGTCAATGGAAAAGGCTTTTCGATCATCCCTGAATAATTTACAAGCATATCCAAACACAGAGAGCTCCTCTGGTTCCTTTGATTGTTGACTTTCTTCCTCAGGTATGTCCCATATGAGCGCCGCCATCTTCCGACGTTAGTTTCACGAATGGAATAATCCAATGTGGGACAAATTTTCATAAAGATATTTTTATATAACGCAATTTTCTCTTTCATATTATTTCCAAATATCTATTGAATAGCTTTTTCAAAGAATAATTTATTTTACAGTCACCAAACATTGTTAGCATTTACACATAATAAAAGAAACCTGATAACCCTAAGAGCAAAAATAAGATTACCCCATTTCATTTCCTGTACATAATGGAACCTAAAGTGAAAGTTACAGAAAGAATCAGAGAGTTACTTCAAGATGTAACTGAAAGACTGGAAACTGACACAACAAATGAGATAGAAGAAATAAAAAAATACATTCATAAAAATGAAAAGAATACCGAAATACCATTTAAACTTGTTCATTTTGCATATAAAAACAGAAAACCAGGTACAGTTTGACATCACATGATCAATTTTGATTATGAAAATGATGAAAACTTTGTTTATGAAGAAATTTTACAGTTTCAATGCTTTATTTGTATCAATAGTAGTAAACTACACTGTAAAAATCTTTTTGAGATAGAGCAGGTGCGATTTTTTTAATTTGAATTTATTGTCTAAAAGAAATGCACTACGAAATAACTGTGTTCTCGGGCCAGCTACAGTGTAGATGATTCATTTTCAACCATATGAAAATAATACTGTAATTTTTCAGTTTCCGATCTTTCAAAATTAGTGACACATAATGTTAAAATAATTTTTCCTTTTCAGAAAAAAGCAGTTTATATTTAAATGAACTTTTAGAAGACAGTGATCTTGTGTTAGAGGAATACATTCCACCTATAAGAGTAAGTTGCTTATTATATGTTTAAACTTTCAAAGATTTGGCAATATAAACTCCCAGAAGAACACACACACAGACACATTTCACTTTTATGTCTATGGAACAGCTGGATACAAATAATGCTATCAAATTTACAGGCAACTTTTTATTTTCACTAAATCTTATCATGTCACAATTTTCATTCACTGTTCACAATAGTTAAAACTTTGCAAACATTTCTGAAGTTTCAGTATGCACTTTATTACTTATAATGTCATGAATGTCAATAAAGTAGAAAATTCAAGGAACTTTTATCTTTTTCTGCTTGTTCTTGATCGTTTGTTATATGACATCAGAGGTAAATATACAGGATTTATATCACATGTGAAATAGCAGTTTATAATTGACTAGGAATCACAACATTTTCACTGAAACGAATGTAAGGCATGATATGAAAAAGATCTTAGTAATTTTATTCCTAAAAGATAATTGCACAGCAGTTTCTATCATTTTTGTTGTTTTTAGAATTCAGAACTTGAAGCTAGGATTAAAAAACTGAAGACACAACAAGAGAACAAAGACTACAAAGAGATGACAAAAAATGTTGGAACATTCAAGGTAAAGTATAGTTAATATAGTGTTAAAACAGACATTAAGATATATACTTTGTATAGTTTAGGGTAAACAAAATTGAAATGATTTCCAACAGAACACCTTTATTACAACTACTTCTTATACAGCTAGAAAAGATGTTTTCATTTACTGTGGAGTATACTAGACACCAGAGGCTACTTCATTTTGAATCAGTTTCAGTCCTATGACAATCATATACATGAGACTACAAAGTTTATTCAGTGATTATTCCTGTATCATACAGACATTAGTTTTAATTATTTTAATCAGCATTTTCAAAGCTTTCTTTCAGGCAGGCAGAGATTTTGTTAACTATTTTTTATGCCCCACCTAAGATAGTAGTAGGGGCATTATGTTTTCTGGTCTGTGTGTCCGCTTGTCCGTCCATCTGTTCCGCTTCAGGTTAAAGTTTAGTTTTTGGTCAAGGTAGTTTTTGATGAAGTTGAAGTCCAATCAACTTGAAACTTAGTACACATGTTCCCTATGATATGATCTTTTTAATTTTAATGCCAAATTAGAGTTTTGACCCCAATTTCACAGTCCACTGAACATAGAAAATGATAGTGCGAGTGGGGCATCTGTGTACTATGGACACATTCTTGTTTTTATAAAAGTTCATTATGGCACATTTGAGTTGTCCTTGACCTCATTTTCAAGGTTAAAAGGCACTTATATTAATAAGATATGAAGTAAGCTTCAACTTTTAGATTATCAGCTACAATTAGCAATAATTAGAATATACTTGGTCTTTAAGGTGCACATATCACTCTGACTGGATTCTTATGATCTCGATCTCATTATCATGGTTCATTGATTAGTATTGAATTTAGTGATAAGTTCTGTTTCTGCATTACTTTATTAGAGTTCATGTCTACAGTCTTTCATATGATTCCCCCAACACAAAACACATGTGTAGTTTGCTCAACTGTTATTACATGCGTGACATTCAAACTAAACTGTAATGATCAATATAAATCTTGTTTATTTTCAGGTTCATGAACCAGGTTCAGTTGGAAAAGAATGTAAGTTATCTCCCCTTATGACAAAGATAAAAACATGTTTGTTAAAGATTACAAATTACAAAAATGAGGTAGTTATTTGAAGATATGATTTTTGTCTCACCTGTCTCAGTATGCCAGACATAGGTATTACTATTCTGCGGCGGCGTAAACTATTTGTATAAAGCTTTATATTTCAGAAGGTAGAAGACCTGGATGCTTCATACCTTGTATTTATATACCTTATGTTACAAAGTTTCCGTCTGTCATATGCCCATTGTCCTTGACCTCATTTTCATGTGCAACGTCTACATGTCCGTCAGACAGGGTTAACCTGACCTCAACCTCAATTCATGGATCAGTGATCAAGGTTAAAGTTACGTGATTAGGTCCTTTTCTCAGATACTACAAGCAGAAGGTCAACTATATGTGGTGTATGGAATGATTGTAAGGGATACATGTCAGACTGGCAGGTTTCATCTGACCTTGACCTCATTTTCATGGTTCATTGTTCATTGTTAATTCTTTTTGTTTTGGTCTGTTTTTCAAGTACTGTAAGCATAGGTCAACTATATTTGGTGTATGGAATGATTGTAAGATGTACATGTCTGTCTATCTGGTGTCATCTGACCTTGACCTCATTTTAATGGTTCATTGGTCAATGTTAAGTTTTGTGTTTTGATCTGTTTTTCAAGTACTGTAAGCAATAGGTCAACTATATTTGGTGTATGGAATGATTGTAAGGTGTACATGTCAGTCTAGCTGGTGTCATCTGACCTTGACCTGGTTTTAATGGTTTATTGGTCAATGATAAGTTTTTATACGACCGCAAAAATTAAAAATTTTTTGGTCGCATATTGGTATGACGTTGGCGTCGTCGTCGTCCGAAGACACATTGGTTTTCGCACTCTAACTTAAGTTTAAGTGAATGGATCTCCATAAAATTTTACCATAAGGTTCAATACCACGAAAGGAAGGTTGGGATTGATTTTGGGGGTTATGGTACCAACAGTTAAGGAATAAGGGGCCAAAAAGGGGCCAAAAATAAGATTTTTGTAACTTCCAGACAATAACTTGTGTGTAAGTGTATGGATCTCTCTGACATTGTACCACAAGGTTCCATATCACAAAGGGAAGGCTGTAATTGATTTTGGGGGTAATTGCCTCATAATTTTAGGAATTAGGGGCCAAAAAAGGGGCAAAAAACAAGCATTTTTCTAGTTTCATGACAATAACTTGTGTGTAAGTGTTTGGATATTTCTGAAATTGTACTACAAGATTCCATATCACAAAGGGAAAGCTGAAATTGAGTTTGGGGGTAATTGCCCGAAACGTTTAGGAATTGGGGGCCAAAAAGGGGCCAAAAATAAGCATTTTTCTAGTTTCCAGACAATAACTTGTGTTCAAGTGTATGGATCTCTCTGAAATTGTACTGCAAGGTACCATACCACAAAGGGAAGGCTGGGATTGAGTTTGGGGGTGATGAATCATAAGGGGGTTCAAAAAATTTGGGGGGGGGATTTTTTTTTTCTTTTTTTCATTTTTTTTTTCTTTTAAAATTTTCCATTTTAAGTTGGTTATTTCTGATTTATATTTAAAAGCAAATAATAATGATATGGTAGGAGATACACACCAAACAGGATGTGTAAATTATTATATAATAAGTATTGAGCAATAGCAAGAAATTTTCAATTGCATTGCACAATAGCAAGAAATCTTCAATTGCACAGTATTGCGCAATAGCAAGAAATCTTCAATTGCACAGTATTGCGCAATAGCAAGAAATATCCAATAGCACAATATTGCGCAATAGCAAGAAATTGTCAATTGTACAGTATTGCGCAATAGCAAGAAATATTCAATTGCACAGTATTGTGCAAAAGAAGATACTTCGTATAAATTGCTTATTTCTTGATCAATTTCAATGGGGTTTTATTCTTGAATTCTTGGGGTTCTTTAATATGCTGAATCTAACCGTGTATTAAGTTTTTGGATTTTGGGCCCCGTTTTTAAATTGGTCCACATTGAGGTCCAAAGGGTCCAAAATTTAACTTTGTTTGATTTCATCAAAAATTGAATTATTGGGGTTCTTTGATATGCCGAATCTAACCGTGTATTTAGATTCTTAATTTTTGGTTCCGTTTTCAAATTGGTCTACATTAAGGTCCAAAGGGTCCAAAATTAAACTTAGTTTGATTTTAACAAAAATTGAATTTTTAGGGTTCTTTGATATGCTGAATCTAAACATGTATTTAGATTTTTGATTATGGGCCCAGTTTTCAAGTTGGTCCAAATCGGGGTCCAAAATTAAACTTTGTTTGATTTCAACAAAAATTGAATATATGGGGTTCTTTGATATGCTGAATCTAACCATGTATTTAGATTTTTGATTTTTGGGCCCCGTTATCAACTTTGTCCACATTGAGGTCAAAAGGGTCCAAAATTAAACTTTGTTTGATTTCATCAAAAATTGAATTCTTGGGGTTCTTTGATATGCTGAATCTAACCATGTATTTAGATTTTGGATATTTGACCATAATAGGCGAATGTCCAATTTAAAATTTTTAAGTTCTTAGACCACATTCATTTCGTGTCAGAAACCTATGCTGTGTCAAATATTTAATCACAATCCAAATTCAGAGCTGTATCAAGCTTGAATGTTGTGTCCATACTTGCCCCAACTGTTCAGGGTTCGACCTCTGCGGTCGTATCAAGCTGCGCCCTGCGGAGCATTTTATTGTGTTTTGGCCTGTTTTTCAAGTACTATAAGCAATAGGTCAACTATATTTAGTGTATCGAATGATTGTTAGGTGTACATGTCTGTCTAGCCGGTGTCATCTGACCTTGACCTCATTTTCATGGTTCATTGGTCAATGTTAAGTTTTTGTGTTTTGGTCTGTTTTTCAATTAACATAAGCAATGGGTCAACTATATTTGTTGTATGGAATAATTGTAAGGTGATCATTTCTGTGTGACAGTTTTTATTAACTGGATTTTCGAAGGAAATATCGGTTATTGATTTCGGGATGTACGGCTAGCGGGCGGCTGCCAAACAGTGTCTCCTCAATAACATGAAAATGCTTTGACAATTTTTTTTCAAATTTGGATATGTTGTTACCTGTGACTAAATGAAGGTCAGTTCAATTTTCACGATTTTAGCTTTTCTCCTTGTTGAGTTATCGCCCTTTTTAATATCCAAAAGTGGTATTTTTAATGTGATGGAGTTATTTCTCTTTGAACAGAAATGGTTAATTATATATATGAAGTTTGATTACACTAACATGACTTATTTTCACCTCTTGATAGATAAGAGCATCTGGTAAATGTCTCACACAATTATAATTGGATTGACAGGTTTATTTGAAAATTTTCTGTTTTCTAAGTGTTGATGATTATAAGCTATATAGAACTGTATAAATAAAGTTAGAAATTTACTGTTCATTATTAGACATTTTGAAGATAATTACAGATAAGTTTTATAGATTTTTAAAAGTCATTGTATTAATGATAAATAAAATTTTGAATTTTTTTTCTTTTCTTTGGTAAATTGTTTGAAGAATTTTGTGGTAGGTTTGTTTGTTATTATGTAAAAACTAATTTTCTGAATGCTATATATTTTTTTCTTTTCTTTGGTAAACTTTTTGAAGAATTTTGTGGTAGGTTGGTTTGTTATTCTGTATAAACTAATTTTCTGTATGCTTTATATATTTTTTTATGAAGTGAACTACTTTAATTAGATAATAATTTAAAGTTGTTGACATTGATAAGTTGCAGACCTGTATTTGTTTGTGATAAATGAAAGAAAAATATTTGGAACTATTAATTATCTTGATTATATTTGATTATAATTTGAAAATAGATATACATTGTGTTACATCATATCTTATTTTAGAGAATTATTAATCATGAATCATATCTAATGACAGAGTACTATGTTAAACCATATTTCTGTTCAAAGGGAAATAACTCAAACTTACTCCATGAACCATTAATGATAAAATCAAAATTTCTTTACAACTATTTTTTTTAAGTCATGTTGTTATGAAGGTAGAAATCACAGTTGACAATGTTATGTGGTATTTTATTTTTGTTGTGTGTGTTAATGTTTAATTTTTACATGATCCTGTTAGGGGTTCAGATTTGCAAATATCATTTTTATTATTAATTAGATAATAATCTATTTAAGATATTCAATCACAATACAAATTCAGAGCTGTTTCAAGCTTAAATGTTTTGTCCATTCTTTCTCTACTGTTCAGGATTCGACCTCTACAGGAAAATCCAGTTTGCTGTCACTCGACAGCCTCTTGTCTGACCTTGACCTCATTTTCATGGATCTTTAAAAATGTTAAGTTTATGTGATACTTGTAGTAAAACCTTCATCTTTAAGACTTTCAACATAAAATCAATGGTCATTAAAACAGGCGAGACATTTCAGCGTGTGCACTATTGTTAAAAGAATAGTTAATACATACTATCATGATTGTAAAACCCTCCCTATTGTTGAAGACCGTATGTTGACCTATAGATGTGTTTTAGTTATTTGTGCCCCTATTGTTGAAGACCTTATGTCGACCTCTAGATGTGTTTTAGTTATTTGTGCCCCTATTGTTGAAGACGGTATGTTGACCTCTAGATGTGTTTTAGTTATTTGTGCCCCTATTGTTGAAGACGGTATGTTGACCTCTAGATGTGTTTAAGTTATTTGTGCCCCTATTGTTGAAGACGGTACGTTGACCTCTAGATGTGTTTTAGTTATTTGTGTCTCTATTGTTGAAGACCGTATGTTGACCTCTAGATGTGTTTAAGTTATTTGTGTCTCTATTGTTGAAGACGGTATGTTGACCTCTAGCAGGGCTTCCAAAAAATTTTTGAGCCAGCCGGACAATTCATATCTTATCCTGATTTTAAATCCCTTCAGACTTAGTAAATTAGGCAATTATGATAATCAGTTGGCCATCATATAACCAATGGCAATGATTGACATTAAAACGATATTAAACTTGATTTTGATATAAATTCGATGTTCTGATGTAAAGTGTTAAATTGAAAGTGCAGCATTCGAAGTGTGCAACATCGGCGTACTAATTCTGCTTTAGACTGTTTATTTGTGCAAAATAACGTTGTCAAAAACTTTACTTTCGTTTTTAAAATCACATTTTCCTAATGCCGGATGTTGACTTGACAATGGTAAATCACGGATCAGAGACGGATACGTAATATCCGTGTACGTTTACGATTGAGTTAAGTAGCCTTTTCAAGTTATTTCTTCAAGAAAATACTCGAAATGAACGTTAGACAAAGGTATTAATGATAATTTAAGCATTATTGAAGAATTAGGATGCATAATTAAATTTCCCACCTGCGCACAATAGACACATGCGCACACGTGTACTACATATGGCAAAATCAAAGGTACTTTATTTAAATCATTTGCACCACGTGACTTTGTCCCTTTTGATCAAATTACTTCCCTTAGCTTAAGATTGAAAATATAATTTATTATACATGTTATAGATTTGCGTATAATCCAGGAGCACTAATGACAGGACGATTGACCGGATGAGATATAAATAGTCATAAATTTTTTGTTATTCAGTAGATTTTTTTAATATTTGTAGACCTTAGAGATATTATACTATATTTTATGAAAATAAAACAAAATAAGTGAAAAAAAATATTTTTGAGCAATTAAAGTTGACCGGACGGATTTCACACTCGCCGATACACGCAATACATATATTCAACTGGTCGAAAACAAGTGTTAATATCTCTTTTGTTTTACAATATTTGTCGATGAAATTAAGGAATCTGTGAGAATAATAAATATATAATACGAAAATATAAACTTTATAGTAAACAAAAATGTTTTTCTGCAAAAAAAGTTGACCAGACGGTATTAACATTCGCCGATGTACACGTTGATTATATTGAACTGATCGACAAAAAGTGTTTATATTTTTTTGGGTTTTACAATATTTTTACATGAAACTAAGAAATCTACGAGATCAATAAATATATGATATGAAAATATAAACTTTATAGTAAAAAAAAGTTTGTCTTCAAAAAAAGTTGACCGGACGGAACTAACATTCGTCGATATATGCTAATAAATATATTGAACTGATCGACACAAGTGTTAATATCTCTTTTATTTTACTATATCTGTCCATGAAATTAAGGAATCTTGGAGATTAATAAATATTTTATACGAAAATTTAAACTTTATAGTAAAAAAAAATGTTTTTCTTCAAAAAAAGTTGACCGGACGGAACTAATATTCGCCGATATATGCTTTAAATATATTGAACTGATCGACACAAGTGTTAATATCTCTTCTTTGTTTTATAATATCTGTCCATGAAATTAATGAATCTGTGAGATTAATAAATATATTATACGAAAATATAAACTTTATAGTAAAAACTTTGAGCCTAAAATGTTGATTTGAGTGAGTTCACCACGGCACACTAGAAGTACTTATTTTTAATTAGATTAATCTAATTTTGACACTTTTCGTAATCACCAATCAAGCCAAATAACATGTCATTAAAGTTTTTACACCTGAAACAACAAATACATTTAATTGAATTACCTTATATAATCAGTTGGCAATTAGAATCCAATCAAAGAAGAAATTTGATAAAGTTCAAGAGTACAGATTAACTTTTAACTCACCTAGTAATAATTACTCAATTGTTCAGTCATATCTGCACTGACTTTCAACCAGTTCAGATAGCACAAATTATAGTTCTACTATATGTCTTTTTAAAGACAATTTTCAAATATATATTGATATATATATAGATTTATAATAGTGCTACTACATATTGCTTTATTCAAAAGCATGTCATTTTAAAGACAGTTGTCGAAAATATATTTATAAATACATAAATAAATAGATCGATAATAGTGCTACTATATATTGCTTTATTAGCACTTCCACCTCCCCGTTGGTAAGCAGGGGGGCAGAATAATTCTGGCAGACGGAATGATTGTAAGATGCACACTGAGCAATGAACTGTGAAATGAGGTCAATGTCAAATAAAACCTGCACGACTGACATATAGATCATAAAATATTCCCATACACCAAATATAGTTGACCTATTGCATATAGTATTAGAAAAAAAGAACAAAACTCAAAATCTTAACTTTGACCACTGAACCATTTAAATGAGGTCAAGGTCAAATGACACCTGCCAGCAAGACATGTACACCTTACAATCATTCCATACACCAAATATAGTAGACCTATTGCATACAGTATACGAAAAACAGACCAAAACACAAAAACTTAACTATAACCACTGAACCATGAAAATGAGGTTAAGGTCAGATGACACCTGCCAGTTGGACATGTACACCTTACAGTCCTTCCATACACCGAATATACTTGACCTATTGCTTATAGTATCTGAGATATGGACTTGACCACCAAAACTTAACCTTGTTCACTGATCCATGAAATGAGGTCGAGGTCAAGTGAAAACTGTCTGACGGGCATGAGGAACCTTGCAAGGTACGCACATACCAAATATATTTATCATACTACTTATAATAAGAGAGAATTTAACATTACAAAAAATGTTAACTTTTTTTCAAGTAGTCACTGAACCATGAAAATGAGGTCAAGGACATTGGACATGTGACTGACAGAAACTTCGTAACATGAGGCATCCATATACAAAGTATGAAGCATACAGGTCTTCCACCTTCTAAAATATAAAGCTTTTAAGAAGTGTTTTAGTTATTTGTGTCCCTATTGTTGAAGACCTCTAGATGTGTTTTAGTTATTTGTGCCTCTATTGTTGAAGACCATATGTCGACCTCTAGATGTGTTTTAGTTATTTGTGCCTCTATTGTTGAAGACGGTATGTTGACCTCTAGATGTGTTTTAGTTATTTGTGTCTCTATTGTTGAAGACCATATGTTGACCTCTAGATGTGTTTTAGTTATTTATGTCTCTATTGTTGAAGACCATATGTTGACCTCTAGATGTGTTTTAGTTATTTGTGCCTCTATTGTTGAAGACCATATGTCGACCTCTAGATGTGTTTTAGTTATTTGTGTCCCTATTGTAGAAGACGGTATGTTGACCTCTAGATGTGTTTTAGTTATTTGTGTCTCTATTGTTGAAGACCATATGTTGACCTCTAGATGTGTTTTAGTTATTTGTGCCTCTATTGTTGAAGACCATATGTCGACCTCTAGATGTGTTTTAGTTATTTGTGTCCCTATTTTTGAAGACGGTATGTTGACCTCTAGATGTGTTTTAGTTATTTGTGCCCCTATTGTTGAAGACCATATGTCGACCTCTAGATGTGTTTTAGTTATTTGTGCCTCTATTGTTGAAGACCATATGTTGACCTCTAGATGTGTTTTAGTTATTTGTGCCTCTATTGTTGAAGACCATATGTTGACCTCTAAATGTGTTTTAGTTATTTGTGTCCCTATTGTTGAAGACGGTATGTTGACCTATAGATGTGTTTTAGTTATTTGTGCCCCTATTGTTGAAGACCGTATGGTGACCTCTAGATGTGTTTTAGTTATTTGTGTCTCTATTGTTGAAGACAGTATGTTGCCCTCTAGATGTATTTTAGTTATTTGTGTCCCTATTTGTTGTGACATTGACATATATACCCGACATCTTGTTTTACTCATATAAAGGGGAACAATCTGTACTTGATAACAAAAGTCCTTCTATCTGTCCCACTTTCGTTTTCACACTCTAACTTAAGTTTGACTCATGCAAATTTTATGAAACTCATACACAATGCTAAGAACCATAACTCACAGACATAGTTTGAATTTGGGCAGTGAGTCACTTACTGTTCTAGAGTTATGCCCTTTATTACTTGGAAAATTGCAATTTTTTTTATTTCCGCACTCTAACTTAAGTCTGATGCATCCAAATTTTATGAAACTCTTACACAATGCTTAGAACCACAACACGCAGACAGAGTTCTAATTTGGGATGTAAGTAATTTATCTTTTTAGAGTTATGCCTCTTTTTAACTTGGAAAATTGCAAAGCTAGAGTGGGGGCATTTGTGTCCTCATTTTCATTTGAAACAAAGATGACTCCTGTCTGAAATATATTAAATGTCTTTCAAAATCAACTATCAACTGGATTATTCTTACAAAAATTAAAAGTTCATTATATCAGCATTGTGTTTATTTTTCAGTGAAACAACTGAACAATCAGATGATAGGAGTGTTTAACTTTGTGTTGACAGTGGGCGGGGCTTTTGTCTTTGGATACAAGGCTACACAGTACACATTTGCAGATTCTGGGCAAGATACTTTCCCTTTGGTAAGTTAACAGGAATGTTACAAATTTTGATATTTTGAAGGGAAGTTATTCTCCGTCTAATTATATCTGTTGGAACGCAGTATGTGACGTCATCTGTTAAACAGCAAAGTATGCAAAAAAATTAATTTTGAGCACATGATTTAGTTTTAAATAATTGTAGACATAAGCTTTAAATAAAATAAGATTTAGTGTATACATCAATAAGACAGAAATCCAACACATGAATAATAAAGAAAAATTGTGTTGAGGTCTACCTAGGTTCTTGTATTCCTACACCAGTAATAACAATATCTGTTTTGAATTTCAGCAATTGATGTCTGGATTAATACTTGGTACCATCGTGTTCTTTGCTGACCTATATTTCTTAGTGAAAGAGGACATGAGGTGACACATAAGGGAGATAATCCAGTCTGTTTTTTACAGTGCAGTCACATTTAATATGAAACTGAATGGAGCCAAACCAATCAGAATGCCTAGAACTATAGACCAAGTCAAACCACTAATGAAGACGATGAATTGTAGATGAAGTCGGTGCTAGAATCAAGACTCGTTATTTATCTATTTATTGAAATAATAAACAGAGATTAAGTTGATGACTGCTTTGTTAATTTGCCTATATGAAAGAGTTCTCATTATTTTTTCTTCAAATTCTACCAGATTTGTTCAAGGACTATTCTATTTTCACACATTTCTCACCTATAAAGGGCAGACAGTTCACACTTGAATAAGCAGTAGAAAATCTGTGGTCGACACAGACAGTTCACACTTTAATAAGCAGTAGTAAATCTGTGGTCAACACAGACAGTTCACACTTGAATAAGCAGTAGACAATCTGTGGTTGACACAGACAGTTCACACTTGAATAAGCAGTAGAAAATCTGTGGTCGACACACAGACAGTTCACACTTGAATAAGCAGTAGAAAATCTGTGGTCGACACAGACAGTTCACACTTGAATAAGCAGTAGAAATATGTTGTCGACACATGCTGTGTACCTATACATGTGAATGAGCAAAAGCATTAAAATCCATTTGAGGAGAGATATTTTTATGTCCCACCTAGGGGCATTATGTTTTTCAGTCTATGTGTCCGTTTGTCTGTCCGTTTGTCTGTCTGCATAGCTTCAGGTTGAAGTTTTTCTGGTTAAAGTTTTTGGTCAAGGTAGTTTTTGATGAAGTTGAATCAACTTGAAACTTAGTACACATGTTCCCTATGATATGATCTTTCTAACTTTAATGTAAAATTAGAATTTCACGGTCAACTGAACATAGAAAATGATAGTGCGAGTGGGGCATCCATGTACTATGGACACATTTTTGTTGAAACTTAAATTAGAGACATCTAAGGACAGAATGACATTACATGGTACCAATTTAATGCACCAGTTGTGCATTTGGTCAACTAATGCCTCATAAAAGGATGCTAGAGGTCAAACTATGGAAAAATCTAAAACCTAATATCAATGTTGAAGTGCTGATATTACAGAAAAGGATCCTAAGTAAAGTCAAACCTAAACAAGGAGCTATGCATGAGAGAGAAACTAGTTCTTTCTTTTGAATGAGTTTAGTTTAATTGCATGACTTGTGTCACACAAGAAAAGTGTTGATACTCAAATGACAAAGGCTTGTTTCCTATACAACAAACAAATCTGCTGATTTTCTGTTTCTTGACTTAAATTTCATTTGAATTATCCCAACTTGAATTATGAATCTACAGTTAAAGTATAGAAAGTGTACCATAAAAATGTGTTATAGAAAAATTTGTAAATGCACCTTCATGTTGACAATGATGTAATAGGATTGCTTATAATTTGCTATGTCTCGCTTCGGAGACAAAATGTTGCAGGCTGAACGATAAAAAAAAATATTGGTAAGGGAGTGGGGGTTGTGTCAATGAGAAGCAACTGAACAACACAAGAAAGCAATAAACAACCAGATGTTACTACATGGTCTTCAACTTTAGATGTCCTGTCATGCTCTATATTGGTCAGAGTCTAAAAGGCGCTGTGAATGTATGTCACTGAGGCTATCCAAAATATGTCATTAACACCAAATTCTCCAAATGACAAAAACATTAAAAAATAACCAAAGACAACCACTGAAGAAACAGTGGCAGGAATAAGCTAATTTCAGGAGATTTTAACCCATTTTACTATTAATCTTGATCTATGGATATCAAACAATAATATATGAGAACATAATTTACAATTAAATTAATCCAGAAAATGCACTAGACTATATTATATACACCAGAAGTACAGGTATATATATAAATAAATTGATTTTTTTTTAAAGAATGCTCCAAGTTACCAAAAGCAAGCTCAAAGTTCTTTAATCTGCTGATATGAAATCATGCTGTCCTAAACTCTAGTATCATCTGTAGTACTTCAATGTAGATTTCATACAGGAATATTATTAACACTACAAGATGCCATGCATGATCTTGTGCAAGGTTTTAGTAAATTTGTATACAATATTAAAGTAGAATTATTTTTTAATACATTATATAAAAATAAGGAGATGTGGTATTATTGCCAATGACAACTATCTACCAGAGACCAAATGACAGAGGGGGCCTCGGTGGCCGAGTGGTCTAAGTAGTTACTACTGTAATCACTTGCCAGTCAACACTGAGGTTGTGAGTTCGAACCCCGCTCGTGCGGGTGCACTCGACTCCAATCTTAATTGACTAGGATTGTCAGTTTTCCTATCGATGGTCGGTGGTTTTCTCCGGGCACTCCGGCTTCCTCCACCAATAAAAACTGACTGCCATGAAACAGCCCAAAAGCAGTGCTTAAAAGTGGCATTAGAACAAAAATCAAATCAAAAAATCAAATTAAACCAAATGACGGATGTAAGCAACTAAAAATGAGTGAATTGATTATAATCCCCATGCAAAATACTGTATGTAGGGATTGAACTACATCAGTATACTAATATCTTTTTCAATAAAGTCAAAACCCAACAAATTTCCTTAATTTGTGTGCTTCAATAAAAATTGGAGCATTTTCCCCAGGTTGTCTCAAACTTAATAGAACCATAAAAACTAGTATGGCAGTAATATTTAATTTCAGTGTTGAAAAGGAAGGACTGTGTGTTTAAATGATTGCATTTAATTCGATAAAGTCTTGACATCAACCGCTGACTGACCGTTTACGGGACGTATTATGGTATACCGTTGTCCGTCCGTCTGTCTGTACGTCGTCAACATTTCGGACATTAACTCAAAAATGCTTTAACCAATTTGCATAAAACTTTGGTGAATTGTTTATATCTATTGATGTGAGCTCCATTTCGTTTTTTATAAATTTTAGATTTTACGTTTCCGAGTTATGCGGATTTATTCATTAAAAAAAGTCTGATTTTCCAGTTTTCGGACAATAACTCAAGAATGCTTTCACCAACTTGCAAGAAATTGTGGTGAATTGTTTATATCTATTGACATGAGCTCCCTTTCGATTTTTTATATTTTAGATTTTACGTTTCCTAGTTACAGGGTTTTATTCATAAAAAAGGGGGATTTTCCAGTTTTCGGACAAAAAATCAAAAATGCTTTCAGCAGTTCGTATGAAACTTTGGTGAATTGTTTATATCTATTGTGTAAGCTCCCTTTACATTTTCATAAATTTCTAATATGACATTGAGAATTAATTGAACTTTATTTGTTTATAGTCTGACAACAGATTTACTAAGAATGCGCAATAGCACAGTGTATTGCACAACAGCAAGAAATCTTTAATTGAATATAAATTCAATTCATATAACCAATTTCAAGTTCTTTGACTACATTTATTCAGAAACCTATAATATGTCAAATATTTAATACAATCCAAATTCAGACCTGTATCAAGCTTGAATATTGTGTCCATTTTTGCCCCAACTGTTCAGGGTAGGACCTCTGCGGGCGTATCCAGCTGCACTCAGCGAAGCAGTTTATTTATCAAAGCCTTTGAGGCATGAAATGTGACATATTTTTGATAGTAGACATCTTCTTCCCTTAATGCATTCTCTAGGTCACTTGAATAACATGAAAGTTGGGTCAAAGTGGTCAGTTTTCTTGTAGGAAGCTATTATACTACCGGAGATGTAACATTATACACATTTATATATTGTAGGTCACTTGGTATTTCAAACCATTCCTTGAACATAAAATCTAAGTCAGTTTAGATTAAATGTAGGATTTTATGAAAATTAGTTTTATTTTACTAGGAAGTATAATGATTGTAGGCGACAGTATCTTTTTGGTTGAACAGGTGAAGGCCTAGTACAAAGTGAAATATGACTGATCTTTATCATATGGTAGTCCGCATAAATCAGTGTGGTCACCAAAATAACCCTTTCACCTTAATTGCGTGAAGAATAAACTTTTCTGTTGTCCTCGACTCACTGGAAATGCAGATGTCAGACTCTCATTGACTTATACCCTGTATCCACAGGGACTCGGTTAGCACATTAAAATTTTGTTAATCAATGTATTTTATTTTTTTTTTATTATTTCCTGTCTATTTGTATTACTTTATTAACGTATTTGACGTTGACATCACTATTTCTTTGTTTTCTAGCAATGTGCAGTTTACTATCCATATCCGTATACTGAAAAATCCTAGAATAGACAGGAAATAATAAAAAAAAATTAAAAAAAATTGATTAACAAAATTTTAAATTGCTAACGGAGTCCCTGTGCCTGTATCACCTTTATGTATTGCCGGATATAAATAAGCATTACAATTTTCAAATGAACCAAGGTTCCAACATTTAAACAACAAAAGACTTGTATTCTTTAAGGTGTGATAACGATTTTGTGAAATGCTGACTAAATTAGTTTAAAACGAAATATGTTTTTTGGGTGATATACTAACGAGTATTGTGCTGATAGGAATTTTATTGATAGTATCTGTGAAATTTGTTCAAAACTTGTCTAGGTTCGGTGCGATTCAAAAATTGTATAGGTTCGGTGCGATTCAAAGCTTGACACATGGTAGACACTTGTGTTTTGTTAAAGAACGTATGTTGACATCCAGGTATCTTTATTGTAGGTTAGAGTTCAGCTGTCTCATTCGCACGAACACGGTTCACTTTCTAATATTTGTGTTACTTGGTCATGTTAATATTGCCGTCAGTGCGTGACTTATTTTCACAAAGACCAATATAATGACTTAACCGATTATGACATTTTTACCGAGGTCCGATGGCGGGTGATGCATGCATAGGTAGAGATGCTTATCCTGTCGATACACCCGGTTTGTCCCTTTTAGAATTCACGCGATTTGTATCTAAACTACTGTTGCCTCGGATTTAACAAATGCCAGGATTCGTAGTTAGACCTGAACAGTTTGTTTAATAAACAGATAATTCCTGCTTTTATTCCCAAAAATATGTTGAATGTTTTGTGTCGTTCGGTTACTGTGTCATTAAATTATACACCACATGGATGCCAAAGTACCGAACGTACAAAGCCAAAACTTCTTTCTTTAGATGTGTATGTAGGAAATTGGTTTATAGATGAAAAACTCTCATCAACTGTCCAGATGAAGAACAACCCGGCCAATAAAAAGACTTGTGTCCTATTATTGTATAATATAAAAGAAGGAGATATTATTGTATGATATAAAAAAAAGAAGATATTATTGTATAATATAAAAAGAAGGAGATGTGGTATAATTGCTAACTAGACACACTAGTATCCGCCAGAGACCAAAGGACGAGATGTTTATTTCATTAGACTATAGACTCATTTACACTCACATCATATCTTTTCTTCTCTAACTTTACACACGCGTTTCTCTCTATTACTGTGTGGATACAGTAAAATGTATCCAATTAAGTGTTTATATAATGAATAAATATGATATGCAAGCGGGGGCTCATCTGTGTCCACATGTGGACACTATCCACATTTGTTTACATCTGTACTGCCTACTGGCGACTCAGTCCCGAGTGTAAATGGTCATTCAGTATGTTAAGAAAAAGACCAAAATTTATAAGGCCTATCTGGCCTAATTGATTTCTAAAATATATTTCATTGTACATGCTCAACATTTATCATTCATTTGTCTATTTCTTAATTTGTGTGAATTAACAATAAATGCTAATTACTACACTTTCATACCATAACAAAACTGCCTTACTGTATTGGTATCACTTATATTTGTATCCATATAACAAAAAAAAACTGAAAAGAGAATACTTTTGCAATAGCTTTTTCATATTGAATACTAAAACTTTTTAGATATTTAGACATATTAAGTAGATGTTCATAATATCCACTTGACATTTTATCATATGACTTCTGTAGTTAGTTATGAGTCTTTGAAGCATGCTCACTAAGGTTCTTTTGTTGATATCATTTTCATACTGGTCAAAACTTTTTTTTGCTTTGACCAGCTTTGGAGCAGATATTTTCAAAGAATTAATAAAAAATAACACAGAAATTCACTTTCTAGCTCATCTAGCCCCAATCATCATGTCGGGCATTGTCATTATTAAAAAACATTAAATGTCTTCTAAACTGAGAAACAATTTCCACATTTAACCGAAATCTTTTACTTATGATACTGACAATCCCCCACAAAGTAATATAAATAGAACCATACAAATAGTAAGCAAATACATGTTCTCAGATACCATCTCCCATATAAAAAAATCACATTAAGAAAAATTGAACCTATTATGTGTTCCTCTCCTAGCTACAAAATGTATCCAAAATCAAAGATGTGGAACATATATATTCTATCATAATCATTTGGTAATTAATGCAATTAGTATCTCTTCCATGCCGGTGTTGAACATAAAAAACTAAATATTACATAAACAACACCCCTAATGCTCATGTTGGTTGTCATTGTGCAACACAGTTAATACATAGAAAACATAAAACATAGAACTCCTTTTGTCATATAAAACACTGTCAAACATCCAATCATACTATCCACACTGATCTGTGTCCACACTTGTATAATGAATAAAAATATATGATATGTACTTTAACTGAGAGAGCAATCGAACGACATAAAAAACCAAAATACATAAATAGAAGTAAACACACCGTCTTTAACAATACACAGATTTCTATATATGATATATGTCAAGCTCTAAATCGTAACGAGTCTAAAAATCAATTAAACAGTGTCTGGTAATATCACGGATCCGCCATCAACACCAAAATGACAAAAACATTAAGAAAAAAACACAAGAAAAGCACTGACGAGGTTCCACTAGCACTAGACAGACATATGACTATGTGTGTACGTTCCTTAACATTTTTTGGAGTTTTTGTTTATAAGTCAATTTCTCTTCGTTATAAAAGCTTAAAAAACTTCATTTTAATCATAGTTGTTTTGCTTTAAAAGATATCGATGCATTCCAACAGTTTCATTTCCATTTCAATATCAATTTTTAATGTCCAGTTTTCCTACAAGTGTTTCATTTAAACAATGTTATTGTCTTCTTGTTTGATGTTGACATAATTATGAAAACATGAGTTCGTGCAACGATCAAATGATAAAACGTGTAGGACAACTTCATCAGTTTTACAAAAAACGGTGTATATAGCTTACTACTAATGTTCCGCTAAGCAAGTTTGTAAAATCCAAGAGAACCGTTTTAGTCGATGGTAGAGATTTTTTTACTTCATCGCTTCACCACTGTGAAACAGACAGCTGTCTACGACAAAAACTGAGAATTCATTGACTATTCTAAAAGAGTGGCGAAAGATGCCAAAGGGACATTCAAACTCATAAGTCGAAAATTGGACAGTTGGAACATATCCGTTGTCATCTGGGAAACAGATATTCCATAACGGTCTACCAACTCATGATGGCGTTCGGAAAATTTTCAAAGGGATGATTTCAACTTCTCCACTTGGAACTCTTGGTTTAATAGCTTCTTTGTGAGCAGCAACCCTCTGTCAATGAAATCATGAAAGAAATGAAACCCTGGATTATCGTATCAAATGGGAGATATATACTCAATATGCAGGCCCTGTTGGAACGTTGCTACATTGAAATGGAAAGTTCCCAATTGGGAAGCTAAAATCATCTCTTCTGTCGTAAAGTTTTATTCTCGACCATCCATCATTGTCATTGCCTAGTTATTTAGTGAGAGGACATCATCTACATAGCGGAAATTGAAGTTAAAGGATAATGCCAGCTTCTTTTAATTACTCCTTAGAAGCTTTTGTATGAAGTCAGCCTCATATGAACAAAGGAACAAGTCGGCAGGAAGAGGAGCACAGTTCGTTATCATGGGAATGCCGTTTCTTTGTTGAAAAACACATCCTCCAAAGGTTACAAATGTGTTGTCAATCAAGAAATCAAGTCTAAAATCAAATCTAAAGTGTCTTATTCTGTTCATAAAATATGGTAAACATTTTCACGCGTATACTAGTATGTGGCCATGCATACAAATTGTGCAGTTCAAAGACAAACATCCTTTAAAAGTTTACGTTTATAATTTTACTACTCAACACAACATGTTGGCTATACAATAAACAAATAATAAGATGTGGCATGATTGCCAATGGTAAAACTTTCTACCAGAGACCAAATGACGTAGAAGTTAACAACTATAGGTCACCGTACGGCCTTCAACAATGAGCAAAACACACACAGCATAGGAAGCTATGAAAGGCCCCGAGATGACAAATGTAATTTTTTATGCATGGATTAATGAAAACTCATCTGAACTGAGAGTTACAAGGATTCCAACCTAAATTGTATACATTGTAAAGCTTTGTGAGTGTCTGCTCCATGTCGAGGCTAAAGACATTGTTATTTGATATATATCCGTTCGCCCACTTACTACGCCCCTTTCCACATGGATATGCATACGTGTGTAACTTCTTTATTCAAATACAGATCAAAAACTTGCAGTATAAAAATTATTTATTCATAGCTTAAACTAATTGAGTTACCGGTGCAATTAACTTTTTACAATTCTTCGTCCGTTGTTTCTGCTACATTTATCGATCTATCCCCGTTTTCATCATCATTATCCTCATCCTCATCATATTCAGTAGATTCGTCATCCTCAGATCTATCCTCCATTAATACAGCATCATAGTCTTCATCTTCCTCTTCGTCATCAGTTTCTGCCATTAATTGTGCAAAAATATCATCGACTGAATCTTCATCATCTTCTTCATCGCCTTCATCATCACCTTCATTCTCATCATCATAATCAGCTTCATCGGCTTCGTCATCTCCAACATCTTCATTGTTGTCATTATCGATATCGGAATCGTCAATGCCATCATGGCTATCATCTTCATGACCAATGTTTTCATTTTCATAATCGATGTTTTCATTAATACGATCGATGTTTTCATTATCATGATCGATGTTTTCATCAATACGATCGATGTTTTCATTATCATGATCGATGTTTTCGTTATCGATTTCGTTGACTTGCTCATTATAGTTGTTTCCTTCATCATCATTGTGATAATTCTCTCCATTGAACTCTTCGCCGTTTTCAGAGTTTCGTTCCCGGATGTTTTCAGTATCTCTTACACTTCCACCGTACCCTGTAACGTCGCCATCATTAAACAGTCCTATATTCTCCAAGTGACCTTCATACATGATTTCTCCATTATCATTTGTCATGTTTTTGTCATCATTATTTTCCTTGTATCCTTCAACTTCATTGTTAAATTGGCCTCTGTTTTCATCATTCCATTCTTTCTCGCTATCTCCTTTATTATCTTCATTGTTTTCTGCATTAAAGCCTCCCGTGTACTGGACATCATCGTTTTCAATGTCCTCCAAGGGGAAGTATTTGTTGACATCATAAGCCTCACCATGGAAATCTTCTCTGGCACGGGTCCAACTATTCTCCCAGTGGAAAACTTCTACGTATCCAACGTAATTCCCAGGACAGATATCTCTGCCATTATTTCCACTAGTTTCTCCCGGATTGCTTATATAGTTCTCTTGCATGTTGCTCTGTTCATCTATTTCAATACTATCCGTATCATAATCAATGATGTCTTCTTTGAAAGACATATTTTCGTAATACTGATCAAAGCTCCTTCCATAATTATGATCACTATTTATCCTGTCGCTTTCACTGTGTTGATGCTCACAATTAATAACATTCAAAGAGTTATGTTCAATATTTGATCTGTTTTCCTGTTGACCATCAGTCAGGGTTTCATCTTCATTATATTGTTCCACATTGTCTGCATCATCTACATTTCCGCCATCAATGTTTTCATTATTGAGTGTATCGTTTCCTTTGTTTATATTGTTTTCATTGTTAACCTCGACATTGCTCCCATTGTTAACCTCGCCATCATATTCATTGCTAACCTCGACATCGTTTTGATTATCGTTTTCGCCCACATTTTCATTTTCTGCACCATCATGTTGGTGATCAAGAAAAACATTGTTTTCGTCTCTCTCTTCATTTTCATTTTCCTCTACAATTTCATTGTTCTCTTCATTATTTTTATTTTCCTCTCCTAGTTCGTTGCCCTCTTCATTGTTTTCATTTTCCTCTTCATCTGCGTTGCCCTCATCCTCATTATTGACCACCACACTAGGTTGTTCTGAATTAGCCTGTCCATCATGATTTTCAATTATGTGACCATTTCCCCCTTCATCTGCGTTGCTCTCTTCATTGTTTTCATGTTCTTCTATTTCGACGCCCTCTTCATTATTTTCACTTTCATCTTCGTCTTCGTTGCCATCATCCTCATTATTTACAACAGCCGCACGAGGTTGTTCTTCATAAGCCTGTCCATCGAGATTTCCAAGTATGTGACCATTTTCCTCCTCGACATTTCTGTCTTCGTCTTCATCTTCTAAACCATCTTCTTCGTCCTCTTCTTCCTCTTCAGATTCCTCTTCCATGCTTTCCTCGTCATCGTCTGACTCCATCTCCGATGTGATGACAACGTTATTATTTCTTTGGCTGATAGCCTGTGTAAGTTGAACCCGGATGGTCATTAGATACTTCAGTTCTGTTTCCTCTAGACCCAATACACCAAGATTTAGAGATCGCAGATCTGAAATTGACAAAATTCTTCTAATTGGCAATTTTCTAACTCATCTGAACATTTAAAAACAGTAAAACTAAATCAAATGTAACTTTTGTTTTGTTTTAGATTTCACTTTAGTTATATCCACGCCTATGCCGAACGAAAAAGATTTTAATTTTTACTGATACTACTTAAACAATCGCAACTGCCTTAAATCTTATTGCTCTCTTTTCACCAATGTGAAGCAGTTTTTTATAGACAAGACCTTATTAGCTTTTCTGTGATACGCCAGACATTGACTTCATTTGTATTATCTTAGAATCTCAAAGTTTTTACATGAGATGTGTTACTGTATAGGTCAATACTATCAATATCCGTTTGAAATCATGGTAATTTAACCCTGACCTAATTTGCATCCTGTTTTAAGCTTTAAGATTAAGTCTAAGTAACAAAGTTTGACATGTCAGCAAGATGTGGTATGTGGATTCGTTGTCTTTCTGACATATAATTCATATGATGTTAACATGGTTGACTCCCTTTTCATTTTCAGTGATCAGATAAGGCTATATTACGTCTTTCTGATACCTGAATGCATTACATTAAGTTACGGGTAACATAAGGCATATCAAAGCTAAATGAGTCATAATTCATTATGCTGCATAAATATAGTTGTATAAAAATACATTTATAAAAACCATGTCGTGATATATGATTCAAAGTCTGTGTTATAGTAGTCTCAGATGATTCCAAACAATGTTTAACAAGTCAAAATTAATAAATGCTTACTTAATTGTTTATCATATTGCATTTGGCAAATCTTCTCCACGGTATTAACAGACATTTTACAGAACAAACTCAAATGTTTCAGACGATAACATCTACCAAGAAAGTACAGAATTTCATCGTCAACTGGCTGGTTCTTGTCAAGGTGAAGACTGAAGCTTTCTGTTAAAATAAAAACAAATTATTCATCTTATATTGAGTTAAATAAGTCTTCGTATGCAAATTTATGTTTAAAACCAGGAGAAGTGTTTTTTTGATTACCGTACTGGCAATCTCGGACACTTTAATAATGCAGTAATGTTGGTGTTATATCTGCTTTTAATGAAAAGCCAAGAACTTTAGACAAACTTATACATTTGTCATTGCGGGGTCTTTTATAGCTTACTATGCGGTTTGAATTTTGCTCATTGTTGAAGGCCGTTACGATGACCCATAGTTTCTAACTTCTATGTCATTTGGTCTCTGATGGAGAGTTGTCGCATTGGCAATCATACCACATCTTCTTATTTTTATATTATAAGATTTCATTAGCAATTCTGTTTGAGTAACCTTCTGTGGTTAGATGAATCAATGATTACTTTACTTATTGTCATGATGACAAATTTATTTTTTCTGATGTCACATGACTGTATACAACCCTTTTTAGCAAAATCTTTATATTTTATGTTTAATCGCAGAAAATATTGTGTATAATATGTTCTTTTATTGTAAAAGTTTTATTTATTCATTTTTAATGAATGTTAGAATAAGTCTTTAAGCGAAAGTGTCTCATAAGTCAGTTGTGGCTGGATACCGATATTTTAACTTCGAATGAAATTTTCATTTGTATTTCTATACTTATATTATGATGTATGATATTGTTCTGTATTGGTATGTGACACTATAATAAAATATTCTGTCTGTCTGTCTGTCTGTCTGTCTGTAAAAACAGCTGATGTGATAAAGTAATCATCAACTTACCTTTTGTTGTTAGAGGAGCATTGTTGATAGATGAATAATGAATTCATTTTCGTATTATATCAGAGTTAACATTGTTGGTGTGATTAATCAATGATTCAGTTACCTTTAGTGTCAGAGTGAACATTGCTGATGTGATTAAAAATTGATTCACTTACCTTTAGTGTCAGAAGAAACTTTGCTGATGTGATTAATCAATGATTCACTTACCTATTGTATCTAATTATGATTGCTGATCTGAACTATCAACAATTATCTTTTCTATAGTGTCAGAGTAAACATTGCTGATGTGATTAAACAATGATTCACTTACCTATAGTGTTAGTGGAAACTATGCTGATGGGCTTAATCATTGATTCACTTACCTCTTATGTCATAGTAAACATTAATGAATTGTCATACTTAACAATGCTGATGTGATTAATCAATTGTTCACTTATTTTTTACTTATGAGTTTGAATGTCCCTTTGGTATCCTTCGCCTCTTTTTTACCTATTGTGTCATAGTAAACATGGCTGATGCGATTAAACAATGATAATTCACTTACCTAAAGTGATAGAATAAACATTGGTGATGTGATTTATCAATTATTCACTTACCTAGAGTGTCAGAGTAAACATTGCTGATGTGATTAATTAATGATTCACTTACCTATAGTGTTTAATTATTATTTTTGATCTGATTTATCAATGATTCACCTATCTATAGTGTCAGAGTAAACATTGCTGATGTGATTAATCAATGATTCGCTTACATAAAGTGTCAAAGTAAACATTACTGATATGATTAATCAATGAATCACTAACCTAAAGTGTCAGAATAAACATTACTAATGTGGTGAATCAATCCACACAATCTACTTTGTGCCTCTGCTCTCGACTCAATGATTGCTGGCCATGCAATTATGTCAATTTCTTTCATAGGAACAGTTTCTGGGAGTGCATGCTGTATGCCATGACGGAATCCAGAAGCATAGATATAAAATATGACTTTGGTGTCAGGACATTGCTTCTTAAAGTATGTCCACATCTCTGGTTCTATCACCCAACTATTGATATCGCAATCAATAGTAAGAGTAAAAGTTTTCATTTTCTGTTCCCTAGCGAAATGCTGTAAGATTTCTCCGTTCACTGTGTTGTAATTGGTGTAGATATAAGTTAAACCTTTCAACTTTGTTACAGCATATCGATAACGTGATATAGATACGGGGATAACATTAGTTTGGAACATGTCTTCCATGTATAAAAGTTTAAGAGTTTTTGATGCTGCTCCCCGTCCGAGGGACTCTAATATTCTACAGCCATCTACAAGTGTTAAACGCGCAGCGATTAAGTTAAGTACTTCAAGTTCCCGACATCGTCGCAGAAAACGGCAGAGTGAAGCAACAACACGATTTTTGGAGGCCACAAAATGCCAGTGATTTTCCATATTAGCATGGTAAAGTGTAAATTCTTTCAGTCGCATATTTGCTATGACTGCTAACTTCTTTAAAAATACTTCAGTTGCTTGAGATATGACTTTCACCGTTCGATAGGTAGGTCCTTGGAATCTTATGGCTAATGATCGCAAGTGCTTTCCAAACCTTTTAATATATCTACAAGATCTTTCGGCTGTGCCCATAGCATCGAATCCACCAAAACTTACACACCTGTACCGCCATAGTAATGGCGTTTCGAAGAGCCGCAACCAGTTTTTACATACACGGGCTGCAGCCACCCGTTCACTATCCTCCAAGTATTTGTAAATCTCTATTAAAGCAACATCTGGAAGATAACACCAGTCACTACTTTGTCCTAAATCACACATGTTTAGGAATGTTTGTAGACACCAACGTTATCCATGTAAAATCATATCCGTAAGTTCCAAGCGTGCACAGATTTACCAGAGAAACGACAATGGGGAACGTCACAAAGATCAGTACATTATATTCGGTTTAATTCGGAAATTGTGGTCAAAAATCTAAAACAGTAAAAGTCGCTTTAAATATCGTTACGTGTTTCTTTTCGTTGTCTACAGATATTTTAAAGAAAAGTAAAACATGAAGTCCAGTTGACGTACCAAAACAAGAAAATAGTTTAATTCGGACTACGACGGTGGCAACGTCATAATATCACACTATTTGATACTATAGAGAACGTCAAGCATAGTAACGTCGAACTGAATGGAAAGTAGTTGGGTTGTTGGAAAAGTTTGTGAGATTTTCACGTCAGTATCGAGAATATTTAACAGTTATAGCATGGAACAATCGACATGGGTTGATCTACCAGATGTCGTTGTGATAGAGTTATTCAGATTTTTAAAAGATAAGGATCGAGCAGCTGCCGCACTGACATGTAAAAACTGGGCAAGATTGTTTAAGACGCCATGCCTATGGCGCTCCCGACACTTTGAGATGGGAGGTTATAGGGCGCACAATAATGGAAGCCGCGCTTGTGCGTTTGCAAGTTTATTCGGAAACTATGTTAGATATTTATCGATTTCATGTAGTCATCCTTCATACCACACGACAAAAATATTCCAGAGAGCAATCGAGGACGTCCTAGGAAAAATGCGCACGTCAAAACTATTCGAGTTTGAGCTTGAAAGATTAGAACTTGAACGTTTTTGGAAGTACGAAACACCCCGTGATAAATTAATAGCATGTTTTGTAAGGTTTTTAAAAACACAAAAATATTTGAAAATATTTGATATGACAGCTGCACAGTGCAATTTAGATGGGGGATGTCGAATATTACAAGCAGTGGGCAATAATTCTGGTTACAAAGTACAAGATGTGTTTATTGAAGATTTTTTTCATTCAAGATTAGCAGTGTTTCAAAATGATCGATATAAGTCAGCAATTTACCAATTTACAAACATAAATTATTTAGGAATCAATTACAACTGCTTATCCGATGAAATAATTGAAACTTTTTCGAAAACATTAGAAGGAAAATTGGAGTGTATGAACATTAAAGTCTACCGAAACGATCCCCATTTTCATACCATTGGTGGCAGCCAGTGGTCTATTTTACGCCGGAAGTGTCCAAAGTTGAAGGTAACCATGTGGTTTGAAAGCATTGGGCATTCCACAGATATTATCCCGGTTCTTGTAAAGGAGATTCCATTAAAGGATTTACATATCTGGACAGGGTATGATGATGATGTGGAATGGAGACTAGCAATTACGATAGACCATATTGCAAATTCTTACGCCAATACTTTAAGTAAGTCAAATCGAACCTCTCGTCGTTAATAATCAATAGGATAACTGGTGAGTGGAAAACATTAGAAAAGTAGCTCTTCTTTTGATTGAGTTTAAAAGCCAATAATGTGATTACTTCTATTACCATACTAATTAATATTCGATAATAGTCATTTTAAAACCAAATCTTTATATAAGTATAACTATATGTACAAATTGTCTTTTAAACAGTTTTATTTGAAAGATATTTATCAATGTTATTCATTGTTTATCGTATGTGCCTATCCCACGTCAGGAGCCTGTAATTCATTGGTTGTCATGTCTTGCTATATGTCATATTTTTTATCGTTTATTTTTTTTTGTACATATATCTGGCCGTTAGTTTCTCGTTTGAATTGTTTTACATTTTTCATTTCGGTGCAATTTATAGCTAGCTATGCGGTATGGGTTTTTGCTCATTGTTGAAGGCCGTACGGTGGTGACCTACAGTTGTTGATTTCCATGTCAGTTGGTCTCTGGTAGAGAGTTGTCGCATTGGCAATCATACCACATCTTATTTTTATATGGAAACACTTGCAAATTGAAATTGTTTATCGTTGATGCATATTGATAAACAAATTTTAAATTGAAAAGATTGTAGACATACAGAATATAATGCTCGTCCATAGATTTTCAGAATGTCCGTATATGATGACCTAGACATAGATATAAAGGTTTTGTACAAAGTCAGTATATATAAATCATAAATAACACAAGCTCTGTAGAGCGTATAACCTGCACAGGCTTGACACATTTGTATGGCACATTTGTATGGCACATTTGTATGACACATTTGTATGGCACATTTGCCTCGAAACCTGTATTAATTCAACATAGGTTTCGAGAACACCGGTCAACCAATCTAATTGAAATATAGATCTCTTGATTTCGTAATCCTCATATGAGTCTACATACGAACACGCGAGATAAGATAGAACTGGATTTTAATTAGATTGGCCGGTCTTCTAACTGTCCTCGAACATTCAAAACTGAGACTTTGCGAATAATACGATTTTAAATCATTTCTGTTAAAATGAAATATAAAAAATATAATAGTCGTACGTTATAGAAATTCCACGAAGGACATACTAGTACAAGGGTTTCATAGTTTGACATATACTAGTACTAAAAATAAATCTGAACTTTTTTCCCTTCAATACCACATTCTGTTAAAAATATTAAAACAATACGGATGCTTATAACGATGTTACAAAAAAAAAAAAAAAAAAAAGAAAAAACACCAGAACTGCACTTATTATAAAAGAGGGACGAAATATACCAGAGGGACAGTCAACCTCATAGATCGAAAACAAACTGACAACGCCATGGCCAAAAATAAAAAGACAAATAGACAAATAATAGTACAGATGACACAGCATAGAAAACTAAAGACTAAGCAACACGAACCCCACGAAAAACTGGGGGTGATCTCAGGTGCTCCGGAAGGGTAAGCAGATCCTGCTCCACATGTGGCACCCGTCGTGTTGCTTATGTTATTACAAATCCGGTAAATAGTCTTATTCGGTAGGTCACATTCGTGAAAAGGGAAGGGTATTGTAGTTACGACATAAGGAACATTTCCGATAGCATCCGTGAAACGGTTATTTAGTGACGGATCCAGGGGGAGGGGTTCCGGAGAACTGCACTTATTATAATGTCTCTATATAAGGTTATTTGATTGTTTTATTTAATTACAGGCATGCTGTCGTTAGAACTAGATAATAATCACGAACTTGTAGACGATAATATTCTGACACTGTTACAGAAGTGTAAGAAACTAAACCAACTTACTCTCAATGCAAATGTTGTGGTCAGTACGATCAGGGCTATCTGTCTCTTACGGTCAGAAAAGAAAACCAGTAAGTATAATTCAATACCACAAACAAAACAAGATGTGTGTCCTTAGTGGAACACTGAGGAACTGCTTATCATTGAAGATCACTTCGCGGTTTAATATAAGGGGGTTTTGTGTAGACCGATTTTGCACTGACTTCTGACGATCTATTCTATGTCTTAATGGGCTCGAGTGGTTTGTTAGGGTCGTGGTACCGTGGCACAACCACACCAAGTCCTAAAAAGGCCGTAAGACGTCCGAGCTATCTCGAGCTGGATTTGTGTGGTCGTGGTACAGTAGCACGACCACAACAAGTCCTAAGAAGCCCGTAAGACGTCCGAGCAATCTCGAGCTGGATTTGTGTTGCTCAATCTTTAGTTTTCTGGTCATTATTTTGTTACACGTTATAATTGTCTTTTTTTATGCCAAATATTTAAACTTTCTGTGTAGTATTTTGGTGAGATTGTTTGTTTGTCTTTATTTTGACAATAATATTTTCTGTGATTTCCCTTACTTTCGATTAAAAAATAATTTCCTGGTAGTGGTGGTAAACACGCACTCAAACTGTGACACCAGTTACAAAGCTGAAACTTGAAATTCAACTTCCATAATTTAGATAACAGTTTCTATTTGGATTCATTTTTTACAATTAAGCTTCATCTTGAAATTTTTGATTTTTTAAACATGAGGCACAAAATATTGATACGTTGTTGCTTTTTTTGTCAATGTCCAGCAACAAACATTACACACATGTATACTTTCGATATACCATTTAGAAATGACTCGAAATTTGAAATTCGATTCCCAAGTCAGGAGCCTGTAGTTAAGTGATTGTCGTTGGTTCATGTCTGTCATATTTGTTTTTCGTAAATTGTTTTGTTATAAACTAGGCCGTTAGTTTTCTCAATTGAATTGTTTCATATTTTTCATGTCGGGGCCTTTATAGCGGACTATACGGTATGGGTTTGTCTCATTGTTGAATTGCTTACATCATACCACACCTCCTTGTTTTTATATAAAAGAATAGTATACTAGTACATCATGCTTTAAATTATAATGGAATGTTAATGTATTGTTAAAATATCACCTTTGGTTCATCATAGCATGCCAGTGGTCATAAGATACTTAGTACCTTACCGAAAAGGTCGAATAAATGATTTTTCGGTACTGATTTTAATTGAATCTTTCTATGCAGATTATCATTCAACTAATCTAGATTAAAGAGGGGAGGGTTGACTTTTTTAAAAAAAATTCGTAAGGGGTTCCGCGGAACCCTGTGTCTCGCCTTCGATTGTTGCCGTCAGTGTAAAAGTGTAATGTTGACTTAAAAAGTGAGTCCATTTATCAGTAAAATACAGAATTTGAAAAATAAATTCAAACGTTTTCTTTAAGTGCTATTTCTTGGTCTTGACAATTAGCTTCTGTCCCAAGTTTCATAACAATCCATGAAGGTTTACAAATTTATCATGTCAAAAAATAATTTAATCCCAGACTGTCTGTAAATGTTAACTGTAAAAAAAACTAAGTCAATCTATCAGAAAAATACTAAATATGAAAAAATATATTTTCAAATGTTTGCTTCAGACATTATCTTTTAATCACTAAAAAGCTTCTGCCAAAGTTTCATAAAACTCTATTAATCTCTTTGACAGATGTGTAACAAACTTTAACCCCAGACTGTATCTACTTGTTAACTGTAAAAACCTAAGTCCATTTATCAGTAAAATTCGGAAAAATTTAAATAAATATTTTCAAAATTTTGCTCTGGATACTGTCTTTTGGTCATAAACAAGCTTCTGTTCAAGTTTCATAAAACTCCATATAGGGTTGACAAAGTTATTGATGTCTAAAAAAACTTTAACCACAGACTGAACCTAAATGTTGACGCCGCCGACGCCGGAATCTATCGCGAAATAAATTTTGCAGGCTCGACAAAAACTAGTTTAACTCAGCAACATGTGTTTGTCACTTGTAAGAAACTTCATCAATGGATAGATATTTATATATTTTCATGGTTTCCGTCTTTAAGAAAATACGGCGTTGTTTGTCGCAGATTTTTTAAGTCTATGTTAATTTAGTTTGGCACATTGTTTGGCCTCCGAGTGATTAAGAACTTTTGTTGCAGATCATCACATATTTTAGAGCAGGAATATTCTTTGAGTATTGTAATAACATGAGCAGGAATATAATTTAGATTACAATCACATCTTAGAGTAGATAAAAAGTTTTGTTTAGTCACATCTTTGAGTAGATATACAATTTTTAATTACTGTAACATCTTAGAGTAGGTATACAATATCAATTACAGTAACTTATAAGGGTTGGTATACAGGAAGGTTTCTGTTGCAATCTTACAGCTAAGAGACAATATTGGTTGATCACCTCTAGATGTCCTTTGGTTTTTGTGTCATCTCCTTTTATTCATACATATTTAAACATATAAATGAACCAAAATTTAAACTGAAACATACAAGACTAACAAAGGCCAGAGGTTCCTGACTTGGGACAGGCGCAAAAATGCGGCGGGGTTTAACATGTTTTGTGAGATCTAAATCCCCCCTTATACCTCTACCCAATGTAGAATAAACAAACACACAGCAATACGCGCAATAAAACTCAGTTTAAAAGAAGCCCGAGTCCGATGTTAGAATAGCTAACAGAAGAAACTAAGCAAAATGACAATGATACATAAATTAACAAAGGACTACTAGCAGTTACTGACATGCAAGCTCCAGACCTCAATTAAACTGATTGAAAGATTATGTCTTCATCATATGAAAAATCAAGCACACTCCCTCCCGTTAGGGGTTTAGTATCATACCATCATAAAATATACGAGAAGAACATAACCCGTATCATGCCAGCAACTGGTTTTAGAATAAATGTGTTTATTTCCGATGCAAAGACCCTATGAGTGAATTAATATTAATTCCAAAAAAATACCATCTTTAATGACCTGGCAACAGTATCGTAACTATATCTCTTCTGAATAGGTCTGTTTAGAGGTTTGGTTAGCTTTTGAGGTGAATGACGACATTTTTGTGTTTTGTATAGAATATTACCATAAAAGATTGGATGTGAAATATCTGAACGTATAAGTTGTCTGCACGTTGATTTATATTTACGAATGATGTCCTTGTACCGATGATAAAATTTAGTAAATGTTTTGACATGTTTGTGATATCGAAAACCCTGGTGTAATAATTTTTCAGTATTAATGCAGAGATTTCTTTCGTTAAAATCACATACACGAGCGAATCGAACAAGTTGAGATATATAAACACCATAAGATGGTGACAAGGGAACGTCGCCATCTAAAAATGGATAATTAACAATAGGAAATGGAAATCATCTCTTTTATCGTAAATTTTGGTATTAAGATTCCCGTTTATAAAGATATAAATATCAAGATCCAGGAAAGGGCAGTGTTGATTGTTAATATTAGCTTTATTTAAAGTCAGTTCAGCAGGATAAATCTCTTTAGTGTACATACTGAAGTCGTCATTATTGAGAGCCAATATATCATCCAAATATCTAAAAGTGTTATTAAATGTTTGTATCAAATGTTGTTTCGATGGGTCTTTGCTGATTTTTGTCATAAAGTCATAAATTGTAACTCGTACCATTACAGCAACAGGTCCGCAGAAAGTGGTGCATAATTAGACCCCATTGGAATTCCGATAACTCGATGATATACGCATTCTCCATAGCGAACAAAAATGTTATCTAGTAAAAATTCAAGTGCAGTTATCGTATCAAAGCAGGTCCAATTTACATAGTTTTTTTGTCTGTTGTTACTAAAAAATTACCTAAAAGAGTTTGAGCATAAATTTTCGCATTCTCACTTTTTAAATGCCCATTTAACTAGGTGTGTTAACTTTTTTCTTAATCAGATTATGAGGCAAAGTGGTATATAGGGTAGAAAAATCAAAACTTTGAACAGATTCGTAATCACCAATATGAGCATGCAATTTATCAAGTACTTCCAACGAACTTTTGACACTCCAAAAGTAACTAATTCCACTATTTTCAAGGGACTCATTTGAGGTATATAAGAACTATTTTTGGTCTTCTGGTTTTGTTGCCATCGTGTATAATGGTAATGCTTTTACATTTACAGCCTTACAGTCCCTCCATCTGACAGCATGTGGACTGTCCGAACAAGAATGGACTGTCCTATGTCAAATCAAAGACGAGTTTGCTGAGTTGATTGAACAACAGGGTTTGGACTACAAATTCTGTACCGATTTGTTAATAGACCTTGGAGCCATGTAGAAAATGCTCTTGATCAATAATAAAAAATATTGACAATCAATTATGAAGTATTGAATACATATTGTTTTCTTGATTAAATAAGCTATGTAAAAACACTTGTTCATCTTTTCTATTTTTTTGCCATTGCGTTGTCAGTTGTTTTTTTTTCCATTGCGTTGTCAGTTGTTTTTTTTGCCATTGCGTTGTCAGTTGGTTTTTTTCCATTGCGTTGTCAGTTTTTTTCCGACTTATGAGTTTTGAATGTCCCCTTGGTATCTTCCGCCTCTTTTAAAAAAAATAACTTTGTGTTTGGTTTATAATAAATAGATTTAAAATAGCCTCAATTCTATGAGCCATAAAGATTGGTTGATTCATTCATTTAATAAAATTATTAGTAAAAAGGGGGGATTAACGTTGCCTAGGGAACAATCAGAATCTGTATGTATAAGAAAAACAAACGCTATTGATGTTTCCATATTGTGTTGGTCACAGATACTTTCTTATGTGTGTTTCTTGAACAAAAATGGTCAGTATAATATCTGGTGTTCAACCCTTCAAACTTTTAATTATTTTTCGTTAAAACCACTTTTAGTGCTATGTGTGTTACATGATATTCTGTTTAAAAGTTGAATTTCAAATTTAATCCATTTAAAATAAGATTACCATATCCCTTCCTACTTATTTATAGAGTTTTCATTGTGAAGCCTTGCAGCATGACATTATCACATGACATTTACCTCTCTTCAAATGTGTATCAGATCTGCTTTTAATTGCGTACAGAGTTTAACTATGATTGATCCTTGTCAGCAAATCATTTTCACCTGACCTTAACCTCTGTAAGCAGGATAAGTTTTCTGAGTAAATCCTATTCCTCAGTAACTTTCTATGACAGGTCAACAATATTTGGAAGGTGGACCCTACAGGTCATTTTACAGCCCTTAACAATGAGCAAAACCCGTGCTATATAGTAAACTATCAAAGGCCACCACAGCATTACAAAGTCTGATTGTTCATTCTCAGTACTATGGATGAGAGATAAGAAGTGGATAACTATGAATATAAATATGATTGATGTGTACCAAGCCAAAAAAAAAAACCCACGCCACTTCAATTATACAAAATCTTGTTAACACGTGTATACTGAGCATCAAGTCACTTCCTTTTGATACACCAGACCAAAATAATAGACCTTACTAGTGGCAGTCATTTTCTGACCACATGTAACTTTTAACCAATGTGAATAACATGGAGTCTTTTGGCAGATTTTACCTTGATTGCCAACTGCAGTAATATGATCTATACACTACGAATATGATGCTCTTGAATATGCATGAAATATTTGCCACTGGTCTCAACAATAAATCAAAACGTGAACATAATCTTGCATATACATGAAATATTTGCCACTGGACTCAACAATCCGAATGTACACCCGAAAAAAATTATTTCAGTAGGCATAACATAAAAAATAAAATCTAAAACAATTTTAAAGGCATACACAGTTTTGAGTAAATTGGTGAAAATGTTTTGTTTCATAACCATGAGTATGAAATTTAAAGAAGAATCAAAGAAATTTGTACTTTGAACATAACAAGATTGCACCACTTCCTGTTTTACTTCTTGTATTTTATAATCCTCCTTTTATAGGAGCACTCCACAAATGCTTTTATTTTTAACAATGATGGAGAAAAAGTAACTGTTTATACCTTCTGCAATATATTATTGCATCAATATAATATGATCATCTCCTGTCTCACCTGTTATATTTTTAAAACTCCTTACTTAGGAGCACTTTGGTGTGCACTTAAAAATACTTTTTTGTAACAATTGAAATGATAATAAATAACTTTAATAACAATATACTATAGGGGGATTGATCAAGCAATTTAAATGTAGATAATTTAATTGATTAAACATTCAATTTTGCATGTATAACTCCATCTTTCAAAACTACTTGTTTATTTTTATAGACTGGTATAAGTTATAAAACATTGAAATTTCTGATGATTATTTTCCTTACCAAATGTACAAGTTTGTTTAGATTAACATCGAAATGATATGCTTTGCTTCATGGTATGATAATTTGATAAAAAAAAATCTTACTGGAACCAACATCAAGAACACATTATTTTCTGAATATGGTTTAAATACAACTAATGTTCTCCAGCTGAGCCTAACAATATTCAAGGTAATTTATACAGTCCAACAGTGCCCTTACAATCTGGGTTATTACGCTAAAGTGCCCTTTCAGACAACTAGCACCCTTCTGCCCTGAGATTCAAGCTGGAACACTGATATATATATGTGAACATGATCTTGCATATACATGAAATATTTGCCACTGGACTCAACAATAAATCAATACATGAACATCATCTTGCATATACATGAAATATTTCCCACTGGACTCAACAATCAATCAATTTGTGAACATGATCTTGCATATACATGAAATATGAGACATTAAGCAAGAAACAAACAATCAAATTGTGAACATGAAGTTAGGTTTTGAGGAATATCAAGGATTATGTTATATATATATATTGATCCACAGAAGAATTCCTGTTCACAATGTGTTTATCATCAGTCCTTTTTCTCTGATTCTGATTCATAGTGTAGGATTCTTACAAAGACAACCACTCAATGCATTAATGAAATAAAAACACCAGATTCTATCATTTGTATTTTTATTATATCAACATATGTATATTCAATGAACATATAGATTAACAAATTACCTGATAATAAAACCAGTCATAGCACACTTATATACTGTGTATACATGATTAAAGTGGTATCAGTGTCACACACTCGCTTAAGGTTGTTTAGTCTAAATCATACACAGATAACAAGGGAAGGAATCTCAACTATTGATGAGTATCAAAAACTATTTAATTCTAAAATTCCATATATAGATGGTTTCCTATTTTGAAAGTGCCTTCATTAGGTGTTGTGCATGTTCTAATCAAACAAACCTTACTACATATAAAAAAAAAATTTTTTTTTTAAAATCCCCAAATTTCAAGGACGATTATAACTTGCCTCTTGCTGATAAGTTATAATATTGTTGGCCTACTACTTCATTGAAGTTATCCAGTAATGTAAAATACATGCAATTACAAATGAAATTTAGTGCAATATTTTGAATTGAAATTTTGTGTCATCAAATGAAAGTTAATTAAGTGATAAACATGATAAATCAAATACTACTTGTATGTCTACCTTAAACTTAACACAATTACCTTTGGATTCCACAAACCTTCACGTAAAAATTAATTAACACATCATTCCTTTCTAAATTTCATGAAATCAATAGACCAATCTCAAGGTTTTTTTATGAATGAGTTATACCGTTTGACCAGAGGTCAATCGGCGTAAATGACGTTATTGAACAATACATTCTTACTGTGACGTTATAGCATAAGCATTGTGATATAGGAAATAAACGGGTAAATGCACGAATTCGACAGTCATCTATGAAACTATCTAAACACTATTAAAATATTGCACAAGACTAAAATTTCAGAGTTTTTCAATTGATAACCATTGAATACGGTAAGTAAAGCCATAAATGGCTTATGAATTTACATAACATTCACTTATAGTATCATCATTGTTTTTCTTTCAATTCTTCTTTACATTTTGATATCTCATTTGAAAATTTCATCAATTTTTCATTTTCTTTGGTTATTCCCTCATATTTTTTCAAATAACTGTCATGACTGTGATGTTCTTTGATACAAAGACCACACAGTTCACATAATAAAACTGTGGCTGGCATCTCTTCATACTACAAGCATACAGGTCACATATTGTCTCTTCTCCTATGACCATACACATGAATGTCACATAAGTGTCACCTCTGGTTATTTATATTAATTTCACTACACAAGCTGTACTTCTTTATTCCTTGAGATGGTCAGTAATTTTAGAGCTCTGAGTACCTGTAACACAAAAATAGTCAGTTATTTCAGAGCCCTGAAAATCTGTATCACAAATATAGGTTAAAATAAAAAAAAAACACTTTATAAATTTGTGTGTCCCAAGTGCCTTTCTGGACTTATTATCATCAGGAATGATGAAAACACAAAATTTGACAGTTCTGGATGTATGAAAGGCAACAGTCCAAAAACTCTTGTTTGTAGCTAAGCAATAGTTGTTGATTTTTAGGTTGCCAAATGTAATACTCCTTTAGCAACTGAGCAACCCCTTATTTTATTCCTCACACTTATGGTCAATATAAAATTAGTGTAAAATGCATTAAAACAGAATATTTATTTGCAAACCTTTAACTTAGCTTCTCCCGTTGAACCAAACACTTTCAGTCCCATTTTATTCATTTCACTTGTTGACAAAGGCGATCTGTAATAACACAATCAATGTGATTTAAGAATATTATCTTTTAGTCAAATACAAAATTTCATTGTACAATTTAATATGTTCTAATAAAATACTTGGATTGTTTTGTTACTCTTACAGGTACAGTCGAATCTCGTTGTGTCGAAAACTCGGACAAGTCGAAGTAATTTCTTGGTCCCATTAGAATTCCCGTTTGATCAATGCATAATTACCTCTGATGAGTCCAATACTCGATTAAGTCGAGTAAATTTTATAGTCCCGTTGATATAAAATTAATGTAAATTGAACCCGATGTCTCCAAGTTCAAAAGTAAGAGTTTTGAAAAAAGCAGACCTAATGATAAAAATTCAAATCGGATGTATTTCTTATGTAACCTAATCATTTTCAAAAGAGATTAAAGCTGAGTAAAAATACTTGTTTGTATAACAGTTAAAATGACATGCTTATGGTGACCGGTAGTTAACACCTCTGTTGATCATCCAAGCGGAATGTTAGTGTGTTGAACATATTTCACCTGACATAGTGAAACTGGACGATATTTATCTAAACGCACTCAAGAACATCTGTATCGTTTTAAAAGACCCAATAAATTCAAAAGTATCATTTATCAACACCTTAAGAAGCACAATCATCCTATTAAATATTTAGCAGTTCAACCTTTAGAAGTAGTAAATAAGCAGCCTGGTGAATCTCATTCAAAGTTTGTACGATCGCGGAAAATAATTGAATTAAATTGGATTAAAAAATTACAGACTGTCTACCCTCTCGGTCTTAATGATAATATCATGGGAATTGGTAATATATCAAGAACCGATTCTGTTAACATTTTGGATATAGTTTCTAAAACTGTTCGTAAAAACCGTTCTCATGGTCGTAGAAAAAATCGCAAACAAAGAAAATTTCGGACCAATCATACCAATATTTCGGACCTAATTTCTATTTCAAAAAACAACGGCAGACATTATCTGTTAACAAAGCTCTGTTCATTACCGGTTAATAAGTTAAATAAAATTTTAGAGGATTGCAACACAATTTCATATAGCAGTCCTAAGTATGAAATCGTTCAAATTATAATGGCATATTGTTATTCTAAACTGTTTCCCAAAATTGATCGCCCTGAAGATCATAAAAAACAGTTTATTAAAATAAAGTATGTCAATAAAGGTTTTGATTTTGTAAATATTGCCGGTATTTTTAACGACCATTCTGTTAAAGAACAAATTCCGGGATATTTTGATAATACTGAGCTCCCTCTTATTTGTTATATTTACAAGAAATCTACCCGGAAATTTGTGTTTAATTATAGCCAATTGTGTAAAGATGTTAATATCAGTGAAAATACACCTACTTCATGTAATTGCAGTAATTCCGAATACATTTATGGACCCATTTCCCATGTTATAACAGGAGATCTTAACATCGTTCAAGACCGAGAGTTAAAATCATTCCTCAGTAAAGGACCTAAATATCGCCCCCCGTCAATTATTAATTGGAATGAGTGTCGTAATATCATCCACGACTCACTCCATACTTACTGTTTGAAATGGATAAAACGGGAAAAAGCTGACAAAAAATCTTTGGACTCTTTTTTTAAATCAGTAATGAACATAGTTGATATACGTATTCAACATTTTAAAGAACATTTTACTCTTAACAATAACCACAATAAACCTATTTCTCGTATCAAACATAAACTAAAAGAACTAGCCAAGGAATTTGTTTTTGTCCCGGCCGATAAAGCTGCTAATAATATTATTATTGTTTGACGTAAATTTTACATTGAGGTTCTGAAAAAAGAAATCACCAATTCACCAACATTCCAACTGACTCCATTTTCAGAAAACGACATCTGTAACAAACATAAACCTTTAGCTACCGCTTTACAAGCAGAACCAAATACAATGAAAGTCCCAACTATGTATTGGCTTCCGAAGCTACACAAAACACCTTACAAATATAGATTCATTTCGTCTTCAAGCCATTGTTCCACTACTAAATTGTCTATTCTTCTTACCAGTACACTTGGTACAATCAAAAACCTGATAATAAATTGTTCAAATAAGGCCTTCGAAAATAGTGGAATTAATTACTTTTGGAGTGTCAAGAACTCGTTGGAAGTACTTGATAAATTGCATGCATATATTGGTGATTTTGAATCTGTTCAAAGTTTTGATTTTTCTACCCTATATACCACATTGCCTCACATTCTCATTAAGAAAAAATTCACACACCTAATTAAATGGGCATTTAAAAAGTCAGAATGTGAATATATATGTTCAAACTCTTTTAGGTCATTTTTTAGTAGCAATAAACAAAAAAACTATGTCAATTGGACATGCTTTGATACTATATATGCCCTTGAATTTTTACTAGATAACATTTTTGTTCGCTTTGGAGATTCCGTATATCGTCAGGTTATCGGAATTCCAATGGGGACTAACTGTGCACCACTTATTGCGGACCTTTTTTTGTATTGCTATGAGTTACAATTTATGACAAAAATCAGTAAAGACCCATCGAAACAACATCTGATACACAAATTTAATAATACTTTTAGATATTTGGATGATATTTTGGCTCTCAATAATGACGACTTCAGTATGTATACTAAAGAAATTTATCCTGTTGAACTTACTTTAAATAAAGCTAATACTAACAATGACCACTGCCCTTTCCTCGATCTTGATATCTATATCATTAACGGAAAGCTTAATACTAAAATATATGATAAAAGAGATGATTTTTCATTTCCTATCGTTAATTATCCATTTTTAGATGGTGACGTTCCCTTGTCACCATCTTACGGTGTTTATATATCTCAACTTGTACGATTCGCTCGTGTATGTAACAATGTTTTAGATTTTAACGAGAGAAATGTATGTATTACTGAAAAATTATTACACCAGGGTTTTCGATATCACAAACTAGTCAAAACATTTACTAAATTTTATCATCGGTATAAGGACATCATTCGTAAATATAGCTCAACATGCAGACTTCTTATACGTTCAGGTATTTCACATCCAATTTTTTATGGAAATATTCTTTATAAAGCACAAAAATGTCAGTATTCACCTCTGAAACTAACAAAACCTTTAAATAGACTTATTAAGAAGGGATATAGTTACGATACTGTTGTCAGGTCATTAAAGATTGCATATTTTGGCGTTGATATTGATTCACTTATAGGGTCTTTGCATCTGCACTAAACACATTTATTTAAAAACCAGTTGTTGGCATGACACGGGTTATGTTCTTCTCATATATGTTATGATGGTATGATACTAAACCCCTAACGGGAAGGATTGTGCCTGATATTCATATGATGAAGACATAATCTTTCAATCAGTTTAATTGAAGTCTGGAGCTGGCATGTCAGTTAACTGCTAGTAGTCTGTTGTTATTTATGTATTATTGTCATTTTGTTTATTTTCTTTGGTTACATCTTCTGACATCAGACTCGGACTTCTCTTGAACTGAATTTTAATGTGCGTATTGTTATGCGTTTACTTTTCTACATTGGCTAGAGGTATAGGGGGAGGGTTGAGATCTCATAAACATGTTTAACCCCGCCGCATTTTTGCGCCTGTCCCAAGTCAGGAGCCTCTAGCCTTTGTTAGTCTTGTATTATTTTTAATTTTAGTTTCTTGTGTACAATTTGGAGTTTAGTATGGCGTTCATTATCACTGGGCTAGTATATATGTTTGTTTGGGGGCCAGCTGAGGGACGCCTCCGGGTGCGGGAGTTTCTCGCTGCGTTGAAGACCTGTTGGTGGCCTTCTGCTGTTGTCTGTTCTGTGGTCGGGTTGTTGTCTCTTTGACACATTCCCCATTTCCATTCTCAATTTTATAACAAGAGTGCACACGCTGAAATGTCTCGCCTTCTTTACTAACCATTGATTTTATGTTGATAGTCCTAAATACAAAGCTTTACTACAAGTAACACATAAACTTAACATGATCCAAGAAAATGAGGTCAAGGTCAGATAAATCAAACGAGAAATACATGTACACCTAACAATCATTCAATAAACCAAACATAGTTGACCTATTGCTTATTGTTTCTAAGAAACAGTCTTAAACAAGAAAACTTAACATTGACCAATGAACCATGAAAATGAGGTCAAGGTCAGATGAACCATGCCAGACAGACATGTACACCTTACAATCAATTTAGGCATTAAATATAGTTGACCTATTGCTTATAGTATCTAAGAAACAAACTTAACCATGAAAACTTAACATTGACCAATGAACCATGAAAATGAGGTCAAAGTCAGATGATACCTGCCAGACAGACATATACACCTTACAATCCTTCCATACGTCAAATATAGTTGATCTATTGCTTATAGTTGAAGAAAAACAGACCAAAACACAAAAACTTAACATTGAGAAATGAACCATGAAAATGAGGTCAAGGTCAAATAAAACCTGTGAGACTGACATGTACATCATAAAATATTTCCATACACCATTGATAGTTGACCATTGACACCTACCAGTTGGACATGTACACCTTACAATCATTCCATATACCAAATATAGTAGACCTACTGCTTCTAGTATCTGGTATATGGACTTGACCATGAAAACTTAACCTTGTTCACTGATCCATGAAATGAGGTCGAGGTCAAATGAAAATTGTCTGACGGGCATGAGGACCTTGCAAGGCACGCACATACTAAATATAGTTATCCTATTACGGTACTCATAATAAGAAAGAAATTAACATTACAAAAAATGTTGACTTTTTTTTCAAGTAGTCACTGAACCATGAAAATGAGGTCAAGGACAATGGACATATGACAGACAGAAACTTCGTAACATAAGGCATCTATATACAAAGTATGAAGCATCCAGGTCTTCTAGCTTCTAAAATATAAAGCTTTTAAGAAGTTAGCTAACGCCTCCGCCGCCAGATCACTATCCCTATGTCGAGCTTTCTGCGACAAAAGTCACAGGCTCGACAAAAACGAAACAAATTTAAATGACCCGAGCTGAGATAAAATGAATCGTTAGAATTAAAATTCATTAATTACAATAAATAAAAGGATTACAGTAAGACAATTATGATAAATTCATAATAATTTAATGTAAAGCAGACGACCTCATCAGAGACCATTCAGAACTTGTTTCGTTCCGCGAGTGATTTCATAATTTATAGTGACTGACCTTTGTAAATATTTGTTTTTATTTGTTTTTATTTGTATCTGTACTTGTTTTATCATTATGAAGGACCAAGAAATATGGAGATTGAATACACAATCATAAAGTGTCATATAAAAAAAAAAGGCACACTGTTCATTGTATCTAGTTTACACAAATCTCATACCGTATTTCGTGCATTCCAAATTTAAGATGACACACTCGACCTCAGATGAGTTGAACCTTGGATAAGTTGAATACTTTGGTCCGGTCCCTTCGACTTCGACATAACAAGGTTCGACTGTATTCAATACATATATTTCATTGTTTCTTTATGAAGAAATTATGCCTAGGAATCTACAGTGACCTCCTTCATAAAAATCTGATGCAATGGTTTAAAAATGTTATGTTAATGAAATAATATAGTTTTTCAGTTTAATTAAGGACAGACAAGTCCAGTTTTTTTATTTTAATGGTCGTCAGCAACATTTCTGGTAGGAGATGAGCACATGGACCCACATATTTTTTTTCTAATATTTTTGAAATAATATACATTTATTTTTTATTGTGCTTTTCTTAATATATCTCCTAAATATAACTCACTTGTTTCCTTCCTCTTTAAAATGTCTCCACAATATTCTGTATACCTATAAAATACAGATTTATATTCCAACTGTTGATATAATAAAGTTAACATATAACATATGATCGACTAGAATAATCTGTTAAAAAGACAGAGAACACATGACAACCCTCAAAAATCAATTGGACAAAGAAGCCTTTTAAATTGTCTAAATGACTTTTATCAATTATTGATTTTTACCTAATGTACAGTGGCAAATATTATATACATATGTATGCTGAGAATAAATCAACAATATATCAACATGTATATTAATATTTTTACAATCATTCTCAATAGTTACAGTGGTTAAATCAAATAAAATACAATGTAAATAAATATACAATATATGTACATTGTCGGAAAAATTAAAAGAATTTGTATGAGCTTTAGAAACAGGACAAAAAGCGAGGCTTGCCGAGCTTTTCTCCTGTTTCGCAGCGAGTACAAATAAATTTTATATTTTCTGACAATGTACATATATTGTTTTTATCCTGAAATTTACACCCAACACTTGAAACTTTAGTTGTTAAAATCTAAATCGTTGTCTCTAATTTTTCAAAGAAATCGACATAGTTGAAACGCTGACCGCGAAGAGGACCCCAAAATGAAGTACAAATAAAGCAAAAATTTATTTGTGTACCTGTTATTTGTACACTAGTTGGCTGATTGCAGGATAAACACTTTCGGTGTCTTCTCTTTTATCTGTCACTTGTCAAAACTATACAGATACATGTTTTAAAAAAGTCCATTTAGAATCAGTACCTTTTGACAACAGCAAAAAATATTGTTACATTGAACAGTTACTTGGTACAGTGTGCCCCTGATTGAAACATAAAGTATAATATTTAAGTCTGTAAATCTATGATTTAGAATTCATAAACAAATTCTAAACTTAAAATGGTATGAAATATTAATTCTCCTTTTTGTCTAAATTTTCCAATCAATTCTAATTCTTCAGTTTGACCTATAAACAATAAATTTTATTATACTTCACGTAAAAATGCAATATTTTGATTGGCTTATACGAGGGTGTTAATTTACTCTTTTCTATGGTAAATACTCCATTACCCTTCACGGAGACGCTTGATTAAGTGTGCCCTTTATCAAATACGACTCTATCCTATGGCAAATACTCTATTACCCTTCACGGAGACGCTTGATCAAGTGTGCGCTTTATTAAATACGGATGGTTGTTATGTACAAGACGTCATAGTTTATTACTATGAATTTGAAATTTAATCGACAGTAATAACAGAACATTCAGTATAATAAATTAAATAACACATATCAGAGAGGGTGATAGAGCAGATTGTTACCCCTCGAAAAGACATTATCAACCTTGGCTTCGCCTCAGTTGACAATGTTTTCTTGGGGTAACAATCTGCTCTATCACCCTCTCAGCTATGTGTTATTTATATAATGTCATACCATATTGACTTCTAAAAGTTTAACTCTTCCTTTAATGAGTGAGGATACTGTATCAAACTCTGACTCAGTGATCTCTATAAACTCACAGGAACCAGATCGTAACTCAGCAGGGGATAAACAACTCTCCGCTCCTGTAAATATTTATTTATACTAATAATTATAATTAAAACAGTTTTACATCTTAATACAAATATCTGAATTCTTCAACATTTAGAACTGCACATAACTTATGTATTTGGCACTAATTCTTTCGTGCAGCTAAAAAGCAATGCAATGCATATGCTCTTGGTCATGCAAAGTCCACTTTCACAACACATCTATAGACAATCAGCCTCAGTGATCCAGTATTAAAGTTTAAAACTGGAGTTTTTGACTGAAATGAGGCAGTTGCACTATAAACTATCAAGATTCTATTAGCTGATATAAAAATAAGAAGATGTCGTATGATTGCCAATGAGTCTAGAAGTGATAATTTTATTACAAAAAAGAGTCAATTAATAACCTAATATACATGTCTTTATTTCTTACCAATAAATATGAAACAATGATATATTTCAATTAAATCCCCTTAAAAAGTGCCTTTATATTTATGTAAAGAATGCCCTGAAAGTGTAGTCCTCCGCTCAAAGGATGCCCTTCAAGAGTAGCCAATCGAACTTAGAGTGCCCTCTAAGAAAAAATTACCCTGCCTTTTTCAAAAGCTGCAGGAAACACTTATAAGTAACATATTAAAAGAGTCACCTATGGAGATATCTAACAGTTTCCAGGGAGATAACTGCAACTTTGTTTGGTCTGTATATATTTCTAAAGTACGACAAGGAAAATGATTGTTGGGTGAGATTCCTTCTACACTTAATTGCAATGTTATCTGTTTGCCATATTTCTCTGTGGTTCCAAATGAGACTGACATGAACTATGAGGAATGTAAGGAGCCTGTAATTCAGTGTTTGTAAAATTGAGAATGGAAATGGAGAATATGTCAAAGAGACAACAACCTGACCAAAGAGCAGTCAACAACCAAGGGCAACAACGGGTCTTCAACACAGCGAGCAAATCCCGCACCCGGAGGTGGTCCTAAGCTGGCCCCTAAATAAAATAGTGTACTAGTACAGTGAAAATGGACGTCACACTAAACTCCAAAACATATAAATGAACTAAAATTAAAAAAAAATACAAGACTAACAAAGGCCAGAAGCTCCTGACTTGGGACAGGCGCCAAAATGCGGCGGGGTTAAACATGTTTTGTGAGATCTCAACTCTCCCCCTATACCTCTAGCCAATGTAGAATAAAGAAACAAATAGTCAATGTCAGAATAGGTAACAAAAGAAACTAAGCAAAATGACAATGATACATTAATTAACAAAGGACTACTAGCAGTTACTGACATGCCAGCTCCAGACCTCAATTAAACGGATTGAAAGATTATGTCTTCATCATATGAATATCAAATACAATTCCTCCCGTAAGGGGTTTAGTATTATGTTTTTTTGTTGTTGCTGTATATCATATTTGTTTTGTACATAAATCAGGATGTTGGTTTTCACGTTTGAACTGTTCTACCTTTTATCATGTGGGGCCTTTTAAAGCTTGCTATGTGGTCTGTGTTTTTCTTTTGTGGAAGACTGTGCTAAAACCTTTAGTTGCTTCCATCCATGTCATTGGGCCGCTTCTAAATAGTAATCATACCATTTTATGCAAATTTAATGCTCTGGAATTCTTAAACTAAGACATAAACAGAAATTATTTTTTCTCTGGCAATCACCTGCTGTGTTTTCTTCCTCTGTATTATTTTTAGAATCAATAGTATATGTATGGTTTTCTTCTACCTCTCCTGTATCTTTCTGGTCACCAGATGGACCCTGAATCTCACAACCTGTAGGAATTTTAACTCCCAATATTTCCTCTATCTTATCAAGTTCCTGGGGTCTATCATTATCCTGCAGAAAAAAAGTAGGATATAGTTAGAACATGTCTGTGATCCGCCTGATCCATGTCATGAAGATCAAACTTAAAATCTAATTATGAATATAATACAAAAAAAAGTCATGTTGCTTAAGTCCATGAAGTAAAAGTAATTTCAAAGACCAAAGAAGTTTTCACAAATAATTTTCACAAAAATTTACATATTACTTAAACAGTTCTGAATTGACATTAATTTTGGTTTGACACAAAGGTTTCTTCATAGCAGATATACATTTTGAGCTTACCTTTATTTTCATTAGTTCACAGCATTTATATTTGAACTTTGTGATATGTTTAAGATGATTCAAAATTTACAAAAAATGCAAAAAAGGAAATGCTAGGTAGAATTATGCAAAACCAACACATTTTCTGGAGGAAAATTTACTGGTTATTCATGAAATTTGCCAAAAAATAAATGAAGAATATGTCCATGGGACACAGATGCCTTTGCTTGAAAAATATATGACGAATTCTGCAATTTATCAATTTTCAAAGGTGACGCCACACAAATTCGAACTTGATCTGTGTTTGGTGGTAATAAGGATTTTGTATAAGTTTTATAACATTTAGTTGAGGCAAACTAAAGGTAGAGTACGGAAAGAGCAAATTTAGCAAATTTTCCATTTATAAAGGGACATAACTCGAGACTGAACAAAAAGTGACGCCACCAAAATTCAAACTTGATCTGTGTTTGGTGGTAATAAGCATTGTGTATAAGTTTTATAACATTTGGTTGAGGCAAGCTAACAGACAGACAAGGGTAAAACTTTATGCCCCCTCCACCACAGCGGAGGCATAATTATGTCAGGTATTTAAGTAAGATTGAACAAGAAGTTTGACTTACTGATTTTCCTGTTTTTTGTTGTAGATCTTCTAACAATTTACATACAGTCTGAATCTGTGTCTTAAAATAATCTGCTGCTTCCTGTAAATTCAAGAAAAAAATGATAATACAAATGTACAGGTTGTAATTATTTTGTACACATATAACAGTTTATAAGCCTGATTTACTAAGGGGCTAACTCATTATGATACAATATTCTTTCAATAGTATTCAAGATAAACAAAAAGATAGTCTTTTAGTTATATTGTACTGTACGGTTGTTATCTGATAGGCATATACATGTACTATCTGTTGATTCTATTGCATAAACACTTAACAAACAATTAAAATCAAATGAACCATAAAACTGTACAGGTAAAGCATTTAGATATAGAGTGAAGACACTTTAACTGTAAAACTGCATTTACCCAGGAAATTGTTATTCATAATATGTAAATCCTTATCCTATAACATTTTCAGAGGTTGAGTTATACATTCTCTTTGGTTCTGTGTTTAATCAAATTTTACTTGTTTAATTTCCCTACCTATGTTGCCATGATGCAGTTTTTTTATATCTTAAATAAAACCAATAAAAATAAGGGCAAGCTATCTAAGCAACTATACCTACAAAATCCTTTAGAAATACAGCACAATGAGACAAACCTTTTGGACTTGCTGAATAGCAGCTGCCTCTTTGACAATAGATCCATATTCTTTCTTGATGTCTTGAATTTTCTGTAACATTTTAGCTGGGTTCACCTGTAAACATAGTAAAAAGGTATAACTATAAACCTTTCATACAAATGTTGAAGATGTTTAATAGAGTCAAGAAAGTCTTGTTGGCACATGCTGCACAATTACTGGTAGTTACTATAAAACTCTCAGTGGATCTTGAAAATTTTTATATGCATAAACAACATGGCTGTCATCCATACAACTTCTATAGTATGAAGCATGAAAAGAACAAAGTTTTAAAATATTATATGTGTTTCTACATTGCTTGTACCCAAAAATGAAAAATAATGACACGTCATTCACTCATTGGTTGAAAATCCCCTTATTATACAACAACAACATTTTGGTGTATGTCTTTAAAATTAATACCCAGAAATCAGTACATTTCTTACCTTATTTTCTTCATTATCTTTATCAAATTCAAACTCAATTTTCCTGGACAAATAATTCAGATCAGATTCTGCTTGCTGGAACTGAAATCAAATAAATAAACATCAAAATTACATTAAAACATGTCAAACCCAATCTTCCTTGAAAACTATCCTCTTAAATCAGATTCTGCTTGCTGGAACTGAAATCAATTGAATAATTTTCACGTATATATACATGTACCTGTTCATTCCAAGAATCAACATGTCCAACTTATTTTTTCTGACCAGAAACATTTTTGTTGGGCACATAATCAAAATTTAATCTAAGAAATTGATGTGAAATTCTGAATGCCATATTTTATTGTTGTCAACTTTCTGGTAATGATTTACATGCTGTAAATAGACAAAGTATAATGCATAGATAACAGTTAAACTTCAAATTTCTTTCTGAAATGATACTGGCTGCTAAAAGCGAATTATTATTTCACTATTTCACTTTCCTTAATGATTAAACAAAACAAAATCATACTTTGTACATATCTCGTAGCTAGTGCCCTTTAAATTTTATATATATGGTAGTTACTCTACGTTTTTAGAATCTCACTTTATCATGAAACAATAATAAAACTTATTTCTAGCAATACACTAACTATTACACTATTAAACAATTATTCAACACAAAACCAACAAGTGAAACTGCGAGCTACCATGGCTACAGTTCCCCGATGATACCCCCACAACTGGATAATTTTAATAGTGTAAAAATATGTAAGTGTTCGGTAAACAGGAAGTTGTTGAGTGATGAATCTGAAAACGCATCACACGGTAAGGCTGACTTATATAAACCCTGAAACCAAATTTTAGAAATCCTTATGATGTAGTTCCTGAGAAAGCTGCCACGAAAAATAGTCATGGGACGGATGGACAGACAGACAGAGGTAAAACAGTTTACCCCCACTTTCTTAAAGCTGGGGTATAATAAAACTAAAACAGGTTGGGCTCAAGTCAGGAAAAGTGGGGTATTCCCAGTTTTCAGGGACCGTCCCAGTTTTCTGGTGTTAAAAAACCCCAGTTTATAGGGACTTCCTTTTCTATTTCAATTCATGGCATGAAATTTACAAAAGCGCATGTTTTAACTGTATCAGTAGTATTTGTAAATACTTTAAGTATCTCAGGAACAACAAAACATGAATAAGTGAAGCCTTGTTTTTTCTAGAACTCAAAAACATACAAATCTTTTGTTTAGGAATCAGTTGATCAAGCTGCATGCTCCAGGTGTAACTGATCATAACTGAATTATGTTCACTTCTATTGAAATTTTCTATTCATTGAATTTAAATGCCTAAGTGATTAACTTATCTTTTTGTCTTCTCATAATTGATGATCAAGGTATGAATTGGTGAACAAAGGAATTGTTTTGTTGTGAGTTGAGCATCAAATAAGACTTGAAATTAGCTTGATTTTTGAACTTATAAAAACACTTGCTATCATATAACATTGTTATCACATGTAGAAGGTGCGCTTTTGTAGATTTCATACCATAAATTGACAAGGAAAAAAGAAGTCCCTGTTCACTGGGGTTTTTTAACACCAGAAAACTGGGGTGTTCCCTGAAAACAGGGAATACCCCAGTTTTCCTGACTTGAGCCCAACCTGTAAAAGGTTGCGAACGTGAAAGGGGTGAAACATGAATTGGAGGGAAAGTGATTTTGGGCGAACAGACCCGGATTCTATTAACCATGGGTGCTGAATTAACCAGGTCCCAATCTGACTAGGTGCCGAATTGGCTATACCGGGTGCCAATTTGACCAGGTGCCGAAGTGACTAGAAAGTTAGATTAGATTAGTTGGTAGGATTTTTTTTTTTTGGTGTGGGAATTGATTTGACAGCCCGGGTGTGATGAGTTAAAGATTTGGCTTTCCATTTTCAATTTAGCTTGAAAGCGATACAAATCAAACACAAATGATCAAGAAATTAATCAATTTTTACCATTGACTCCAAAATCTCAACATTTTTCTCCATTTTCTTTATTTACTTCCGGTAATTGTTAACTGTTCTGTGATTGGACATCGAGTTGTTAAACGAGAGTTGATTGGATGTCAAATAAAGGGCGGTCATTACAATCATTAAAAAAAGATGAACATGTCTATGAAGAACATTCGTGCATTTAATCATGTCAAGTATATACTAACTTGACAACCAATTATATATACAAGTAGTTAATAGTATGTTAACTGTGCAGGTCATCTGATAATTTTTTAAACATATCTTGATATTAACATGCATGTACAAGTGTCAAGTGAACTTTTTCTGCTATCATTTAATGACTGTATGAAGCTGCCTTTTTTTCTTTCTGGTGTAGACCTGATTTTTCGGTGTAATATGTGTTTATATATAGACCAATGTTGAGTTGTTTTTATGCCCGCCGTTAGGCAAAAGGGGCATTAAGTGTTACCCCTGAACGTTTGTCTTTCCATGCGTCCCATTTTTGTTGCCTCATGCAAATATTATGAAACTCATACACAATGCTCAGAACCAAAACTCGCTGACAGTGTTCAAATTTGGGCATTAAGTCACTTATCGTTTTAGAGTTATGCCCCTTTCATAACTTGGAAAATTGCAAACTTTTCATTTCCACATGCTCATTTAAGTTTGCCTCATGCAAATTTTATAAAACTCATTCACAATGCTGAGAACCAAAACTGCAGACAGAGTTCAAATTTATGCACTGAGTAATTACCTTTCTAGAGTTCTGCCCCTTTATAACTAGTTTCTGCTCTCTTAAGTTTGCCTCATCCAAATTTTATGAAACTCGTACACATGCCCCTTTTCCATTGTATTTTATAAGCCCCCTCATAATTTAAGATCGGTTCCGAGATTCATTCTTTAGCTAGAGCATTTCGAGTTATTTCCCTTTAAACACAATCAAAATTTTAATGGCAGACATTCATGACATTGATTGATTTTTGTAATTATTTTTGAACATTTTTGAAGCCATCGAGTACAAATACGATTCATGATTGAATCTAATAAGGACATCATCTACTTCATACCTCTACGAATTTAAAATGTAGAAAATTTAAAAGGAACCAGGCGATTGATTGAGTTATAAATTTACGATGCATGGGATGAACAGCGTAAACAATCCGCTGTTTGTTTATATTTTCATTTTAGATTTGACCACTTTAACTATTTGACCAGTCGAGACGACAGAGTGGGTGTGAATTTACAACTGCTTTCTTACTGTTGTTTCAATAGACAAAAAACTATACAGAATTAAATAGATAAAAAGATGAATAGCCTTATAAATTTTGTACAGTTATGATTGAAGATAATTCTGGGACATAATATATTGTATGGTAGTCCCATGGTAATTTTAGCTTTGATTGGTATAGACATGTCAGGTCCAAAAGGTATTTGGTACGAATCTTTTGTGCAGCTTAAAAGCAATGCATATGCTCCTTGCCATGCAAGTCTTGACACTTTCACAACACATCCATAGCTATATATAGACAATCAGCCTCAGTGATTGAGTATTAAAATGTAAAACTAGAGTTAATGATGAGGCAGTTGCACCATCAAGATTCTATTAGCTGAGTCTAGAAGTGATAATTTTATTACAAAAAGGAATTAAATTGAAAACCTAATATACATATCTTTATTTTTTACCAGTAAATATAAAACAATGGTATATTTGATTAAATCCCTATCCATAACAGTGCCTTTATATCTATGTAAAGGGTGCCCTTAACATGTAGTCCTCCATGTAAAGGATACGTTTAAAGTGTAGTCCTCCACTCAAAGGGTGCCCTTAAAGTGTAGTCCACCACGCAAGGTGCCCTCAAAGCATAGCCAATTGTCCTACGAGTGGCCTCTATCATCTATGCAAATTTTTATGCCATCAGTTACAATCACACAAGTTCCTGCAAAATATTGCATCACAGTTTGAAAAATTTGACGTTGTAATTAAAAGCTATTCTAGTATTGTTGTGTGACGTCAAGAGGTTATTAGGAGACACAGATCTAGGGTCTTTTGGAGACAAAATTCAGCTAAATACCAAAAGTGTAAATATTTTATTGGTTCTTTCTGCAATGTCATAACAGAAGCATTATGACATAAGTAAGTAAATTTTATTTAAAGCCAAGACGACTTTTTATTTTGTGTATATATAAGCCATATGTACACAATAAAAAAGAAATCATGAGCTCTGATAAACTCTTTTTAAAAGACTTTCATATAAAAATCATGCAGTTTCATGCATACACGTATTATACTAATAAGTAAAAAGGCATGCAAATATATTATATTTATAGACATAGGAAATGAACAGGAAAATGCAAGAATTTGAAAGTCGTCTATTTGGTTTTGTGAATACTTGATTTGTGCTTTATGAGTGAAGGACTGAGGTGAAAGACATCAGATCCACTGCTGTCTGTAAAGACATAATCACTGGAATTTCTATTAAAAAATGATTGGAAAAAAAAAGTATTTACATAAATTTGTATGTTATTACTTGTTCATCATGTTCATAGGCACATTACTTTAGACAAGTTTAATCAGAAATCCATTTTTGGTCCTAGTAATGTCCTTGTTGTCATGGTTGTAGAATGTGCTTTATTTAGCAACTTTCAGATAAACAGTAAATAAACATTATTATATATTCTGGACATGTACTTCATTTTAACTTTGATAGATAGTTGTCTCATTGGCAATCACACCACATCTCTTTATTTTTATATGTACATTTACAGATGAGGAGAATAAAAGAGTAGAGAAATTTGAATATGGATTTAAAGAAAAATGAAAAAGATGAAAATAGGTAAGATGAAAAAATACTGATTTTTCAGTAAAATTTAAACTTTTTTCATAAAATAGGTCCTCCAGCATTTATTACATGAATGAAGTTAGATTAATGATAATTATCAATGAGATAAGAAAAAAATTATGTAATTAAACAAGAAAGGACAGGTTATTTGAAAACTTCCTTGCTATACACTAAAAATATGGACTTGGAATTGATCAGTCTGTTTAAAAGTAAGGACAAAAAATATACATGTATAAATAGTATTATACAAAGATTTGGTATAGAAGTTGTACATGTTCCTGTAGAAATCGTACTACGAAGGAGATATCACATCCCAATTTATAATACTATATATAAATTAATTCAGTAAACATGGTAAAACCTTTTAGTCATTTAGTAATTTGTGGTAATAAAGTTCCTGACTTTATAATTTACCAGTTATAATTACATACAATTACATTAGAATTTGTGGTAATAAAGTTCCTGACTTTATAATTTACCAGTTATATTTACATACAATTACATTAGAATTTGTGGTAATAAAGTTCCTGACTTTATAATTTACCAGTTATAATTTCATACAATTACATTAGAATTTGTGGTAATAAAGTTCCTGACTTTATAATTTACCAGTTATAATTACATACAATTACATTAGAATTTGTGGTAATAAAGTTCCTGACTTTATAATTTACCAGTTACAATTACATACAATTACATTAGAATTTGTGGTAATAAAGTTCCTGACTTTATAATTTACCAGTTATAAATACATACAATTACATTAGAATTTGTGGTAATAAAGTTCCTGACTTTATAATTTACCAGTTATAAATACATACAATTACATTCATTGAAATCTATAATGTCACTACAGACATGGAAATAGCAATGAAAAAATAAATAAATAAACTTTTTTTTCAGATTTCCTTGCATTCTGTTGCTGAGTGACTGTTTTGGTAGGGAAGGAGTAGATGTTTCAGGATGGATAAGCATGCTCAAGATATTTCTCCATATAACTGGAGTATTTAACTGGGTTCAACAGTGGATTTTCAGGGTATTTTATGGATTAATTTATTGATGTTTATTAAAATTATATAAAAACTGGGCATTTTATGCAGAAATTTTAACATTTTCGAAACTTATTTGTACAGTTTTACATTAATGTTCAATGAATTCTTCAGTCACATAACTCGTCCTGAACATGTATGAAATATTTGCCACTGGACGTTAAGAAACCAACAATCATCCATCACAACATCAGTCACATAAGCTTAATGATGAATAATAACATGCTTATTGAGGTATATTTTTTTATTTCTTAGGATTTTCAGGGAATGAAAAATATTTTGTCAATAGTCTAGCCATTCTTATCGATGGATACTTTTTTAGCCAGGTAATTGGTTACTGGCTCCTTTTAACTTCATGTTATAATTATATTTCAGAGGAGTAGTAAAAACCCAGAGTTATTAGAAACACAGAGAAGACTAAAAAACCTTGAAGAACAGGTCAGGCAGTTAATGCTGGAACAAAAAGTAAGAATAAACTAGATACATTCCTTAGGAAAACATAAAATGCTGAAAAAAGTTACAAATTTAAGCATGATTATTATGTTAATTATACCAATGAACAATTTTTTTTCATGAAGTTTATTGTTGAACAAAATATATTTTGTCAAAGATCTATTGTTCTTTTAATTAAATATGGGGCTAAATAGTTTAAATACTGTATGGCTAGCATGTCAACACTGAGGTTGTGAGTTTATGCCCCACATTTGGCAGGTGTGTTTCAACTCCAAACTGAATAGACTAGGATTTTAAGTTTTCTGCCAAAGGTTGTGGTTTTTTCTCTGGCTTCCTCCACCAATAAATACTGATCCCCACGATATAGTCAATTAGCAATAGTGCTGAAAGTGATGTTTAAACACTAACAATCAAACAATCAATTTAACAAAAAAGACTTGCCAATGAAACTGATGGTAAGTTATACTGTTATGTTCATGACTTACACATGTTACATGTACATTTACTTGTCATTTTTTTTGTGGAAATCTATTTATTCACTAGTCTATAATTGTTTTTCTATGCCAGCTAGGGATAAGACCTTGAACAAGGAAATTTTATTTACTGATACATATGCAGGTAACTTAGTTTTGAAAAAGAGTTAACTCCCATAGTTATCCAGATTCTTTAATTGAGAAACTTGCAGTGTTCCAGCTAGGATTTCAAAAGGGCAGGGAGCCAATCATGAAAAGGGCACTTTAGCATGATGATTGATATTTCAAAAAGGGCATGTCAAAAATTGTCTTGTGTTAACTGCAGGGGTTTCAGCTAGGAGTTTTGAGGGGGTTTAGTCACTTTTACGCTAGATGAAAATCAACCTTATTTTGGGTAACAGTATTAAAGGGACCATGCAAGGACGTATATTACTAGCTCAGTCTTCCCTAGAACATTTTTGATGCATGGTAGGTCTAAGGTTAAGTTGCAATGCAGAGCGCAGTGGTGTTTTGTAGAATTATTTTTATTTCATTAGTGAAATGAATTGTGCATGTCAGTTAAAATACTACACTAGATCTGCAATACAGTCAGGAACAATACCTTACATTTTCTTCAGGGGCCAACCTGGATCCCAAAACTTTTTTCTAAGGGCCCAGTAGAAATACATCAAACGCAAATTGTCATCTTTTGAGAAATATTGAAATTGAAATGCTGACTGACCGAATTTAATGAGAAAAATTATTACAATGGTCAATTATGAAGTTTAATTAACGGATTAATGACCCATCCAATGTCGATAAGCGGATTATCTGTAATCACAACTTATTACACCTGTAAATGTTAATTAGCTGAGGGTCATAAACTTGTCATAAATATGAAGACAGGTAGAATAATTGTATTTTCATCAAAATATTATGGCAATAAAGGCATAGACTTACGAAAAAAGGCACAGGGTGGTACTCAGTAAAGGGCGGGCGGACCGCGCTGTGAAAACGACCTAGCTGGAACACTGACTTATATTTTATTCTCTTCTTGGTTTTCTCTTACCTTTATTGCCCTTATAGAGTTTTATTGACTGTCTTTAATAGTTGTCCTCATTATTCATAAAAGTACAATTTCATGGACCTTGAAAATCTCATTTGTCTTACATGTGTTTTCAAAATACTGCTTAATTGGAAGCCTCCAAGAATATTTTTCACCACTTACTTTCATCTGTGCATAGAAAAGTTCTTGTTAAAAAAGTTTTAACTCTAATTAAGAAAGGAGTAGGACCGGTAAGGGCCGATTTTGGCCTCAAATTTCAGGTTCATCTGATGACAGATTTTGGACACTTTTTAAACACAAGTGTCTACTTCAGTCGATTCAATAAGTTTATGTGAAAGATTTGAACTGGTTTAGTCATTAAAGACACTCAAATTCAAGCTTCAATATGAAAAATCAATCAAATATGAAATAATATGTCACTTTTCAGCTGGCTTTATGTCAAAAATGAAAGTGGCAGCATGCGTGTTCACTCTCAACCTTTATGTTATGTATTTTCATCAAATACAACTAACATTTAAATATTAAGAATGAACACAAATGCGGCCACTTTCATTTAAGACGGAAACTGTCTAAAATTTAACTCAAATGCTAAAATTGTGAAGATTTCAGTAATTTAGCTTGACTTAATGATGCTAGTACCCGATATATGTGCATTGTATTGTCAAAAACAGCCCATATTTATGTAACAAAGGTATTCTACTTCCAATAAATAGGTTAAAGTTTACATGTTAACAATTTTGTAAAACTGCTATATTTTGGGGCCAAAAAGGGGTCTTACTGGACCTACTCCTTTCATGCAACCCCCATACTCAGGAAGGTTAATATGAGTATAGAACAATAATAATTAACAATCATTTTCTGTTTCAGAAACTAGCTACAAATTCTGGTAGAAATAATTGTTCAGTATGTACCTGTCCAATGCATGGAAATGTGGGAGTGGTCAGTAGTGGAGGGTGTGTCCCACAAGCACCACCTCCCCCACTGCCTCCCCCACCGCCACCACCACCCCTTCCACCAGTGATGTCGTTATCAAAGAGAGTATTGGCTGAAAAGAACAACAATACAGTAAAATCAACAGATAAGTCAGTAAGTTACACAGTACAATCAACAGATAAGTCAGTAAGTTACACAGTAAAATCAATAGATAAGTCAGTAAGTTACACAGTACAATCAACAGATAAGTCAGTAAGTTACACAGTAAAATCAATAGATAAGTCAGTAAGTTACACAGTAAAATCAACAGATAAGTCAGTAAGTTACACAGAACTTACAATCAACAGATAAGTCAGTAAGTTATACAGTAAAATCAATAGATAAGTCAGTAAGTTACACAGTAAAATCAACAGATAAGTCAGTAAGTTACACAGAACTTACAATCAACAGATAAGTCAGTAAGTTACACAGTACAATCAACAGATAAGTTACACAGTAAAATCAGCAGATAAGTCAGTAAGTTGCACAATAAAATCAGCAGATAAGTCAGTAAGTTACACACTAAAATCAGCAGATAGGTCAGTAAGTTACACAGTACAATCAACAGATAAGTTACACAGTGAAATCAACAGATAAGTCAGTAAGTTACACAGTGAAATACTATAATTTACAATGCATTTATTCTTGCAAAATTTGCAATGGGATATATATCTGTATGACAAAAATAAAGACTGGCATCTTAAAACCATTATTTGTATGTAATATTTACCTTAATTACAATCATTATTCTTGTATATTTCAAACATCGCAATAATAAATGAATAGAAAAATTTCTGAATTTACAGGTGTTTTTGTTTAAAGTTCATTATACCTCCTAAACCTTACCTTGTAATGTTTCTCTTCATAAAAATTATAGGTTATTTGATCATTTATTTTAAGGCCAAATAAAAACATGTGTGGTTCCAGTTACATCCTGAAAAAAAATAGGGTTGGTAGGTTGTCATTTTATTTTATCTTTATTTCTTTTTTTTTTGGATTGTCAAAATCCGGAAAAATATCGTGTGTTTACCGAGTCCAATTCTAGTATTATACATGCCCCTACTGGAAGTTCACCATTTTCTATATGTTTGGTTGTAAAATAAACAGACATGTTATGTTTTTATTTAATTTTGTTGCATTCTGTTAAGAACTTGTTGCATTTTTAGCCGTAGTGGATACTTTTAATGGAAATTCATATGACAGAAGTCTGTGATTTTAATTATTGAAATTCACATTCCACAAAATGGGACCGTTCTAAATATATTTTTCAGAAATGGAAAAAAAGTTCTAGGGTCAGTTGGGTAACTGGAACCACACATATATTTTTATTTGGCCTAATAACAATAACATACACATGATAAAGCCATAAAATTTGTCAAAATGAAAAACACATGACCCATTCTAGGTTAGTTTATTGGTATAATATAAAAATGAAAAGATGTGGTATGATTGACAATGAGACAACTTTACACTAGAGTTCGAATGACATAGAATTTAGCAACTATAAATTTGCTAAAAGTCCAAGCTTAGCTGTCACATTTTGTAATACATATAATAACACTTTTGTATTGATGACGTTTGCTGTCATGCCATGGTTGATGGTTGGACTTATTGGAAACAACATATGCAATTGCAGTTGACATTTTTTGGATATTTCAAATGATGTAATTTGAACATTAAATGAGTATTGCAGTAGAGTAGTTATAACAGTACTGTATTTGGAGAGCGAATTTGAAGGTCGCAAATATCTAATTTACTGGCCTTGCTCCCGATCACCAGTAAAACTACGTTTGTGACAGTCAAATTCACAATTGACCGTTGCAACTCTTCAAAACAGTGCTGTTTTCATGAAGTATAAGAGCCTGCATAATATTTGAACTTAAGACTTATTATCAAACTTGATTTTTTTGGGGTAATAACCTAAAGAATCAATAAAAATTTCTTTCAGTTTGAAAGATGATAAAATGTGGGTTAATGTAATTTCGTTTAAAATTTGATGTGTTCATATAAGACTAATTTCACCTTCATTTTCTGTAATTCTGTCACACAGTTATAATTTTTACTCTTATTGAAGCTGTAGTTAGTGTTGTGATTTCTACGTTATATAATTTAAATGACAAAATTTGTTTCAGAAGAAGAGTCCTTTGAAGTCCTTAGTGTTAACACCAGCCGACCTTCAGCAGATAAAACTCACCACTCCTAAAGAAAGACATCCTTCAGAAAATGTAAGATATCTTATGAATAACCAGGCTTCCCACATAAAACAAATGTTATCTGACTGAACTTTAATACAGCACCCTTTATTTCAATACATGGCAATCACATTCATAACAAAGGTATGATAAATCTGTCTTATAGCAAGAAGAAATTATAGATAAGCAACTCAGGTGACAAGTGTTTGCCACAATGTTAGTTTTCTTTTACTAAGAAGAGGGCGCCCTTACTTCTTTTCAAAATTTTGAATCAATTGTCTGATATTTTATTAAAAGTTCAAGCATTTACTGATAACATGGATAAATTTGCCTCAGTAAAGATTTCATCATTCTTCTTGTATCAATTTAAAATTACTTTGAATCTGCTTAACAATGTATAATGGTATTATTCATTTAAATTTAATGTTTCTGACTGCTGCTGCTGCTGTATTCTTTCAGCTATAAGTCCTTTGAATTTTGCAGTGTTTAATAAATTTAACAGTATTTTTTATTATTTGGGTGATTTGTATAAAAATAAGAAGATGTGGTATGATTGCCAATGAGAAAACTCTCTACCAGAGACCAAAATGACATAAAAGTTAACAACTATAGGTCACTATACAGCCTTCAATAATGAGCAAAACCCATACCACATGGTAAGCTGTAAAAGGCTCAGGAATGACAAATGTAAAACAATTCAAACTTGAAAACTAATGGCTTGATTTAAGTTCATAACAATAAAAGAAAACAAATATGATATACAGCAACAAACGACAACCACTGAATTACAGGCTCCTGACTTAAGACAGGCACATACAGAAAGATTTGGATTACTTTAACACTCTCAAAGTGTTCTAAAATTAATTATTATAACTTTTAATATTATTTATGACAAATTTTTCAGAGGAAATTCCTCAAAACACAATTTACGACAAGTGACGAAAAAGTCTTTTTGCTGTTATCATGTGACAAAAACAATTATACAGTAATACAGAAAGTACACAACTTGTTATGGTACTAACTGCCAAAACAAACAAAGCACCTACCATAATTTAGATTATAATAAAAATTACTGATATTTGTCCATGTCTATCTAGACAATGTAACTAACAATATGTAATTACTTTTCAGGGAAAGAGAAATGCCAATGGTTGTATGCAGCCACTGATTACAGAAGATGATCTGAGGAATAAATGTCTAAACAAAGTTATACTGACTACGCCAAACAAAGAAAATGTCAAACACAGGTTTATCTCTATCTTTTTCATGAATTTGCACATAATATAGAAAAAATACAGTTATTTCTAACTTCGAACGTTCACATTTTGGTTTCCATGGAGATTATTTGACTCCAACCTTCACTCATGTCATGGTCTATTTACAGTTTAGACAAAATTCCTCAAGAAACACAAAAATGTTTGGGAGCCTGTTTATATTGCAACATTTAAAAAACATTAACGTAAATTCAAAATTATTGCGTGCATTTATTATAGCAAATTTTGAAGAAAAGTAAAAAATGCGAGATTTATTATAGCAATTTCATGAAAATCTGCGTACATATATACATGTATCAGAGATCAGAATGCGAGTTCTTATTATTGCGATTATGACCCAGACGCATTATTCACAATAATAAAAACCTCACAATAATATCTGAATTTACAGTATTCTGAACACTATAAATTCAGAAATTGTCATAACAAATATGTGAGATAAATTATTGCCATTTCAGGAAATGCTGCAAACAAATAATGCTATCAAATGCAAGTTTATCCTGTCACAATTTTCACGATAATAAAAACATCACAAAAATTTCAGAACTTGTGGTATTAAAGTCATAGAGTAGCTTTTTATAGATAGTTTAAATGAGTTCTATTTTATTCAAATAATACTTTTGAAGATGAACAAAAGACATTTGTACCAGAACTTACAAACAAGTTAATACAGATTTGTATATTTATAAAGTTTAGATAAATTAATTTAAACAAGAGCTAACCAAGAGTTGATTCACACCACATTGATGTTTTTTTATGGACTATGTTAAAATAGAAATAATTTGCTTTTTACAACTTCAATTTTTTTAGGTTAGCACAAGAAGTATTGAGTTTTAGGTTAAAGAAAACTGAAATGAAGAGGTAAGACAATTGATATTAATTTGTGCACAAACAGCAGAAAACACAGAAATCAAACTATGACAATAGATTCCTTGGTAATGGGAATAGAAATTACAGTACAGAAAAAGATTGTACTGATTTATAATTCATTTTATTTACACCATAGATGTGTGCCTCTGTTCCTTTATATATGAAATACATATGGCAAGTCCATTGCTGTTAACAGGGGTTCATCCTCAGTGAGTCCATCTGTTTTTAATCACAATTTTGATTGGATGACATCATAAATTTTATTGGGGTTGAATACATGGTTTACTGATCTGTAAATAAAGAAAGCTACCATTTTGAATTCCGTAATTTATTGGTTTATGATAATAAACAAACTATCAAGTCTCATCTGAAATCTCCTTTCTGTCAAAGCTTATTTAATTCTTAAGTGTTCATAAAGCTTAAAAAAAGGACCCAAAATTCAGAAAGGTTTTGTGAAATACAACTAAGTTCTTCTATTCCTTGGGTAGAAAATCCTTAATATTTTGAAAAATTCAAAGTTTTGTAAACAGTTAATTTATAATTATGACATATCAATGATAATTCATGTCAACATAGAAGTGCTAACTACTTGACTTGTGATACACTCTGGAGACCTCCTCCAGCAGCGGCATCGACCCAGGGATTTTAAATAAACTAATTATAGATACCAGGATTTAAATTTTGTTAGCTGGATGCGCGTTTCGTCTACAAAAGACTCATCAGTGATGCTTGAATCAAAAAAGTTAAAACGGCCAAATATAGTGGGAAGTTGAAGAGCATGGACGTTTATCTATGAAACTGTTAAGGTTCCAAAAGCAAGATCATTATTTGGGGGAATTTTCGATTCATGAGAATTTAAGACCAAAATGATGTCTTAAGGTGGATGGGCGGTCTTAATTAAAATCCATAGAATTTTTTAGTAATTTGTCAAAATGTAGTTTTTATCATGCTTTTTTTCCAAAATATAATTAAAAGTATGGGTAACCAGACTTTTTTTCACACTACAGGTTGTGCAATATTGTCAGATTTTGTATAGATTATGCATGGAAAATCAATTTTGTGTGATAAAATGAAAACTACACCATAGAATTTTAAGATAAAATGTTAGAAGATATCTCTTGTAACATGCTTTCAGATAAGAAAAAGAAAAAATGGGATCACCGGACTTGTTTTCTTGCTACATATTAAAATAGGTTAATTCACAACACTTTCTATTATAAAAACTGCTTTATCTGAGTTATCTCCCTTACTATATGAGTTATCTCCCCATATGTGGCAAAGTTGAAAAAAAATGAATCAAACAAAAATATTGTGTTTTATAGAAAATACACCCGTAAATATGACAAAACACATAATTTTCTATATTAACATGAAAAGTCTAACACATGAATTACATATTACTCAAAAAATTTGCACATTTCATTAAAGATCTAGACCAATTGTAATCTGCTACTTAAAATCCAAGATTTTTATTTTGTATTAGAATGAAGATATCTGTATTTGTGTTTTGAGCTTGTCTTCATAAAACTGTCACAAATATCTGTTTACCTAGCTCTGCTACACATTGCTAGATAAACTTAATTTGTGATAATATAATTTCCTGTTTACATAATATCCTAAATGTAACACTAAGCTAGGGAATATTCAAAATTCTATATATATATAAGAAAATCATACCATTTATGCAGGTCATGCGTCCATTTCTCTGAACTAGTAAACATTATTGTTTAGGTGCCAGCTTAAGCCAACCTCCTGGTACGGCATATTCTCACTGCGTTGAAGACCCATTGGTGGTCTTGGGCTGTTTTATGCTCTTTGGTCGGGTTGTTGTCTCTTTGACACATTCTCTGTCTCCATTTTCAATTCTAATATAACTTGACAACTTCATTGGAATTATTTTTTTGTTTTTATCATTTTAAAAGTTTTGCTTAACTATGAAAGGCAAATATCAGTGAATATTATCCCTTGTAGAATATTGATTTCACTTGATTGCTCTTGCACTGTAATACCCTATTTAGGATAATGTTCACTAATATTAATGCAATATCATATATTATTGATTAAATGCATTTTATCCTGTAAAATGCCACTTGACATTAAGCAAGCAATAATCAAACAAAAGGATCAGAACATTAAAAAAAACATAGTTAAGAACTAAATCTACATGTGACTATCAGCAGTGCAGTTTTTCTATACATTATGAATTGCTGTATCTAATCAAAGGAAAGAATATATAAGTCAAATATATGTTTTACAGAAGTCCAGGAGGAACCCCACTGGTAAACAGAAAGAGAAAGTTGAGAAGAGGGAGTGGTTTAGCGCCAGTCATGGCAACAGCACTAAGAAAAAAATTCATAGTAAGAATTATTCTATTAAATATGATATAAAATGTAAGGTGAATTATGATTGGATGACGTTGTTGTCAATTCCATTGTTGAAGGTCAGAGTAATTTGAAACATCAATGTGTAATCATAGGACAAAAAAAAAATCAGTGCTGATCAATTATTTTTTTAGGAGTTGTGTCTCTTAGAGATGTAAGTACTATAGAAAATTTAATGTAAGGCCTTTCACATGTACAGTTCTTGCCATATATTTATATCAACGGTTATATCAGCAATGTCTCAGACTTGTTAAAAAATCAGTGCCGTTCAAATATTTTTAAAGTAGTAATGCACTTTGGAAATCTTTAAAATTATATAAAAAATTGCATTGTAAGTGCTTTCAAGCCTACTTTTCTCTACAAAAATTTATAAAAGATTTAAAGGTTAAAAAAAACAAGTTTTTTTAGTTATTGCCCATGGACAGATAAAATATGCAAAGCAAGGAACATTGGAACTCTGTTCTATTATATTAATTATTAAATTCTGAAATTGAACAGTATAACTTGACAAATAAGCGAATAATTTTATGTTTCATCTCTTTCAGACAGTACACAGCAGTCCAAACACATCTGACAGTTCTGTAAATAGTCCTTTGTCAACAGATACAAGTCCTTTTGTTTGAATTAGCTATTCTCCATATCTAGTCTTTATATTTTCTTAATTTGACAGCTACATGTACATTGGATTTATCTTATATCTGAATACCCCGGAACTTTAAAGAGTTATCTACCTTTGATACAATTTAATAGAGGTGCATATGGGAGATGATTTTTGATTAGAATAAATCATATAATAAATAGTCTCCCTCTAAGACAAAAGGGAAGTAATAAATTTAACTTTGTTGAATGGGGAATTACTATATCTCATTTAAAGGAGAAGAGGAAATAATTCCTAGAATTTCTAAAGTTTGCATAAAGAGATATAACCAATTGGAAGAGTCCAGCAAATATGCATACATATGACCAGTTTCAGTAGTCAGCCATACGTTGCTAAGACTGGTGTTGAAGCTTGTGATAATTTAGGGTTTATTGTATTGCTTGATAGCAAAGCTGTAGTGACACATGAGATCACTTTTGTTGTTGGCCGCTTCAAACTTATCACGCCCACAACTCCTTGAAAAGACTTTACCCAATTCAACCAAACTAGCATATTTTCTTCTTCAGGACATGGAGATGTGCACCTGCTATTTTGATTTTTAATCTGAATGATTGTTGGGATTTCCCATAACAAAAACATGTTCGTAACAGTTCCTTCTTATTGTCCCCTGCCTGTTACCTTTTTTTTGTATGTGATATACAATGCATAGATATTAATTATTAATGAACATATTGAATAATTAAATGTTCAACTGCTGAAGTAATACTACTGTCTTTAAATCTTTTAATCTTGACATATAATGGATGTTTTCCATTTCATAGTCTTCAATTTGAATCAAGAAATTGGTATCAGTTATTTAATTTTCTTGAGTCAACCAATATTTGATCCGTAATGACTTGTGTATCTAGAATAAACATGTTTTCAAGTGTGAGAGAGTTAGGGCATCAGTAGCCTTTATATTAACTGGCTGTAATCTTCAGTTTGTCTTTGAATATAAGGGGTTATTTATATGATATTACCAAATCAGTCTCTTTAATTTATAAAATTGAGAACTGCTTATATTTCTAAAGTTTGGGTGTTATTAATGAGAAATTGTACAAAAAAAGGACGATATTTTAATAGTTATTTGAAGAGTTGTATTACATGATTATTGTTACTCATTATAATATTAACTAGATTAGAAATTTATCAAAAGAAATGTAATTGTACTTGAAAAAAGTAGATGTGGAAAACAATTATATTATTTTTAATTTTCTTTCCTGCAGATTCCTTTAATTTTAGGGGCTACCAATTGTCATAAATATATTTTTGTAGATACTAGATTTCTTTGTTTTGAAATTCTTCACTCAATTCTATTTACAAATTTGTATTTTTTGTTGTCACATATACTTAAAACTTTAAGCCAATGTTCATTATGAAGAGAACTGTTTAAGATACATATAACAAATTAGATTTCATGGTTCACTGATTTTAAAGTATTGGTTTACGGTCAAGTTACAGTAAATTGGTTGGGTCTGATTCAACTATAGTCTTTATAATACCACATGAATACTAAATCCACAGTATTATGTAATTTTTTTCCCCAGATAAAAGCTTATTATTTATACATTTATAATTATTTATATTATATATGATATTTCATGAAAACTATTGATGCTATGATTTGTATATTGCTTATGTCTTTCAAATATAAAGTCTTTCAGAATTCGTTGATTACTTTCTGTTATTGTGCAGTGCATTCATTAATACCCGGTACCCGGTACTTTTACCCACCTACGAAAGCCTCTGGTACCGGCAGAAAAAATAAAAATACAAAAAAAAAATGTGTAAAGTTCTTTTGAAGATCGTTCAAATCTAATTTCTTTCATTCCTTGACAATCTCCGTTCTACGCCGTTCATGTGTATGTTTATAGGTGTCTTCGTCGAGGTCCGCGTTAAAGTATAGATCTATCTTCTGCCAATTTAGGCACACCTCCAAAGTAGGAGAAGTGATAATTACAAACCATGTGTCTGTATCTGTATCGTAAGAGCGCTTTAAAATGCGACGATTTAGCAGTATATTTTCAAGCGGCAAATTGTTGATGAATTTAAACAACAACAGCAATATTATGTCTAATAAAAGGAAAGCAGCTTGTATCACAGATTATTTTATGAATAAAAGGTTTAATAAAGGTGAACATTCTATGAAATTCAGAAAAATCGTTAATCGTATCAAATCAGTTCGTTTCCCGTTGGACATTGTCACTGATCTCCATTTTCACGATATGTGTTCTATGTTGTGATTGAATTTTTTAATGTAAGACATCGTGAAACATTTTACAATCTGAACTAACATAACTGTTATGTTTACAAAATATAACATCTGACGAGATTTAAGACTTCTAAAATTAAAAAAAAAGACAGCTAAGAAGAAGTGAAAAATTTTTTTTTTTTACTTACTATAGTCAAGAATCCTATGATTAATTTGCCCCCCCCCCCCCCCCCCCCCCCCCCCATTTCACAATCACCCCTTTTTATGAATATTAAAGTTAAGTGAAAGTTGAATACATGTTGTTTTTTTCGGACATGAACAACCATCACAACACTTAGCATATATCAAAAACGTTTGTTTGTTGTTTTGCATGAGAGCATGTTTATTGTTTATTTTGTTTAATTGTTTGCATGACACTGTTAAATTACTTACACAAACAATTGACACAGTTATGATTATAACAAAGCAATAAAAAAAAAGTTACAACAAGTTTTATTATCAATTTTTTTTAATAATATACTATGTAACTTATGAAATTTCATTCACAAAATTGAACAAATGCAAAACATTTAATAAAAGTATAAAAACGAACAAAACATTTAAACAACATTTCACATGAAACCCCTGCGTTATAGGTCATACCATGGAAGTATTATATTGACAATATAATACTTCCATGGTCATACATATTTTATAACTGATTACAAAATAATTATAAGCAATGTATTTTCAGATGATTACTCTAGCATGTCTAGAAAAAAAACAATTCAATGTTAACTTACCCAAAATTGAAGCAAATATTACAGACTTTACCCTATTTTTTTAAGCAAAAAATTAAGGCTGAAATCCCTAAAATCCATGAGCTTCCGGGGGGCTTTGCCCCCCTGGTCCCCCTACCAGGGCTAGCCCTGGACCCACTGGGGGCCTTAAGCGGCCCCCAGACCCCTTGCCGTTTAAGTTTGGTTCCCCCTATAATCTCAAAGGTACCTCCAGTCTAAAAAAATAATGAAACCCCTGATTGTGTACGACAATTCTAACCAGTTGTTAAGAATAAAATCATATGACATTGTCCTGATTCTATTTTATGATAAATTATAGGTTAGATTTACCATAAAAAACATTGATATCTATTGAGAATTGACATTATACTCCAAAAAAGAATAACGCACTGTACACTTAGAAATCATTAGTTAAAATTGGTAAGTTGCAGGGCAGAGGTCACTGGTAAAACAGGAACTGACCCTTCTAGAGCATCTGATTTCACACCCATGTTTTGGTATATTTTGTATTGCTCATTCTTTAGTTCATTGTTTTATGGACAGTTGTGTATTTTCATAAATTTTACTAGTCTGTCAGAAAGACTTTGGGTAGAAAATATTCATGAAAGATTTCTTGGATTCTATGAAACGAAATAATTTTATATTTGGTCTGCAGCTTGAAAAAGTTGAGTTGTAATATGAAAGCAATTGATACATCTCCTCTGCAACCAATTTCTGTTTGCCTATGGTTTTTAATTTTACGACACTCATTGTACAGGGAAAGATTTTGTCAAAGTTTTCATTGCTTTAAAAAGATCTTCTCCCCTTTAACTACTAAACCAATTTCAGCCAAACCTGGGGTGAATGGTCCCTAGGGTATGTAGTATAAAGTGTTTTTTTTTCCTCCAGTTAATCAAACCTGGACGCCATGGCTAAAATAAAAAGATAGAACATAAGGGTAAAATAAATTGATTGTCTTATATCTCAAAAACTATAAAAGTTAGAAAAAATCTGATTTTTACATTTTTTTTGAGTTTTTTGCAGAACCTATGATAGGGAGAAACTTTACATGGCAAAAATGTTCATCAAATAAGTCAAACATGACCAAAATCATCAATTAAACCCTTATAGGAGTTATCACCATTGAAAGACAATTTCTTTAGTCTTTTGCAGGAACTATGATAGAGAGAACTTGATGGAATTAAACATGGTTTTATAGCTAGCTAAACCTCACTTGTGTGACAGTCTACAAAGAGACCAACATGACTGAAATTAATCGTGCATTACTGCAGGAGAAGTTGTGCTTAAATGATGATATTTTTAGCTCACCTGGCCCAATGGGCCAAGTGAGCTTTTCTCATAACTTGGCGTCAGTCATCGTCCGTCTTCCATTAACTTTTACAAAAATCTTCTCCTTTGAAACTACTGGGCCAAATTTAACCAAACTTGGCCACAATCAGCATTAGGGTATCTAGTTTTAAAAATATGTCTGATGACCCCGCTTGCCAACCAACATGGCCGCCATTGCTAAAAATAGAACAATGGGGTAAAATGCAGTTTTTGGCTTATATCTCTGAAACTAAAGCATTTAGAGCAAATTTGACAACGGGTAAAAATGTTTATCAGGTTTAGATCTATCTGCTCTGAAAACCCTGTGTTGGGTTGCTGCCCCTGAACTGGTAAATTTAATGAAATTTTGCAGTTTTTGGTTATTATCTTAAATATTATTATAGATAGAGATAAACTGTAAATAGCAATAATATTCAGCAAAGTAAAATCTACAAATAAGTCAACAAACCAAAATTGTCAATTGACTCCTTAAGGAGTTATTGCCCTTTAAAGTCCATTTTTCGTAAATTTTTGTAATCTTTTACAAAAATCTTCTCCACTTAATCTACTGGGCCAAATAGAATTAAACTTAGCCACAATTTTCAATAGGGTATCTTGATGGAAAAATGTATCCGATGACCCTGTCATTCAACCAACATGGCTGCCATGGCTGAGAATAGAACATAGGGGTTTACACAGACTTTTGGGAGCCTCTAGTTCTCCTCTGCAACAAAAGTCGCAGAATGCAGGATATAAGGTTACAATCTGACGAATGCGCTAACTATTTGTATAAAGCTTTATATTTCAAAAAGGTAGAAGACCTGAATGCTTCATACCTTGTATACAAATACGTTATGTTACAAAGTTTCTGTCTGTCAAATGTCCATTGTAATTGACCTCATTTTTATAATTCAGCGACTGCTTGAAAACATTTGTATTTTCGTCATGTGAATTTCTTACTTATTATCAGTGATAAAATAAGTATTTAGTATATGGGTTCCTTGCAAGGTCTACCAGTTCATATCAGTCAGACCGTGTTCACCTGATGCGACCTCATATCATGGTTCAGTGATCAAGGTTAAATTTTGATGGGTCAAGTCTCTATCTTAAATACATTAATCATGAGTAATAGTTCAACTAAAATAGTATGGACTGATTGTAAGGCATATATGTCTAACTGGCAGGTTTCATCTGACCTTGACCTCAATTTCATGGTTCATTGAACAATGTTTAGTTCCTGTTGTTTGGTCTATTTCTCATACTATAAGCAATGTGTACATATCTACCTGGCAGGTTTCATATGACCTTGACCTTATTTTCATGATTCAATGGTCAATGTTAAGTTTTCATGGTTTTGTCAGTTAATCAGATGCTATAAGCAATAGGTAAACTATATTTGGTGTATGGAATGATTGTAAGGTGTAAATGTCTATCTGGCAGGGTTCATATGACCTAAAAAATTGACCATGACCTTATTTTCATGATTCATTGGTCAATGTTAAGTTTTCATGGTTTTGTCAGTTTATCAGATACTATAAACAATAGGTAAATTATATTTGATGTATGGAATGATTGTAATGTGTACATGTCTGTCTTCTTCTAGTAACGGGTCACCTTCAGCTGGTTGGCCATCCTGCTACACTTTTGGAATGGGCATGAAATTTATTTTTAAATTCAATTAACAAAAACAATTACTGGGTGCAAGTAAAAACTTGTCATATGAGTTTAATGATGGAACTGAGCCTTGGAAGATTCAGGACTGGGGGCAGAGACAGTACAGTAAGGCAAGGTGTTTCAGCTCCCTTATATTTTTAGGATGTCTTGACAGGGTTCATATGACCTTGACCTCGTTTCAATTGGTCATTGGTCAGTGTTAAATTTTTGTGTTTTCATCAGTTTATCAGATACTTAAAGCAATAGGTCAAATATATTTGTAGGTGATTGTTAGGTTTACTTGTCTGTCTGGCAGGGTTCATATAACCTTAATTTTCATGGTTCATTGGTCAGTGTTAAGTTTTTGTGGTTTGGTGTGTTTCTGAGGTACTATAAGCAATAAGGCCACTATATTTGGTGTATGAAATGATTTTAAGGTGTACATGTCTGTCTGGCATGGTTCATCTGACCTTCACCTCATTTTCATGGATCATTAATAATGTTAAGTGTATTGAAACCTTCGTATTACAGACTTTCAAAATAAATTCAATCATGATAGGCAAAGCAAGCAAGATATTTTAGCGTGTGCACTCTGGTTAGTGTTTTTACCTTCTATCTTGAAATTTATAATAGATATAAATAGAAACTTTATGCAGCTAAATGATCAGTAATTCATGACCTACAAAAATGCCAATATTTCTGAAACCATTGATCAACTCACAGGCACTAGTCTGAAAAAAAATTAAGGTATATTAGTATTTTTGTAGAGACAAATGCCTGTGGTTAATGCCCTTAAATAGCTTCATATTTGACAAATTTTAGCATTTTTACCTATTATCTTGAAACCTATAATAGATAATCTGTAACTGTAAAAAGCAAAAATAGTCAGCAATACAAGTTCTACTGTAAATTCAGAAATTATTGTATGCATTTATTATTGCGATTTTTATGGAATGGACAAAAATGCAAGATTAATTATTGCAATTTCATGAAAATCTTCATACATATATATGTATCAGATATCAGAATGCGAGTTCTTATTATTGCGATAATCACCAAGTCGCATTATTTGCATTAATAAAAACCTCGCATTAATTTATGAATTTACAGTAGGCCTAACTAATTATAAATCGTGGATGACTGAAACCATTTATAACCATGTATCCAATTTAACAAATTGTAACATTTTTGCCTTTTATATTGAAAAGTATTATAAAAAGAGAGATCTAAAATAGCCAAAATGATTACCAATACAATTTCTGAAAAAAATAAATGAGAAAATTTGGTAAATTTTTATTTTGTCTTGTTAATATCACTGAATAGTGCATATCTCAAGAGCCTTTAGTTAATCCATTGCATGCTTTCACTTTGAGCTAATACTGCCTTATATTGCATGTCAGAATATCAAACTATTTTATTTTTCATCATTTAAAAAAATCTTGTGTTTAAAAATTAAGAAGGACGTTGTGTACATTTTGGTATTTAGATAGACCGGACACTTGTTGCTCTTCAAAAATAGAGAAGCAAAAGGTATATTTAATCATAACATTACAGACGGACTCACAAATGGGAACGTTTCATAATCATAATAAGTCCAAAAACTCCAAATCGTTTGCAGTATTATTGTATTTAATATCACTGACACCTGTTCTCTCTGTAGCGGAGGAATTTGCAGTGATAAACATTCATAAACATGAGTTTTCTAGTGGACAGCCACAGCTGTCTGGAAAAGGTGTCGACGACGTCAGCTTTGGAAGGGAAGATAATGATAATATTCTGCTACAACACATTAAAGGAAGATTTGCAAGCATTGGTAAAACTGCTAAGGCGAATGGAAGATTACATATGGTACGGAATGTCATTCAAAATTAATTTTAAAAAAAACATCCTTAACCTTTGACCTTCTTTAATCCTCTCCAAAGGTCGAATGCTCTTTGGTGCTTTTTTGGTTGAACAGATGGGTTTCCAGTCATCTTTATATGACCTATACTACTTGTCCTCCAAGTTCAAAGGCTTCATGGCAACCATCTTTATATCGTTGCAAATTATCTCCCTTTTTAGTACTGTGAGGCTCATAATTTCTTATTTAATACACCTTATCGCTATTTGTCCGCCATTACTGGACATCACAAAGGTTCCCATAAAATTTTGACGTCATAATAGAAAATATTTGACGCCACAATGGAAAAGTGATTGTTGTATGACGTCAATAGTTCAAGCCGCGCAGATTCTCTGGTCAACTGGCACAGATTTCCAAATAGCGATAAGGTGTATTATCACTCTTGAAGCTAGTGCTTAAAAAATATTATTGCTTTGTAAATTTTCACAAAGTTTAATCTAGTAACTGCTCCACTCTGTATGTCCGTTAGAAAGACCTTGGGTAGATAACGTCCGTCAAAGTTTCTTAATCCAATCTGTTTGCATTAATCTCGTACACCACATTTGTTTTTCTCCGAGCTCTTAATTTATTAACAGAATTCTAGGAATGTATGTTACAAATCATGTCACTACGAAAGCACTCACTACTGAGCTGATGAATCAACCTTGTGCTAGAAGATGAAAATAACCTTATAATATATAAAGTATTTGATATTTGAATGACAGATTACTTAATACAATGTATATACAAGAATTAAACATGTTGTATGTCCACTGGGAGCATGGTCCTCTAAATTAATACTATCTACATAACACTGGAGCTGGGATATATTCAACATGATTGCAGGTTTTCATTTGAAATGCTGAGTGGTATGATGCTGTTTTGATAGAATTTATGGAAAATCTGTTTCTGGAACATGTACAGTGTAATTATTTTGGAACAAGCCTAATGCCAGCAAGCCAAATAATTCAATGTTTTCCCAAAACCTGGTACAATCTCTTTGATTGAGCAGAGTCTGGGTGTAGTTGAATTCAGCATTTTAACAATAATGAAGCCATTCAAGTGTCTACATTATGGTTTCTGAACAATGATCTATTGAGCCATAAACAATATCGTTACCAAACCTGGTTTGAAAATGCCTTATGGGGTTAGGATTTCTTCTTTTTATTTTGATGTCACTAGATCAGGTCAAAGTAACTACAACAATAGAAAGACTAAAATTTTAGTTTACAGATGAGAACTTTTGAACCATGTGTCCATCCTTCTCCAAACTTAGCATCAAGATGCTCCTTGGAAGGAACAAGACCCTTCTTGATTTCTAGGTCAGTAGGTCAAAGGTCAAGGTCACAGTTCCTTTGAATAGACTGAACTTTTTGGGAAAGTTTTAATTGTTTCCAACAATATCATAATCATTTGAACCATAAATCAGATCTTTACCAATCTTTGTTGGAGGCTGGATTTAAACTTTGGGGTGAAAAAGACCAATTGGTTTTGAGGTCAAAGGTCAAGGTTACAGCAGTAATTCATAGACTGCAATTTTTGCGATTGTATTGTTTTGGGACAATAGCCTTTTACCCATACATCCAACCATTACCTAAGTTAGTGAAATATTTGGGACAGAAAAAAGTGTAAAACTTAGTTTTTGGATAACATATTTTGAACTAGACTTTAAGATGACACTGTTTATTATTGCATATGACTGTTTTTCAGGCTGACTCTGATTGTGGAAAAAAGGATGCAGAGAGTTATGCCAGGCTACCACAAGACTGGATAGCTGTTTTTCATTACCCAGAGAGAGGCACACTAGATGATGGTTGTCCATCAGTAATAGACAGGGTATGCTTTAATATGTCTCATCATGGAATAAGAGGGTAAAATTGGTATGGTGTGGTTTTACGGGGAAGTCCTAGAACAACTTAAAATGTTTATTTCACTGGAATGATGAGACAAATTAGTTGCATCAGCAAAACTGCTTTAAGTGTTGATCTTGTATAAGCAGGTTTGCATCAGGTGCAAGAGGTATTTGGTTTGGTTCCTGGCTGGGTAAATCAAATTTGCATATAATATTTGCCAAGCACACTGATTAAGGAATAGGAGCAAAGACAACTCTAGGAGTTGCAATAATGTGTTTGCATGGATAGGGTGACTGTTTATGAAAAAAATTATTATGAATGAAGGGTTTTGTGATGTGTATACCAATGGGGTACCAAAACCAATAAGATATCTCTAATTTAAAAAATAACCAAAATACATCTAGGGGTCAAGGTTAAAACAGCTTTCGACAATAGAAAAGTGTCTAAAAGTATATCAAGCTCTATACTGAAGTTATTGTCTTTTGGGATAAAGTAATGTTTGTTTATGATAATTCATTTCATATTATAGATGCAGAAGGCCCTGATGTTTGGAGCCTCAGCTATCATCATACTTACTCTAAACCAGGATATACTAAAAGAGGTAATAAGAATACAAAGTGAGGGGGTGGGAGTAGGGTGAGATGACATCATGTTTGGAGCCTCAGCTATCATCATATTTACTATAAACTAGTATATACTTAAAGAGGTATTTAGGATATTAAGGGAGGGGCTGGATGGGGTGACCATTGGTTGTTTGGAGCCTCAGCTCTCATCATACTAAATCTCAACCAGCTTATTCCTATTTAGGATACAAAGAGAGAGAGGGAACAAGATAAATGTAATGGAATAAAAAAAATCAAAAATTGAATGTCTTTCAGAAAGTACATGTACATCATGTACATATTTGTAGTAAAAAAGCACAATCATTCATGACGAAGCTTTTAAAACATTTCAGTTCATTGCAAAAATTTAATAACTCAATAGTTTTACATCTCCTTTGTACTCTAAATCAACATATATAAAAAAAAAAATTTTAAATAGCAACATGTCCAACACCATGGTGAAGAATTGTCTATGTTTACTGAATTTGTATTAAGCATATGCACAAGTCACTAGATAATCACCCTTTTATTACATTTTATTTTCTAGCTTGAAGTCAAACAGATGTTTTCTTTCCCTGTGATAATTGTGGAAGCTTTGGAGAATATTACAGATATGATAGTGGTCCTTAAAAGGTAGGAAAGTATATACTATAGGAAACCCATTAATACACAAGCAATGCTAAAATCTTCACACTGGTAGTTAAGTTAAGTTGATAAATGAGATTAATGTACATATGATACATTTACATGACAAGTCATGATATTCATAGATGTACGTACAAAGTACTGATTTATTTATGTATATCTATCTAAATATTTTTGTTCTCAATTTATGGAACATCTGAGGCATATCTTTTCTTTTTCAATTTACATCTACCACATATATTTTCTTTTTCTTAATCTAAGTATATATATCTACCCCATTTCCTTTATTTTCTCAATTTATTTATCTCTTACCCCATATCCATTCTTAATGTAGTTATGGAAAATGACTTATGAAGTTACTCTCCCCCATAGCATCATTCATTTTCTGAAGGAAAAAAAAGTAATTTGTTTTATTCTCTATTTCAGTAAAATAAAGTCTAAGGCTAGCATTAGGATTAACATGACACAGCATAATATTGTGGTAAGTCTTACATCATTCTATATTTTCAGTCAATGAAATTGAGTTTATAAAGTGAGTGTCCTTTCTTGAACTCATCTAAGATGGTCATAAAGAGGGGGGATGTGCATGGGCAAAAAGGAAATAAAATGGCCATTTGATGATGAACAAAAATTTGAAAAGTACCTAACAAGTTGCTTTTTGTCTAGCTTGTGACATTTATGTGGCAGAAGCAAGGCATGCCAATTATAGGTTCTGTCATGGTCAACGCTGTCAACATTCAGTCTTTGGTTTAATTAAATCAGTCATCAATAACTTTCTCAAACCTTCACGGAATTTTATGAAATTTGGACAGAAGCTTTTTATGTCCAGTATGTACCCAGAGCAAAATTTTGAAAATATGTTTTTTCATTTTACCATTTTTTACTGAGAAAAGGACTTAGATACTTTGCAGTTAACTGTCTGGAGTTAAAGTTTGTTTACACATTAATTAATTTGTAAAACTGATATATGGACTTTATATAGTTTTTTTTTCAGCTTTCTGAATATACAGTAATTTAGAACTAGCCTACTTTGACTATTAGTATATTCTGTGACAGGACATATTCAAATCTTGTACTCCTATTTTATTCAAATCATTTTAAAAAGAAAGAATATGAATTTCAGAGTTAGCCTAATTTGGCAAAATTTATTTTGATTTCAGATCTACCCTACCTTGACTCTATGGTCTACATGTGGCAGGACATGGTGATACTATTATATTAAACACTGTTTGATTTCAGATCTAACCTACTTTGACGCTATGGTCTATATGTGGTAGGACATGGTGATAATATTATATTAAATTCTGTTTGATTTCAGATCTACCCTACTTTGACTCTATGGTCTACATGTGGTAGGACATGGTGATAATATTATATTAAATTCTGTTTGATTTCAGATCTACCCTACCTTGACTCTATGGTCTACATGTGGCAGGACATGGTGATAATATTATATTAAATGCTGTTTGATTTCAGATCTACCCTACCTTGACTCTATGGTCTACATGTGGCAGGACATGGTGATAATATTATATTAAATGCTGTTTGATTTCAGATCTACCCTACCTTGACTCTATTGTCTACATGTGGCAGGACATGGTAATAATATTATATTAAATGCTGTTTGATTTCAGATCTACCCTACCTTGACTCTATGGTCTACATGTGGCAGGACATGGTGATAATATTATATTAAATGCTGTTTGATTTCAGATCTACCCTACTTTTGACTCTATGGTCTACATGTGGCAGGACATGATGATAATATTATATTAAATGCTGTTTGATTTCAGATCTACCCTACCTTGACTCTATGGTCTACATGTGGCAGGACATGGTGATTATATTATATTAAATGCTGTTTGATTTCAGATCTACCCTACCTTGACTCTATGGTCTACATGTGGCAGTACATGGTGATAATATTATATTAAATACCATTTGATTTCAGATCTACCCTACCTTGACTCTATGGTCTACATGTGGCAGGACATGGTAATAATATTATATTAAATGCCGTTTGATTTCAGATCTACCCTTCCTTGACTCTATGGTCTACACGTGGCAGGACATGGTGATAATATTATATTAAATACTGTTTGATTTCAGATCTACCCTTCCTTGACTCTATGGTCTACATGTGGCAGGACATGGTGATAATATTATATTAAATACCATTTGATTTCAGATCTACCCTACCTTGACTCTATGGTCTACATGTGGCAGGACATGGTGATAATATTATATTAAATTCTGTTTGATTTCAGATCTACCCTTCCTTGACTCTATGGTCTACATGTGGCAGGACATGGTGATAATATTATATTAAATTCTGTTTGATTTCAGATCTACCCTACCTTGACTCTATGGTCTACATGTGGCAGGACATGGTGATAATATTATATTAAATTTTGTTTGATTTCAGATCTATCCTACCTTGACTCTATGGTCTACATGTGGCAGGACATGGTAATAATATTATATTAAATGCTGTTTGATTTCAGATCTACCCTACCTTGACTCTATGGTCTACATGTGGCAGGACATGGTGATAATATTATATTAAATTTTGTTTGATTTCAGATCTACCCTACATTGACCCTATGGTCTACATGTGGTAGGACTTACGGGAAAGGTTATCATGAATGGGACGGAGTTGTCTGTCTTGGTCATCAGGAAAATGAAGAAAAGGTAGGTTTAATAAAGTCACATGTGCAGGACTACAAGGAAATGTTAGATATACATGATATACATGTAGGTCAATGAGATGTCTACCAAATGAGACTAAAATCCAAACGACATCTAGAGGTCAACATACAGCCCTGTGCTCTGCTCTCTTCCACTACAGCCTAACATTTAAAAGATTTGAATTCATTTTGGTGATTACAAAAGGTACATAAAAAACACAAAATATAATTAGTACAGCAAAATCACTTACGGTAACTCTTAATACTGGTTTATTTTAGATTTAACCAAAACACAGCTACAAGGAAAACAGCAATAAGCAATTCAGTGTAAACAAATGTGTAATTTGTTTTTATCATTGTGTATTGTATTAATTGGATTTGTCTCAGTTAATATAAAAGTTAATTTTAAGTAAATTCATTAATCTGAGATTTTTTTTAGGCTGATCCTGCAAACTTTTGGAACTTTTTCTACTCAATTTTATTGACTTTGATGATCTTAGTGGCCATTAAAACAAGATTACTTGATGTCGGTGATGGAGACAGTGATATAGAGGTATAAAATAATCCATATAAAACACATGATACATACCCTTGTGACCAGAAAAATCTGACCTCATCAAAAAGTTTGTCTTTGAATTGAGGTTCGAAATGTCTTTTGGTATTTCAACAGTGGGACAAGATGAAAGTGACCTAACACGACAGGTGTTTGTTTGATGGAAGTGACCTTTATAGCAGGTTTGACTGTATTGTCACTTTTATCTTACCTACTCTCTGGTGAAGCACCACATATGTTTTTGTTTGATGGAACTTGGAAGTTACCTTTAAAGCAGGTTTGACTGTATTGTCACTTTTATCTTACCTACTCACTGGTGAAGCACCACGCATGTTTTCAGACGTAACACTTTTTAGGATAATTTAATTGAAATTATACAAAATGAAGCATTCTTGATCCTGAGATGCATTAATAAAAAAGTACCACAATTTACAAAGCCATACTTGTTCAAAAATGCAGCTATAGATGTCCTATTAGGTCTTACTTCTATGGGGTCAATCTGGTTAAATTTTCTGATTTCCTCTAAGGTTTTAATCTTAATCTCTTGATAAGGACAGCCATTTTACATTGTATATGTAGACAGCAACCCAACATCCCAAAAAAACCCACAAGATATTTGGAGGACAACAATAGAACGTCTGATATATATGTCAGTTTATTTTTTAACAAATATACCTACCTCTACTGATAATTATTTGTTTGTTAGTTTGTGTTATTGCCATGTTTAGTTACCATGTTTTGTTGATGTAGAAAGCCTGCATGCATGCAAAGAACCACCAACCTTCCACATGAAAACTAACAATCTTTGTTGATTAATATCTGAGTTAAAAAAAACAATTCAACACAAGCATACTGATAATAAGCTAACTATTTCTTGTTTAGTACATTTTGGTTTAATATTTTTACCTTAGACTGATATAAGCATGTGGTGAGTCAGTAATTAGAAACATGCAGAAGAGAAAAAATAATTTGATAAGAATGACTTATTTGATTTTACAAGTTGATTAATATTTTATATATGTAACATGACTTACTTAATACCTTTCACCTGAAGTTGTTTGAATTAAAATGATTTGCTACATGGCATTTTTTTTATCAGAATAATACTTATTTAATGACTGTTTATTTTATTTGACTCTAGTGTAAAACTATTCTATTTAACATTTACTTTTTTTTCAGAGATCACTAAGAAAATTAGCTCAAGAATCTCTGATGTTGATGAAAACAAGGAAATATAAGTATGATATGTCAGGTGACATTTGTGCAATATGTTTGGACCAATTCAGTCCTAAACAGGTAATCAAATAGTTCAGGGGAGTGTAGAATTGTAGCCCTTAACTGATTATTTATTTTGACAAAAGGAGGAAGTGTAGTCCTTTACAGGTAAAAACAAAAATTGAAATTTTTGGTTGACATTTTAATGATATATACTTAGATATTAAAGTTACAAAATGATATGTATCTGTAGAACAATACTTGATGAGAAAACTTTTTTTATTAAAAATTAGATAAGTTGCAGAACTTATGGACAAAGAAAGATAACTCCAGTTCAAAATATTGCCTAAATGATTCCATTGCTCAATACAATGCAGTTCACAATGCAAAAAATGAAAGGAATCTTTACCTGCTCAGTGCCCACAGGTTCTTTGATTTGAGTATTTTGTAACTGAGGACAATCAGTATGGGAATATTCTTAATTTTTATCTAAAGCTATGAGACATGCTCTATATAAAATATGTACCAAAAGTGTTTCAACCCAAATAAAAAGTTTGACCAAAGAAAAGTTTAAATTCAATTTCATATGTTGCAATATTTCTAATTCACAGAAATTACGGGTGCTTCCATGTTCTCACGAGTTCCACACCAAATGTGTAGACCCTTGGTTGGTGAAAAATAGGACTTGTCCACTGTGTAAACTCAACATTGTTGGTAAGTCATTTTTATAGGCAGACCATGACTCGGATTAATTGATAATACAATATTTTTCATAATTCAGTTCAATACTAGAAATCTAATGAAGATAAATAAAAGTAGAATGAGGATATTTGAGACAGAAATCATGGCCAGTAATACAAACAAGACAGTCACACAACAAATACGAAATATAAATAAAGAGATGTGTTATGATTGCCAATAAGAAAACTATCCATCAGAGACGAAATAGTGGATTTTAGCAGTTATAGGTCACTGTATGGCCTTTAACAATGAGTAAAACACGTACCGTATAGTCAGAACTCTATTAACAGGCCAACATAAAAAATGTGAAACAATTCAAACGAAAAAAACCAACAGCCTGATTTTTGTCTGTATATTCATTATCTAAACTAAATATGACCTATTGTTTACAGAGACTCTACATGGTGGTTTCCTTGGTAACTAATCACTGATGCATGAACAATAATTGGTCGTTTGGATGCTACACATACAGGGTGTTTGGTTTTGTACTTACTGCCTTTTTAAATGTATTTATTATTTATCATGAAAATTTGTGATCTTACAGGGCATTTATATCTTTAACATGTCCTATTATTTATTAAGAATTACAAGCTTGTTAGACGTTAATCATGTATGTGCAAACAAAATACAACCAACAAATTAATAGGGAATAGTCTTTAGGAATACAGAGATCATAGTACCTCAGCATTGCAGCAAAACAGCGGACATCGGGACCAGACTAAAGAAAAAAGAATGAAGAGACAAACAACAATAACAAAACATAACCATTGATTACACAGAAAACAAAGATTTATTAACAGGATCTCCACCAATAATCAAGGAGAACTGGGTTCCTCCAGGAGGGTAATCAGTTCCTGTTTGCACCAGTATCACCCATCATGTTCTTCATGGGGTTCCATCTGGAAAAGGGGGGTTCAAATTTTAGGTTTTCATCAGTTCGTACCTGATTTACTGTAAATTCAGAAATTCAATGCGAAAATTGCAACTCCTTGAGTATTGCAATAATAAGAACTCGCATTCTGATATAATTTACATATATATGTAAGAAGCTTTTTATACGACCACAAAAAAATTTTTGTGGTCGTATATTGGTATGACGTTGGCGTCATCGTCGTCGTCGTCGTCCGAAGACACATTGGTTTTCGCACTCTAACTTTAGTTTAAGTGAATGGATCTCTATGAAATTTTACCACAAGGTTCAATACCACAAAAGGAAGGTTGGGATTGATTTTGGGGGTTATGGTACCAACAGTAAAGGAATTAGGGGCCAAAAATAAGCATTTTTGTAACTTCCAGACATAACTTGTGTGTTAGTGTATGGACCTCTCTGACATTGTACCACAAGGTTCCATATCACAAAAGGAATGCTGGGATTGATTTTGGGGGTAATTGCCTCAAAATTTTAGGAATTAGGGGCCAAAAAAGGGGCAAAAAACAAGCATTTTTCTAGTTTCATGACAATAACTTGTGTGTAAGTGTATGGATCTTTCTGAAATTGTACTACAAGGTTCCATATCACAAAGGGAAAGCTGGAATTGAGTTTGGGGGTAATTGCCTCAATATTTTAGGAATTAGGGGCCCAAAAGGGGCAAAAAACAAGCATTTTTCTAGTTTCAGGACAATAACTTGTGTGTAAGTGTATGGATCTTTCTGAAATTGTACTTCAAGGTTCCATATCACAAAGGGAAAGCTGGGTTTGAGTTTGGGGGTAATTGCCCTAAACGTTTAGGAATTTGGGGCCAAAAAGGGGCCAAAAAACACATTTTTCTAGTTTCCAGACAATAATTATTATTATTATACAGTATTTATAACAGCGCATTATATAATATCAAAAATTACCCTAAGCGCTTTACAACATATTCACACACATATATAAGCATTAACAATAAAATATGAAAGCCCATGTTATGAGATCCTAAAACAAACATATTTAAAATAAATGGCATATAAAACTATACTATTAAATTTACTGATCAACAATAAAATTTATATAAATGGGCATGGTAATATAAAGGAGACATTGAACCCGTACAAAATAAAAATAAATAAAAAATATTTGCCTAAAAATTCAAAAATTACAGCGATATAAAATATTTTAAGAACTATGAAAAAGCATGTCTGAATAAATGAGTTTTCAGGTGTTTCTTAAAAGCGTTCACAGAATGGATGTTCCGTATATCACTTGGTAAATCATTCCATAGAACGGCTGCTGCTTTGTCGAATCTCCTTTCCCCATATGTTTTAGTTCTCACACGTGGTGTTGTTAAAATCATGGCATTTTCAGATCTGAGAGTTCGCATTGGTTTATATATATTAACGAGTTCTTGTAGGTAGACCGGTGCCTCCTCATGCAAAGCCTTGAACACATAGACGAGGAGTTTATATTGGCATCGATATGTTACGGGGAGCCAATGTAGAGACTTTAGGATTGGCGTTATGTGGTCGTATTTCCTTCTCCTTGTAATGACCCTGGCTGCTGTGTTTTGAACTCGCTGTAATCTTTGAATAGTAGTTGATGGGAGTCCATACAGCAATGCGTTCCCATAATCCAAACGAGAGGTTACAAGGGAGCATACTAATGTTTTGCATGCTTCTTCGGTAATAAATGGACGAATTCGTCCAATGTTTCTTATCTGATGAAAACATGATTTTGAAACAGCGCTAATTTGTTTGTCCATTGCCAAAGTTTTCTCAAAATAAATGCCTAGGTTTTTTACGCACTCAGTATCACTGACAATGTTTCCACCAAACTTGAGATGCAAGTCTGAGAGGTTCTTCACTCGGTTTTTTGGAGCAAACACTAAAAGCTCAGTTTTGTCCTCGTTTAATTTAAGCAGATTCGAGCACATCCACTTGCTGATGTCAGCTACGCAAGCCTCAAGTCGCTTTGATATATTTGTCCAATTATCAAGTGGTTTTAATACGAGATAAACTTGTGTGTCGTCTGCATAACAGTGATAACACATATTATGTCGTTTACATATTTCACCAATTGGTCTTGCGAAAATGCAATAAAGTTTTGGTCCCAAGACCGATCCTTGAGGAACACCAAATAGAAGACGAATCTCATCAGAAAGAACAGAACCAATAGCGATTCGCTGAGTCCTCATCTCGAGATATGACTTCAACCAACTAAGTGCTGTACTGGTTATCCCACAAGAGTATTCCATCCGCTTTATTAGAATAGGATGATCGATAACATCGAAAGCAGCCGATAGGTCTAGCATGAGTAAAACGGCACAACAGTCGTTATCAAGTGCAACAGTGATGTCATGATGCACACGAAGTAATGCTGTCTCGGTCGAATGACACGCACGATAGGCTGATTGTACATTGTCGTGAAGAGAGTTTGACGTATGATGGTTTTCAAGGCGAGTCTCGACGACTTTTTCGACCACTTTGGATACGAACGGAAGATTAGAGACTGGTCGATAATTTTTCAATATCTCTTTGTCTAGATTAACCTTTTTCAAGAGTGGTCGGACAACTGCCTCCTTGAAAGATGATGGTACACAACACTGTTCCAGTGACAAGTTCACTATCTTGGTGATGACGGTAGCTAAACTGTTTAGACACGGTTTTAATATATTTGTCGGAAGAGGATCTAATTCGCATGATTTGGTTGGAGCTTTCAAAATAATTTTACGTACTTCCTCTACAGATGCTGGTGTAAAGAAGGTGAGTGGTTGGCCTTTGAATTTTAAATCGTATTTGAATTCTTCATTATCATAGGCAGACGATTCATTCACTAAACATAGATTGTTCCTTATTGTTTCGATTTTTCCAAGGAAAAAATTGCCGAATCTATTTGATAGTTCAATTTCACTGTGGTGTGATGGCAAAATCACCTGGTTTGTGTTTCCCATTAGGCCATTTGTGAGCTTTAGCAGTTTCTTTTGATCGTGTCCAACTTCAGAAATTTTATTTGAATAATAGTCCGTCTTGCATTTGAAGAGCAGTTTACTTGTTCTGGAACAATGTTCTTTATAAATCTGTTTATGAACTTCAAGCTTTGTTTTTCGCATTTGTCGCTCAGCTTTGCGGCGTTCTCGCTTTGCAACACGCAACTCATCAGTGTACCACTCTGTGTTTGGTCGCTGAGTGATCACTTTTGATTGTTCTGGAGCATGCCTGTCGAGGAGAGTTCGAAGCACTGAGTCGTACGAAGCAACACAATGTTCAACCGAAGGATTTTGCTCATTTAGGAGAAGAGAATTGTTTATATCCTTCTCGAAATTTTCAATGTTTATTTCTTTGAACTTCCGAAAACTCACAGACTTTCTTTGTTTTGGTGGTTTCGTGATATTAAGTTCACAAAGCACTGCGAAATGATCTAGCGAGGAAATTCCTTTGTCATCACAGATATGCAGATCCTCAATTGACGGTACTCTAGCAAGAATGGAACTATTCTCCCTACATAGGATAACGTCGAGTGTGTGTCCACGGATATGCGTAGCGCCAACAACGTGTTGTACGAGACCATGGTCGCTAATTGTTTCTTCAAATTTACGGGTGTCACAATTATTCTTATCATCGAGATGGAAATTTAAGTCTCCTGTCAGAATGATTTCTTCGGGAATTTTGACAGTGTAGTCAAGGAAATCTGACCACTCCTCAAAAAATGTCGAATTCTTTAGTTGATTTTTCCGAGACGGAGGAGGACGATAGATCACGTATAGGCGAAATTGATGATTTTGTGCATTTACACTGCATTCAAGAAGTTCAAAGTGTGTGAATTTCTTCTTTGTTTGCGGAATACGTTTAATAATTAAGTTTGATTTATGTACGATGGCAACACCTCCGCCTTTTCGATCCGATCTTGCAGCATGCTGTACATCGTATCCGTTTGGTAGAAGCTCAGACAGAACACATTTGTCAACGGCAGAACCAAGCCATGTTTCAGTGAGCGCAAGCATGTCAGTATTACTCGAAGTCAGATAATCACTGATAGAAAGCGATTTGTTCTTTATCGATCTAACATTTAACGTTGTTAGCGACAATTGTTTGCACATGGTAGACACAGATGATCTCTGAATTCGGGACAAATTGCATTGGTTTTGAACATTAACCGTCTTCGATAACGGTCGTGGACGTAATGTAACAGTTGAAATAGTGTTCACTTGATGGTCATTTATTGCTGATATGTTACAGTCAGCCGATATATCGATCAAATTGCTTCTGTTTATGACTCGATTATTACCATGTATGATGTCTCTATTAGGGGTTAAGATTGTGTTTATTAATCGAAACACTTTTTTGCCAGCTTTAGTTCCGCGTCTTGTTCGTTTGGAAGCATTCACGGCGAACGTACTGTATTGTAAACTACCTGTATGTGGTTTAAATTTAGTCAAGGATATAAATAGCCTTCTGAGTTGTGAATTCATGGTTGATTTAACTCGATAGAAAAGTAAACACAAATTTTGTGCACATCTGTTTTGATTAAAATGTCGAATAAAATGCAACTCCTTTAGCTCTTATGGATAAAGCCATGTGTTAGAAATGTCCTCCTCAAGTATGAAGTCTAACAGTATCCTAAAAGTCATTAAACAAGCAAAATATTCACCTACTCAGTGGGAGCTGCCTCTCAGCGCTAACCAGCTGTCAATGCATCATGCTAATCTATACTTGTGTTCAAGTGTATGGATCTCTCTGAAATTGTACTGCAAGGTACCATACCACAAAGGGAAGGCTGGGATTGAGTTTGGGGGTGATGAATCATAAGGGGGTTCAAAAAATTTGGGGGGGGGGATTTTTTTTTTTTTCCTTTTTTTTCTTTTTTTCCTTTTTTTTTTCTTTAAAAGTTTTCCATTTTAAGTTGGTTATTTCTGATTTATATTTAAAAGCAAATAATAATGATATGGTAGGAGATACACACCAAACAGGATGTGTAAATTATTATATAATAAGTATTGTGCAATAGCAAGAAATTTTCAATTGCACAGTATTGCACAATAGCAAGAAATCTTCAATTGCACAGTATTGCGCAATAGCAAGAAATCTTCAATTGCACAGTATTGCGCAATAGCAAGAAATATCCAATAGCACAATATTGTGCAATAGCAAGAAATTGTCAATTGTACAGTATTGCGCAATAGCAAGAAATATTTAATTGCACAGTATTGTACAAAAGAAGATACTTCGTATAAATTGCTTATTTCTTGACCAATTTCAATGGGGTTTTATTCTTGAATTCTTGGGGTTCTTTAATATGATGAATCTAACCGTGTATTTAGTTTTTGGATTTTGGGCCCCATTTTTAAATTGGTCCACATTGAGGTCCAAAGGGTCCAAAATTAAACTTTGTTTGATTTCATCAAAAATTGAATTATTGGGGTTCTTTGATATGCCGAATCTAACCGTGTATTTAGATTCTTAATTTTTGGTTCCATTTTCAAATTGGTCTACATTAAGGTCCAAAGGGTCCAAAATTAAACTTAGTTTGATTTTAACAAAAATTGAATTCTTAGGGTTCTTTGATATGCTGAATCTAAACATGTATTTATATTTTTGATTATGGGCCCAGTTTTCAAGTTGGTCCAAATCGGGGTCCAAAATTAAGCTTTGTTTGATTTCAACAAAAATTGAATATATGGGGTTCTTTGATATGCTGAATCTAACCATGTATTTAGATTTTGGATATTGGACCATAATAGGTGAATGTCCAATTTAAAATTTTTAAGTTCTTAGACCACATTCATTCTGTGTCAGAAACCTATGCTGTGTCAAATATTTAATCACAATCCAAATTCAGAGCTGTATCAAGCTTGAATGTTGTGTCCATAC